AGTGGCTTGAGCCGCAAGGGGCGGAATCGTACCATCTGCAGCGATCGAGTAAGGGGGAGGAGCAAAGTCTGGGATCGAATCCTTCCTGGTCGCGACAATATCTTCGGTTAGTTTACCCGCAGCCTCGTCAAAGTGAACCTGCTTCACGCCGCCATCTTTAGCGTGGTGAGAGTCGAGGAGGTTCGACATAACCTCGCCGGCAGGAGGGTAAGGTTCAATGGCTTCGTGTTCAGGCGGCAGCCGATCCTCGCTCGGATGATCAGGCTCATCTTCTATGATAGGAGAACCCTTGGTATTGAGAATTGGAGCAGCGGGCCGCGAGATCTCTTCAGACGGGCATCCCGACACTTGAGCTTCGACGGAAATAACATTGTTGACATTGCCGTGTTCATCGTTTGCTAGGCCCAGTCAGTGCCGACGATTCTGATAGTAATTTGTCAAGAACTAGGCCAGACCTGTTGGGCTTGATTCATCTAGAATCCACCAATCACCAGGACCCAGCCTAAATTTGTATTGGTAATCGCCGGGCTCGAGTTCGATCTTATAGGAGAAGATATTCTTGGTGGAGCCGTCTGCTGCAGTCGATTCAAACCTCATCTCTATGGGCGACCAATCGGTGAACGATCCAGCAATATATACTGGAGGTTGGACGTTGTCCTTTTCAAGGACGATAGTAGTGGACACCATTTTGAAGCTTCGGAAAGTGACAAAGAGTCCGGTGAGCCTTCCAGATAGTGCTCAGTCCACAGAATATGGGTTGGCAACAATCAGAAAGCGACAGGAAGTTCACGGAAAGTGAAGGCGTGGGTATCGCTAGACCGAAAGAAACCATAATCAGCGAAGACTCGAAAAGGTTAAGCATAGGGTTACAAGTGATGAAAAGCCGCGCCGCCATGGTTCCAAGTTGACATGATGTGGTTGGGTGTTGCGAGGCCGCGCTTGAAGAACATTCAGGCCACTTGCCCTGAGACAGCTCCGACCGGCATGACTCTCATGGATGCTCCTTCTCTTTGCTCCGAGGAGTACTTGTTCATTTGCAGGGCACAGGCTGGTCGAAGCTCTACCCCTTGTTTGGAATTGCAGACAGAAATCCATCAGCTAGTCACTGATAACATACATCCATGAGAAGTATTTGTCCTAGTGATGAAGGCTCTGGCACCAACCCAGCCTACCCGATTCCCATGGGTGCGGACCAAGCCACGGAAGAGATATTCATACTTAACGAAGATGGGAAGCCTGCAATCGCAACGTACCTCGTGGATGACGGGAATGAGAACTGCCTTGCAGCTGCGGAGCTATCAAAAACAGGAACTGTTAATCGGCAGCAATGAAACCCAAACCGTAACGGCCACGACAGAGAAGAGAAGATACGGGCCTGAGATCCGAGAAACAGAGTCGGCCAAAGCTCTCCAAAGTCAGGAGACGTCAGCTTTCAAGTATAAGAGCGGTTATACCCGATTGACGCTCAGCACAAAATCCGCCAATGCTTTCGGACCCAGATTGTGTGCACGGACGCAGCTTTGTGGGAGGAAAGGGATGGATGTTGTGTTCAGGGCGAACCGAGGACGTGTCATCCACGGTAGCCCTCCTTCCAAGAACAGCATGTCAAGAACACAAGGACCGGCTGGGAGACCGAAACCCAGCGTCATATAATTCCAACTGTCATACCACGCCCCCCCAGTTTTCCGGGGAGCGCATGGGCGTGAGCTGCCGCAACAGGCGAGCCTCTCCATGCCGAGTCGGACAGGGGAATGGTGGAATGAACGGCATGCAGCAGCATTAGCTTGGAGGACCGGGGCCTTTGTCTGGTGCCCGCAAGGTTTGTGCCGTCAATGCATGACATCCGACTCACAAGGGTGCAGCTGGCTGACATGTGCAATGTTCCAGGATTTGTTGGGATGTTCGAGTGCTATCATGATTAGCCCCTCCTCGCCTTCTTCCGCCAAGGGTCGCATCGCCATCCGCCATCAGCCATCAGCGCCAAGCCACAAGCCACAAGCCACGAGTGGCGGCGGTTGTCGCCAGAAGAAAGCCGTTGAGCGCACTGGGAATCTCCTCAGTCACCCTTTCGAAGAGAAGAACAGGTTTCGGGCAATGTGTGTATGTGACGACTTCAACTGCTTGCTCTTCATGCCAGTCAGCAGCTATTGGATCTGCCCGGGCTTCTTGCTGCGTGAGCGTTTCTGCAACATCGCCTTCACGGACGGAGAGAGTGGTATGAGAAGAAGAGGGTTTTCTGTAAGGGAACTAGAGGTTAGACGGGTGTGGATGACATTTATATAGGCCTCAATAGACGGATTTGCACCATCCGGTGGAGGACGAACAGCCTCGCTTGGGCGGTAACATGTGAAATTCTACGGCTACGTGCATCGAGTCATACAGCATGTGCTCGAGAGATACGAGACACATTTAACCGGCCACAGGAAATTGCCCTTTCTCATTATCTGTGCATATCTCTGATGATTCCTTCCACGGTCTGCGCTGATTCTCTGGTCTTGGGACAGTAGTGCCTCTTCAACAACTCTAGCTCCCAAACGCCGCTACCGGTCCCCAACACATTGGTGCCTTCCACACTCTCGCTGTCGCCCCGGTACACGCCGTCTCCTTTTCTTTCGTCGCTGTACCACAACGCCTCGATCTTACGGCCGTGTTTATCTGCGATCTTGGCCATCAGATTGAACACTGCCAGGGTGGATTTCTCAGGCAATTGCAGCGAGACGGTCAGGAGGCGTTTGAAGAACGACAGGACTGTCTGTGTGGGCGGTGGAGACGAGGGACTTAGCAGGATAGATGTCAAGACGCGCGTGAGCAGGAGGATGGGTGTGGAGATGTTGATTCTGTTGTTCGCTGCGTTCGACGACGGAGCCTTCGACGAGTGTGGATCGGCGAGATGTAGCGATTTCGGCCCCAGTTCAATGTCCGCGTCCAGTGAGAGCGGGTATAATGAACGGTAGATATGCCCTGTGAAAAAGCTCAGGTCGAGATGCAAGCTTGAGGCGGCTTTGGAAACATCCTGGCCCGAGAGCAGCGTGAATGCAGTCTGCGTCGCAAGAAGGCTTTCGCGTTTCCTGTTGCGGATTGTCTCGGCGTCCAGGTTTGTCGCCTTGCTCTCTTCTTCAACTCCGCCCTCCACATCCAGCTCGCCCCTGACCGCCTCATCAGCTACGCCCACAATCTCCTTTAGCGCCTCTAACACATCTCCAAAAAAATCCTGATTGATCAGATGCGCGTACTTTGCCAACCCTTCCAGCACAGCACCCATAAGCTCTGGGATCCTGGCCTTCAGAACGCGAAAATACGTGACAAATACCAATTTCAACGTTTCCGACTGCATTTTCTCTCGCTCTTCGTGGTTCACCAGCGCTGAGGCTTCGGCCATGTCTTTCTCGACTTCACGCCGCTGCTTGAGCAGTTTTCGTTCGCGTTTGGACAGGTGCTGAGAGGCCTGCTGCTTGACCTTGCGTCCATGCACCTTCCCCGTCTGTTCTGGTCTGTCCGGTTTGCCGGTTGAGCCAGGTGGTGCCAGTTCAGACAAAAGACGTAAATGGAAGAACGTATTCAGCACTTCTTCCCTGACTCGGTAGTCTTTAGCTTTCATCATCTTAGTGAGCAGGCTGACGGCTTCAAGTGACGGGGCTCCGTCTTCATCACGCGAGAAAAACTGCTCAAGAGTCTCCACGCATTTGAGGAAACCAGGTGAGGGTTCTCGACTCGAGACCTCGTGGACGAGAATATTCAACAGCTCCGTCCGGAAATTGAAATGCGGTACAGAGAGGAGGAGTGTGCACGCGCAATTGATCGCAACACTTCGCAAGGACAGTGTATCTGCATCACCTTTTCGACCTTTTGCGAGACCGCTCAGTTGTTTCAGGTATGCTTGATACCCAGTGACGAGAGCGTGCTCATACTGTCTCGTTTGTCGCACGTCCTTGGAAATCTTGTTTCCCAATTCGTCATCCTTGTAAGAGCGGATCCGGTAGCCCGGAATCACGTCCTTATACACCGCTGCTTGTGCAGCAAGGACCAGTTTCTGAACCACGATTGCCGAAGTTGACCCAGAGACTTGTGCCAGCTTTTTGAACGACCCGGCGTGTTCTTCGGGGTCCTCATTTAGGAGACTCACGATCCGGGCAATCTCTTCCTTCGCGGCGACAATTTGTTGCTTGAGAGGGACTTGCGGAACGGCAGGTTCTGTCTCGGTGGGAGGCGTCTCGTCCTTCTCGTCGTCCTCGTCATCAGTTCCAGATCCCATGAAACTATCGGAGTCGTCTTCATTCTCAGTCGGTGCCTTCTCTTCTACCCTTTGGGTCTTGCCTTGGGGGGTCTTGATCGGGAGTCTCGTGGATTCTTTGTTCTTTTTCTGCCTCGACTTTTTCTCATATTCTTGCTCAAGATCCCAATCTGCGGCGCGGACGAAGAGGTCGGAAGCCTTGATGGTTTCTGAGACTTTGCAGTCATCGATGAGCGGAGAGAGTCGCCTCCGTTTTGTTGGACGGCCGTGAGGCATGGCTATGTTCGACGAGGAGCCTGATACACCGAGCGCTAAGTGCGAAGGCCGCGGAGGATCAAAATTTCCGCCAAGCAGAGGAAAAAGAACTGCAACCCCAATACCAGCTTAGGGGGGTGCCTAGGGGCCCCCGACTCGCCTAAGTCACCCGTTTGGGAGCTTGGGGGTCGAGAAGCCCTGGAGCCTTGGCGTCGGCAGTGCGAACATACCAGGCAACTGCAGCGGGGAAGCAAATAGCGAAGCAGGAGGCTCTATGCGGCGCAAGCAAAACAGCCTGCCCAAAAGGGAAACCTGCCATGTCCCTCTCCCGCCGTTTCTCCATTAGTCAGATGCAGATGCAGAAACTTATGTCTCTAACCAAGACGCATCAAGAGAGTGGAACAATTTACTTCTGTTGTGTCGCCCTCAATTACTTATAGGCAACAATACCGTCCCTTGCCTAGCACCACGGCGAAACTGCTCAGCTTTGCGCTCCACTCTTCCCACGACAGCAATGCCTTCTACCGTGTCCGACTATTATCATTCATTGGAGTCTCGAAGTGGCTACAGGCTTATTCTAGGGGGAACGAGGCACTTTGGATACTACAAAGAGGGAACACTATGGCCCTTCCCTATCGGAGCTGCCTTGCGGCGGATGGAAGAGCGCCTCTACCTCACACTTGGCCTGAAAGACAACTCGTTGGCGCTAGATGCCGGAACAGGTAACGGAGACGTTGCGATATTCATGGCAAAAAATGGTCTGAGAATAAAAGCCATTGACCTCCTTGATATGCATGTGCATTGGGCCCGAAAAAACGTCATGCACAAGCATTTAGGAGGCCAGATTGAGGTATCAAGCGGCAACTACGAGAAGCTGGACTTTGACAACGATACATTCGATGGTGCCTATACTATGGAGACCTTGGTCCACGCTGGTGATCCCGACCAGGCTATGAGAGAGTTCTACCGCGTTCTGAAACCCGGTGGAGTTGTCACACATGTCGAATATGAACACGACATGGATAACAATCCAGTCGGACGAAGTGCTATGCGTCGAATCAATGCTTACGCACACATGCCTGCTTTTGACCAATTTCCCTTGGGTACTATTCAGAAAAAGCTTGAAAATGTTGGCTTCCAAGATGTGGAAGTCCAGGATCTTTCCAAAAACGTCGCTCCAATGATGCGCTTCTTCTTCCTCTTAGCCTACATCCCTTACCTCATCATCAAGTTGTTCGGCATGGAGGCGTATTTCGTCAACGCGATGGCTGGTGTTGAGTTATGGCGTCACAGCGAAGATGTTCGGCTCTTGATGGTCAAAGCCAGAAAGCCACTCGAGTTTTCAAAATCGGATGAACTGAGAAGAAGATCAAAGGAGACGGGAATGAATTGAGTGAGGATAAGCCCAACCTGGCCAACCTCGCATGAGAGTGGGCTAGGCTAGAAGGCTAGGGACGGTTTCCGGTCTCATCTGCTTGAGCTGCCAAGTCCAGCTGGTCGGGGAAAAAAGTTGCCCCGAGGTTCTGCCGCTCCGCAAAAATCATTTCGGGCTCGATGTACAAATCCTCTTCTTCCCACAACACGGTACTCTGCAGACCTCCTAGCACACTCTCTGTAAGCTGGCGGTTTCTTTCAAGGGTAGAGCTCAATATGAGACCCCTCACCGATGTTGAGACTCAAACTCTCTTTACAAAACTGGCCAACTACACCGGCCGCTCCCTGACCCAACTCATCGCACCAAGCGACTCCCCCGAAAAAGACGACCGCTACGTCTTCCGCTTGCACGAATCGCGCGTCTACTATGTCCGTCTCTCGATCGCGAACCTAGCCACTTCCGTTGCCCGTGACAACCTCCTCTCCCTTGGCACCTGCATTGGAAAATTCACAAAGACAGGAAAATTCCGTCTCCACATCACCGCGCTGGATGTGATTGCTCCGCATGCTCGTTACAAGCTATGGGTCAAGCCAAATGGCGAAATGCCGTTTCTATATGGCGGGAATGTAGTAAAAGCGCACGTGGGTCGGTGGAGTGAAGATTGTCCTGAACATTCAGGCGTTGTGATCCTTGCGATGGACGATACCCCCTTGGGCTTCGGAGTTACTGCGAGGAGCACGGCTGAGGCGAGGAAACTGGAGCCCACCAGTATCGTGGCCTTCCGGCAGGGTGATGTTGGCGAGTATCTGAGGGAGGAGGATAGTTTGTTCACGACTTGACCGCTGGGTTGCAAGACGATTTTGTGGAGTTTTACAGCAGATTTTTGGGGGGCGGACAATCCGATACAAATGCCAGCGGATCAGTGGGACATTGTCAACCCAGGTTGTCGCGAAAAGGTATTGGGAGGCAGTCACCCCTATGCCATCACTCCGCGCTTCCGATATGCCATTGAGAACTGAGAACCTCGCTCGAAACGAGAGCAAGAAGCACCAAAGAGCGAGCAGCCATACCATTTTCAAGAGCATTTCTTTATTAGACGATGTTCACAAGGAAGGGCTGGCTTTATTAGCGCCATGAATATGGTGTATGCTCAAGATGAATGGACGATGGAGTTGGGCCGTTGGGCTTGGACAGAGGTCTCAGTGAGAGACCTACGGAAGAGGAACGAGTTGCTGACCGCAGATCAGTCAGTTGGTGTCACCGGCGTCTGAAAAATTGTCATGAAAGGGAGATCAAGGTTGCTGGGGGGGAAGTTTGAGGAGCTCGAGATCCAACACAACGGATCGTTATCTCTCTTGACCAGACCCATTGTATTTTGTCCGGACCATGGAGTGAGCTCTAGACGCCCGTGTGAGTCCTCCCTATACACGACGCGAGATTCTGGCCGTGGCCTGGTCAATATCTATCCCATCATGCAAGGTCTTGGGGAGGAGGACGAATGTCGAGGATGTTCTGCGCGGACATTTTTGCATGAGATCACAGACTTTCAATGTTTTTCTTGCCCTGGTCTTTGCAACGCTTCTTCGGCAAAGACTCCTGTCCTGCCTGTCGAACTGGGAGTGTCCTCCGCACCTCAAGCAAGCTTGTATGGTTCAATGTCACCCACATGATCTTCCAGTTTTGGGATCTGTTCCTGTCCCCAGCTTGAGCTCACGCCTCAGCCCTCACTCCCCACCCCTCAGACTAGGATTCTCATAGAACGCAGTATGTCGTCGACATTATCAATAGATCCTTCCTTTCCTGGCTATTCACCCCACGGACCTCCGCACCTAGTACTCTTGCAAAAACTTGACTTTATATTAGTTAGCCTCGCGACGAATCCAAATTCAAGCTACACATATGAATCCGGGGCGATGATTGGCGGAAGCTCATCGGGAGTTTTCACTCCTTGACAGAAAGCTGGTGGTGCTGGAGGGGTAGAGAATTGGAGTGGAGTTTTATCGGTCTCTTCTTTTCGCTTGCAACAAAAGCCGTGCGGACGACGTACGGAGGACCCTCCCCATGCTGCGAGTACTAACACGGATACAGTATTGGTATGGTCAGCTGGATGTTGAATGATCACGCGAGCAGTCGCAATCAGTCGGCAATGGAAGGCTTCAGGACATAAAAGGGACAAACGCCATTGTATTCTGTACATGTGGGCAAGTTAGTCGGCCACCAAAGCCTCATGAACACACTTGCTTGCCACGAGGGCAAATATTGTATCTTCTTTTCGCAGTCCTCACCGCCTCCCCGAGACTCCGTCGTCTATTTGCCCTTCGAAACCAAATCCTCAACGGTTTTCCTCGCCTCTGCCGCCTTCTCATCCGCCCAGTCCGTCGCAAATTTCGTGTGCTGCCTCGTCTGCTTCCACGCTTCTTTTACAAATCCACTGATTTGGGAATGAGTTTCACTGATTACGGGCACCTTTTTTTCGTACTCCCAGATCAGGTCCGAGGTATTCCGCATCGTCACTGGAATGAGATACCAACCCGCCGCAATGCCCACCGCAAGCGGGAAAGTCGTTCGCAAGAATATTCCGCGGTTTCGAGTTACTATGGAGCCTGTAAGTGTCGCCACTAACACGTAGATAGCTCCGGGCAGGAGTTGCTCTCCGGTCTCGGGAGCTGGGGCCAAGGAAGCAATGGTGTTGCTGAAGTCTGTTTCCTTGCGGAATGCCCATGACAGGAATTTGTTGAAGGATGTTTCGGCGGAAAGAGATCGGTCATACAGAAACAAGCGCGCTTTCTTCACCTGCTCTGTGAGTCGGTCGGTGGGTGTAGGTGAGTGTGTGTTTGGCTTGGAGACCGGCGAAGTAGGGGAGGGCTCCGGAGTGGTTGGTGCGACTGGATAGTCGGAGTATATGGGTTTCTTGTCAGGGAGCTATAGAGGCGTCAGAAAAGCAACTCTAAGGCTGGAGGGGATCTATTTTCGCACCTCATCTTTTGAGGGAGCTTCTGCATAAACTGTGCGGAATGGTGAAGGAAATGAACGGACTTGAGTTGCGGCGGTTGCTCCCAGAGCGAATACTGCGGCCTGTTTCGACTATGTAAAGGTTAGTATCGTCGTGTAGGTCTGCGAAAGCCACTTACAGCTCGCAGGAGCCTTAATCGCGCCATGTTGAGAGTCGTTGGGTAGAGACTGTAGCTGGCGCAGGCTTGGATAACATTCGAGATTCAATCAGTCAGAGCTTTGGACACGGATCGGCCAAGCGGCCTTGGCACGCCCGCCAACTCCGAAAAAATATCACATTGAACATCACCTGAGCTTTTATCGGGATTGCCTATTATCAAGGACAGACCAGAAAGCCTCTCCTGAGATCTTCCGTACACGATAGGGTTTGCGCCCTCCATCTCGAAGGTTGACTGTCTTCGTTGCGTAGACATATCCACCACACAGTAGCCTTTAGCCAAGATAAAGATGGCTCTCGTCAAACTTGAAAGTCAGGAGCTGTTAAGCTGTCACCTTAATCCTGCATATATTTGTAGGGATAGCCTTTCTAGAGTGATAGCTTTATATGGCCTAGAGGCTAGATGATCGTATCGTAATATAGGTTATGAAGTTGTCTCTAGAAAACTTCTAAAGCTATCGATATATTATAACGGAGCACTTCATGGTTCGGTATGCACGTGCAACAATGCACAGAGGCCTTTTCTGCAGGTTGGTACCTTGAGAACGGCTTTCTGGCTGATGGTAGGACAGAACAACAACACCACCACCACAATAGAGGTGGCGGCGACAACATTCAACGGCAGGAAGAGACGGTAGAGACGCTTAAGGACAATAGAATGCTATGTTCAATCTGTAAACGAGTGGAATGCCAGCAAGGACCCTCAGTTAAATGCCTAGAAAACTGGGCCACCCACAGCCAGAATGAAGTAAAGCCCTCTGTCCAGACATGTGACTGGCCACTGCACAACCCTTAGTGTTTCCAAGGCAGTATCACAACCATTTCACTTGTTATGTGATTTCTGTAATTTTTAAATAAGTAAATATAGTAGTATTATAGTGTAGATTCTTGGGTCATGGCTTTCCCCTTTCGTGGGTGCGGCTCGCCCGTTTGCTCACCTCAGAGATGGTACCACGACCACCTCCTGACTGTCCTCTGAGAGATATCCAAACAATGTCAAGGCCTCAATCGTCGCTGGTGGCCGCGATCATCATGCCGGCAAGGGCAAGCTCCGAGTCTGAACCAGGTACCGGCGTTGTTGATTGTCTTTCGCAAAGCCTGGTATACATCAAATTTTCTCTTGGCTAGCAGGGACTCCTGGTCAGGGAGCGTTCCAATCGATGTGATGTAGTCTTCGGAGCTCGCAAGGATCCATCTGGCCACGGAAGGGTATTCCTGTGTGACCCGGCTGATCCACATTTAGAGCGGTAGAACGGATAGTCTGTGGTTAGTCCTAACGATGTAACGAGAACGTATGAGAATAATGGTGTAGTCTGGTTAGCAAGCCCAGTCTCCCGCTGTTGAGCGTGTGGAATTCACAGAAATGTACAAGCGACCTTTCATACTCACTCGGCTTAAATGGAACTCAGAAAAATGAGTCTAAGAACGATTGGATGCACATGATGTGCTTGGTGATGGTGTCCTCTGCGATCTCGAGACTGGGGACATCGCCAAAGAGCTGTTGGGCGTTGTAGATCCGCTCACTGGGCTCTCCATGCTTCCATGTCTTCTCATTCCGTTCCGTGCTTGTGCGCTTTCCATATTCTTATCTTTTCGCCATTCGAGCTCCGGGGATTCCCTTATTGACTCCGGATTTGACCAGTCTAGATTTCAACCGTCTCGAGGTTTGGTTTCTCTCTCCACCGGGCCTGACCAGGGTGTTGATGTCTGCGGGACTGTCGTGTCGCTGAAGTTTCACTGTCGCCCCTATTGCCATCTGAAGGACTTGTCTTAGAGGAGAGTTCCTGCTCCTAGATTGATTACCTATAAGGTATCATCCACAGCCCGGCCCAGAGGAGACTTCCTTTATTTTCACACTCGGAGAGCTGCTTCCTTGATCTTACAGTTTCTTGGTCCTCCGGCGTTGTTCATGAGCGCGTTTAGCGACTTGTTTGTTGATAAGGGATATGCAGCCTTCTCCCCCTTCGCAAGGGCTCCATTGCCCTTGGTCCAGACGACAGATACAAGTCTCTGGCTTGCGTTGGCATTCTTGCTGCCGAAAGCTCTAATGATACTCTGTGAGCCTCATGTCCATCACCACCGGAAACGAGCAGCCGGCATTTGGTATGAGACCGAAAGATTAAAGCAACTCGCGCTTAGCTGCGAGTCCTCGGAGTTTACGATCGAGGGTTTGGCTTCAGACCCTGAGGCTGTTGGAGTCAATGTGATGCCGTAGATGCCATTCCCAGGCATTGCAGAGCTCGTCATCTTACTTAATCCCAGTTGGGTAGTGTAATCTGCTACACCGTTACTCTGTCCCATATCACCAGACAGCGACGTTCTGCATGAATGTGGCTCTTCATTGGCGCGCAATGGCTCGTTAATATTTAGGTGCATGTAGAACCAATTGAAGTACTAGATTCTTGTAAATTTGGCCATTGCGACAGGAGCAGCGGTCTCTATTGCTTAGATAAGCGTTTGTAGTTAACAGCACCACAAAGGGTGATTTCATTGTCATTATTAATCTGCATATTGTCCCCAGCTGCCCTTTTGAATCACGCTGAGGTTGAGATAGGGAGATACGAGTACGAAATTTCCACTCAAGGAAATCGCTAGGTTTGCAACTGTTGATTCAGATTAGTTCACCTGGGCGGGGAGAATGGGTCATGCTCTGAGGTGAGGGGCACCACCTGTTGTTATTGCACGCGGCACCGCCTAATTCACCAGCCACGTGCAACAAGTTCGGGTGCCGATGTTCCCGTATCATCAAGTTTGGAATCGAGCGTAACTAATGGATTGGGTTGGCTTTAAATTAGTAACACGATATGCACATATTCGACTCGGTTGATAGAGGGTGACATTTCCACTGATTTTGGGTAAGATATGACCATGTTAACGGGGGCCTGTTTCTTAAGTATGCGTAAAACCCTGCCAGCCAGTTCAGTTCGTGAACTGGTCTACCAACTGGCGTGGACTCCTATGTACCAGCGTTCTTTGTGGCTCATTCGCGAGCCAAACTCCATTGCTTAGATTTGTTCAGCCATATATCTCCACCATCTGAATTACCAGTGAAAAGGCGAGCATGTAAATGGTGCAGGAGCAGTGTTCGCTTTCTGTTATCCGCACCGCCAAAAACCTTCAGTCCATCAATGATGATCTGGTTGACTCTTGCCTCTTGTTCAAGTCTTGATTCTGGAGGCGAAAACTCCTGCCGGACGTGGCTGATTATCGAGCCGAGGGTAGTTGATCTCAAAACACACATTTGTGCCTCTGGAGAGGTGGAGAAGCTCCCTTCGCATACTTCTTCCAACCTTGATACAAAAGATTCGAATTTTGAAATACTGGATTCGAGTGGCACCAGTGTATGCGAGAGGTGCAGCAATACAAGAAATGTCCCTGACTGCACGACGTATGGTACTGAGTGGTCAGACACAGTAACAGCGTTTGTGAATTTGTTCAGGATCTCCCATAGTTTCTTTCTCGCCGTAGTCAATGACTGATAATATCGACAGGTTAATTTGGAATCCACGAAGAATTCGGGCAGATCCGAGTTGTCGGACCCAGGTGGAGGAGTTGTAGTACAGATATGGCCAAAGTTTGCGAGAACCGAGTGTAAAGAAGACAAGAAATTCGTTCGAGTCACTTGCTGCTCAATCTCAGAGGAGAATTTATACTCGGCAAACATGTACTGGACTGAAACATAGAAAGGGTCCACCAGCTTCGGCTGTAACTTGGGGATGTTACTCATGCCACCACGCTGAGCCAAGATAGCACCTAGGCATTTCATACTGTTCTCGACTGATCGAGTTCTCCCCAAAGCGAACTCGACTAGTTGAGTGAAAATTATGGCGGCGAGCACAGCATCGATATCTTGATTCGGATCTTGTATAACATGGCTCAGCAGTCGGTGAGTATGGTTTTGTCGTGTTGAAACCCCCATGTCGATGGTACCGGTTTTCTGCTGATAGTAATTGCTGGCGATGGTTAAAATTGAGGCGAGGGCGACCTCGTAGGTCTGCACTCCTCGCGTCCCCAATTGTCGCAGGGGACAATATATGCCGTCGGGTCGCGTGCCAAATATGGGCATTGGCATTTCCCTGAAATCTTGTCGAAGTTAGCAGGAGCCTGATCTGGGATTTTGGACCTACACAAATGGACTAGCGATCGATCCCGAGCACTTAATGAGCCGGGCAACATAAAAAAGGGGTCAAGGACTCGATTGAGATTGCACTGAGGAGATAGTGACGGACTCTGTGAGCAAGCAAACGTGTGCGACCCATCTCCTTTCTTCGTCTGATAATCATCCCCGCTCGACTGATGAATCAATTCACGTATGGCGATGGTCGTTCTCTTCTTGTGTCGTGATTCTCCAACATCTGAGAGTTGATTGTCTCGTGAGCGCTCTACCTTGGGACTGAGAAGGTGTTCCTGCGGTCGTTTAGAGGCTTTTAGCTCTCGCCTGCGGGCGTGCGTCGCCTTAGCAACATGGCGATTGATGAAAGAGAGAGTGGATTTCTCCTTCCTCCTGTTCTCCCAAGAATTCCCAACGACAAGAAAAGCAACCTGCTTAGAGTGGTCCATTCGGTCTTTTGACCAAATGTTGGTTCTTCAATATGTTCTGGCTCCTCTAATATATAAGATGGCAGGAATGACAGTGAGAGGATAAATTTCCGATCTAGGTTTTTCGAGCTCGAGCCTTAGTTTAAGTCGTGGAAATAGGCCACCATGACACTCGTCCTAAATAGGAATGCGTAGGAGGAAGGAAGACGACGGAAATCTGCCGCATTGGTGGTGGCGATTGGCCAATTAGCAGACTGAGTTGTTAGGACTTCTGCCCTCTGGTTTCAAATTGTCAAGTGCTAGCACCAGACGCCTGGCATTAGTTGAGTCTTCTGTTGCGTCCTTGAGGCTATCTACCCACTAGGTTTAGACTAGGCGTGAACGAATTCTACCCAGCAAGATTTCAGATGGAGGACTGAGGCTTCTAGGCGACAAGTCTAGGCGTCGAGTAGCTAGTGTGGGCTTGTATTTGCAATGCTCATTATTTACACATTGGTTATCATATGCCGTGCCTAACAGTAAGGTCGTTGCGTGGTGCAGCGGCCATCCTGAGCGTCAACCAAAGACGTAGTATTCACAATGTGAATGATTCCTGTGCTGGTGTCTTCAGCGCCACGACTACCAGACGTAACGTTGGATTCATAGTTTTACCTGATACTCAAGTTCCCTCAATAGTATGCTTTTCACCGTTGTTCTTGTCCCCGTGGTGAATCAAAATTCCCCATCCCAAACTTAGAAACTGTGGCTTCGCACGAAATTCCGAGTCCCGAATGCCGGAAATAGTTCCCAGGTTCCTATACCTTCAAACATCTTCACCCCTAAACATCCCTCCTGACAACCGAATTTTCGCTCCAGAGAGACTCGAGTGGTTTTGACGAGTCTGGCAGAGAATTATTTGCTATTATTCCTGTCAATTTGGCTACTCATGGAAGGGGTGCCACGTTTTTCTTAGTTTGGTTGTTATATGAAATAAGCAGATCTTACTATTTCTCGTCCAAAGTCTCGACCTGTTGCCCAATACCCTTGGCATAGTTTAGCTTTTTCTTTCGAAACATGCGCTGAGATGTTCGATTCCGCTCTCTCCATCTCTGCCTCAAAAAACTAGAATTAAATACTGGCAAGGGGCGATTGGACAGATGCATACTGCACTCTTAGTTTGCGTCTCGGGGGTTTCGTTCCGACGGTTCCCTATCCGGTTGTTTGAATTTATGTCAAGAGTGGGAGTGTCAGAGTCGGTAGAGTCGTAGCTAGGAATCAAGCTGCACTCTGGATCTTGAGAGACTTCTCGGTCCCGGAAGAATTTTAAATTTCGCCCGTCAGGAATGCATCTAGATAGGGTTGAAACTTAGGTTCGAGTGAACATCTAGCTATAATGGAGGCAGCGATTCTTAATATACAGCATTAAGTCGTGGATCTGATATTCCCGGTAAGGGCGCAATGTCGGACCCTTCCGAACCAATTCTAGAAGAAGACGACGTGCCTTTCGGTAAGTGGCATGGGACGAAGTGGCCCATAGTGGTTGATATAAGACGGAGGCCGGTCAAGACAGCTTGTTGTTCTTGCGGGACTTGATAAGTTGAGTCCGTTGTAAGTGTAGAGATCCCGGTGGCGGCATTTCTTCAATTTAAATGCACCCAGCTCGATAATTCTGACAAAGAGATTAGCGAAGATGCGTGCTAGGCGAATTTCCACGGTTTTCATTTGAGGCGTGGCGTCCAGGAGGCGCACCCTCCAATACAAACCTTGTCCGGGAACGACCCTTACACAGGGCGGTTCTAAAAGCCTAAAAAGTAGGGCAAATACAAGCGTATCCAGGCATTCCAATCTGGGCTTGACCTCTTGCTCCGGCTCTTGCATTTATTTGTTTCTTGGTTGTTCTATCATTATCAGGCCAAGGTCAACGTAGCTTTTGCACGCATTCCAATCTTGGAGTAGCCTTCCCGACCCAGCTACTGCATTGATTTTCATTTCCATTGTTGTATCCTCCTTAAAGCAGGGTCCATGTGGCTCGGGTGACTAACCTTGATTCAAGGACAGTTTCTTCGTTGGGTCCAATGGCATTCGAAGATGCATGCCATCAATGGTGGGAGATAGATCTCCGCTGCTATCCTCAACAACAGTACCGTCCCTGTAGTTTGAGAGTGACCCTAACGTCTACGATGTCCATTTAATTATCTCCATATACTCTGGGTAGCCTCCCCCACACAGACTATACGTAATGTCGTGTTTTGAGTTCCTTATTAATGATGAAGGGGTGAAGAAAGTTGAGCTGGGGTAGGTAAACCCAACTCGGGCATGGGATTAATTGGATTATGGGTTTTAAAATAGATGAGTCATCTGTTGTGTTGAGTGACTCATGACCGAGACCCAGACTCACTACGGTCGATCCGATAGCTGGATGCGGGTGCGCGCCTGCCAAATATGCTTGGAACTCCGATAGGCTCCATGTTCAGACTAATTGCAGCTCATTCGGGTGGAGGAATCTGGAATCTGGAACTACGAGTAGAAACCTTCCTCTCACTAGGGTGATAACTTTTGGTGTTGGCCTTGGAAAAGCCCAGTCAAGCGAAGTATGCGAGGTCGGCGTGTCCGTTTTGTTACCGTACCGCCCTCGCCGCCTATGCAGTGACTAACCAGGGCTCTTGGCACGCTCCGCTTTCCTTCTTGGGATGGGTAGGACGCTGATATGATTGGATGATTGTCTTCTTGGCGTTTCGAGCCGCAACGTCATCGTCGATTTTCAGTGGCTGCGGTCAAGAGTATGTATCATCGTTCCCAGAGCGTTTCCCTCTTGACATTGGATAGAAGTTGTTGTTGTGTTCTCAGAATACCGAGATAATTATTAGAATATTTCTGCCCGGCTGACTTGCTGCAATGTAACCACAAATCAATGGAAATGGTCTCTGGAAGTTGCATGGTCAGAGAGGTCAAATACGACCTCACAGGGAGACCGGAAATGGTGATGCAGCCAGGCGTCTGGTCTGTTTAGGCGGATTTGAGATGAGTGTTCTATGCCACTTCATTGACTGTCAGAAGTGGAGTGGAGGACCATGTACATCCCACGTGGTTGTCTCTCGGGAAGAATTTGGACTACACTCCAGAAACGCAGACTACACGGCCAATCAAAACATTTCTGCTAATTACCGAGTATTCAATCAGCCAAACTAAAGGCTTTTTGATGTAGTGGGTCACGGCGACAACTACAATATGGAAGCTCTCTCTTCACTCAGCCAGAGATACTTGCTGACATCATGTGTGTCAAAGCGAGTGGATTAGAAGCCGGACTAGAGAGGTTACGGAAAAGTGAGGTCGATGCTAAATGGGATGCAAGGACTGCTCGAACTACATGCAGCCAGTGCATGGTGCAAGGCAGGAAATTACGTTAAGTGAGGATGATGTCCGCAAGTTGAAAGACGTCCTGCCCCACTATTAGAATTATTCACAGTCTGATAAGCTGGACACTCGAATACCGACAGTCGGCTCATAGGAACAATCTTTCGACGTCGCCAAGTGGAGAATCCCTGCTCAAAACTCCTTTCAAAAACTAGAAGAATGGTGGCCACACGAAAATCGCCTCGTGTGGTATTCACCCTACACTCAGAGGGACTTGAGAAGGCATATCATATTCTGGCCCGTGATAGGATCTAGACTCTGGTGTGGCCATGTCTTAACTCATCTGCCCTAGGTTACATCCACCTCGAGGACCGTCAATCTATGTTTTGCAATGAGTCCTGCACACTGCTCAACAGTTCCCAGCTCTTCCGCAAGCAATTTTGTTCACCGCGTCATAGCCGATCATCACCCCTTCAATCAGAGACTCAGACCCTACTATTTACTGCACAAGAGCTAAATATCCTGTGTTGTGTGATTTGAAGATGCACTGAAGTACTATCAAATCCCCGTGTTCTCTTGACGTGAAAGGAAAATTCGAGACGACCCGATCTAATGCATCTCCAGCCTTCTATAGATTTTGTCCTCATGTCAGTTGGGCAAATCGCCCTTCCATCGCTTTGGGAAATGAGACGGCAAGAGCAAATCAGAAGCGAATGAAGCGACAACACAAGCTTACAGCTGTACGTACAGAGTACTCCGTACACATTCCTTAGTATTAGCTGCAATGCCCCAGATTAAGGGCAGCTTGAACATTTGTGTTGGGCTAGTGGGCTAGGGCTTGGGCATGGCATAGGGCCACCAGTATGAGGTGATTGTACTAGATAATGTAATGGTCAGTCAAGCACTTATCCAGTATGAGCGGGGAGGCAGTATCCGAGAGGGGAGAGGGGGGAGGGAGGTCGAACAGTTTGAGGGATCAACTCCAAGTGTAACGAGTGCTGCATTGGTCAGTACTACACGGACGGCTTGGTCTAGGAGCCTCTTCCTGCCTGGGCTTCGTCACGACGTCTAGGTACCAACGCCTCGACTATCGACCATCTACCCATCCTAGGGGAGGATGAAGAGCGGTGAATAGCTATGCCAGTGACTAGAATACGCCTGCTACCTCAACACGACACAGTTTTCACGTAGCCACCGTGTCACTCATCACCAATATTGGTGACTCCATGGATCCGACTAAACCTCCGACGTGCCGTTGCTGCTCCGGTGCGGAAGTTGATCGAGTAGAGCCTGCTGTCTGTCGAAAGAGAGAAAAGCGAGTTCGGTTTTCATATCTACTGTCTTTGCACCTCTTGCATGGAGAATCTGCTGGAGGGCCTTCAGATGGATAGACGCGATCTCGAACTCTTCGAGTAGCAGAGCCAGTCGCATGAACAACATCACTGTCTGCGCGCAATCATCTGTCCACACAGGACCCTCCAGTTCTTGCCGGAGATATGGTAGCGATTTTGTCTGTAGATACAGCCATGTAAAGGTTTCTCCGGTAGTTGGACCTTTGTCTCCGGCCGCCGCGTACCCAGCGGCCGCATACAACAGCATTGGACAGGAACGGATCCGTGTAGCATCCGCGCACCAGGTCCATCGAGGGGAAAAAGAAAGGGCGATTGGCACCACCGTCTCGAGGTACACGCCGAGAAGATGTTCAAGATGCGTTGTGGAGTGATTCGATGGTGCTGACGATAGAGAGCTCACATTTTGTGGCTCAGGGGTAGACGTTGGGGAGGTTCCTTCACTGTCACCCTCACTGCTGGCACGCGGTGCCTTCTTCCATCCCGATGTGATCTGGCGCACCGACGCATCGGAATGCAAGAACTTGTTGTATTGGCGTTTTTGCTTCCTCCGATCCGCGACGTGTTGGCGCAGAGCCTCCATTTTGGGTGAGTTTGGGTGGATTTTGCCATTGTAGGTGTCGATTTCAATGAAGAAGAACTCTGAAAGAGGAGGCAACTGCATTTCAAGCCGACAGTCTGACACCATGTCTCCCTTCGACAGTGGAGTCTACTCCTGTCTGGTCCCGGAAGTACTGATTGTCGACGTAGACTCGGTTAGATTTCCACCAAAAGTTTATTGGACTTCTTCTTGTAATAACTTAATGAGGCTTATGCTTCCCTTTTGGCGCCTGAAGCCCTATTCTTCTTGTCTTTGTCACCCAAGGGTTGATAATAATGCCAGGGTCTCGTCGGTTTTTGAGATCATGACAAGCTCTACCGGTGGCAATGGTTGCTGACTTTCTTGTCAATCATCTGCCGATAGATGGACTCACGGCTTTACACCCGGTGCATATACTTCACCCAGAGTGACTGCTACGACGGACCGCGGGTGCACAACATGGAGAGGGAGGGATTCGACCACTTAATTTGGGTGCAGACTTGAACATCCTAACTAGGAAGTATCAAAGAGTGGACGCCGCCCAGGTTGACTGCACGATTAGCAGATCCGGCAGCCTGTCGAACAAGCCTACATACATTTCTATCCGTGTCGCTGGTAGTTACACACTCTTTTTGAGGCACTGAATTATGATTGATCAGAGGCAGACACGCTCAGATGAGTTTCTGTATTCTTTGCTTATGATACTTCTCGAAGAAGGGTCTCAGCGCTACAACACGGACGTGAATCGACCGGGACGGAGTACATACTAAAAAGCTGTGGGGCTGGGAGGCTTGACGCTAGCGTCGAGCTGGGCGTAATGATACTTCCCAAATAGGAAGTATCTCGAGGGAGCCAACCAGCGTCATTCCTTGTATACTTCGTGGTGCACGCTAACATAGGAGGCCGTCGGGAAAAGACACCGCTGGGTTCATTTAGTAGGTAAGGATATTAGTCATATTCCAAATATTGAAGCTGCCCCTGTCGCATGCCGAATCAATCCAGCCAAAGAGATGAAGCAGATCCTTCAAATCGTCATAGGTAGTAATGCCTAGACCTGAAATCAATTGGCGGCACCGGGATACAAACCGACCCCGGGTGCCCAGATCGTCATCGTCTACAGCCACAGCGGTAACCATGCACACCCATAAGAGAAGCTGCTGAGAACCCTCTACCGTCCTGAGGTTGTCGAACCAGGCGACCCTCTCTAGGAGATTGGGAATCAGTGACTGTCTTATGGAAGCCGTTGTTGGAATCGGAAAGATGACATGGAGACTATACAGTTGTGCCGCTAATCTGGTACAGAGGTAAAGCATGTGATACATCCCTTGATTCTGTGCGGCCGATGCTGAATTTTCCTCTAGCGAAAGCGCACCTTGCATCGTGTCTGGCAAACATAGCAGCCGATACATGAGGTCGCTGCGGCTGTCAAGGATGTCTGTCAATGCCCTCGACTGACGATTATCGGCAAGGTAAATTTGGATGGCTTGCGACATCTCACTGATGTCTAAGAATGTCTGAATAATATCAGGACGAATACTTGCTCTTTCGAAGAGATGAAACCCTCCGCGGGGCAGTCGGAAATGGTACGGTATGTCATAGTATTCAATATGCCGAATGGAGGGGTCAGATAACTAAACCATGTATTGGAAGAGATCGATTATATCTTTGTCAAGCGCGAGGCGCGAGATCGCCTACACGACCAAATATAAGAAGAGGAACGGCGCGACCCAATCGTTGGACAATGCTCAAATTGTGAAAATGAGCGACCAAGCGTAGACTGATGCCGCGGTTGTCGCAAAGGTCTAGAATAGCGGGCAAGGGTGGGAATCATTGGTCTCGGTTCAATCATGTCCTGCTGGAGAGGGTGTACTCTCAGGAAAGGATTGACGCTATTTCCAACGAGACGGCATCTGATACTAGTAATCGTCCTACAGCTGGCCCTGGCCATGATGTTGACCCTTATGCCCACGTCCTTCATTACCATGATCTGCTCCATCATGGTAAGTATACCACCCGCCATCCCTATCACCATTCCAATCATTGTGGTCATGGTAGCCTTCATTCCCATTGCCATTATGACCTCTATCCCCTCTGCCATGATTCCCGCCGCAGCAACAGTGGTGCTCAGTACGGTTGTCATGATGTCCGTCGTAATGCTGGTCACGGTTATTACCCAGATCCCGGAATTCGTCATCGCTGTCGTCGTACAGATCCGGATCCATATCGGACATATTGTCATTGTCATCGTCCTCGCCGACAGCGGCGTCTCGGTTGTATGGTCTATGTTGCTCGGGGTGCAGATGATGATGACCGGGGAATTGGCCTCGGATAGTTAGACCGAACTACTTGTATAGCTTACGGATGCCGGCGTCATGTTGGTCGTAGCTAAAGTATTGTTTTGACAAGTTATAGACATGCTTCGAGTGCTGGTGCACCGCTGGTTGGTGTTAGCTCTCATCCATGCCTCACACGGTCAATTAGTGGATTTCCTGGCTCCAAATTCGTATCTTTATCGAAGTGAGCTTGAATATTTGACAGTATTCGCCTTCAGCACGACCAACATCCCCATACTCGTAGATAGCTGCTTTAGTTTCTTCGAGTAGTCCTCCGATTCGGTCTTCTGACAGGTCGTCAGCCCAATCCGCTATAGTGCCTTTCATTTCTTGTGGGAGAGCAAAGTCGATTTCAGGTATTTTGTATCTAGGAGAGTTGTGTATCACCACGCTGTTACAGAACTTGGAGTATATCTAGATTGTATATGATTTGTTCTAGAAAGGCAATCATTCAGTTGAGATTGTTGGAATGCGTTGTACAGAGGAACAAAATCCCTACCCTCAGCGGCTCAGCATGTGGAAATTAGTGAGTAATATATTGTAACAGAGCACTTCAGGGTTTGGCGTCCACGTGCAACAACGCACAGAGACCTGTCCAGCAGATCGGGAATCGAGAACGCGTTTCTGGTTGATACTGACAAGACAACACCACCAACACCGCCCCTGAGAGACAACGGCTAGGGCTACGAACACCTAGCACAGCGGCAGCATCGAGGAACAGCACAGAACAGATAAAACACTCAGGAATTAGGTAGACGGCGCCAAAAGCCGTAGAATTCGTCGTACCCTCTTTGTCTGTAAAGAATGGCACACGGCCAGCACTGTAAACTGTCCTGCTCCCAGCGATCTAATTAGGTTTGACATGTGACCTGACAGACCTCTGCCCTGCCAGTTCACCACCACCCCAGCACTGCACAACCACCTTGCCTTGTTACAATATTTACATGGCGCTTCCTCGTAGAAGCCTGGGAGGTTTGAAGAGGCTTGGGGGAAGGTAAGCAATCACACTCCTTCTGATGAGCTTCGTCCAAGCAAGGAAGCATACCAGCCATAGGTGCTATAGGAAGTATCCTGGCGTAAGCTTACATCCACATCAATTCAGAATACGAGCTCTAAGTTGGTACAGTGCTCAAGGCAGGCCAGCAGCGCAAATCTTCTTCCTGCGCAAAATGTATTAAATACGAAGTGAGACCGAAAGTGGACCCCTCTAGCATTGCCGTTACTCGGCTACCTAACTCCTTTCATATGGTGCTCCTTGTACAAGCTGGATTGTTTATTTTATTCAAACTTGATTCTATCATCCTTTCTCCATAGTGGGCAGCGAACTACGGGGTGGGTTGCCGCCCCTGCTCCAGTCTTGGATCTTGGACAACGTTTTCCAAGATTTCTAAAGAGACGTCCCTAATCTCGTGGGAGAGGCAGTAGACCTTCGTAGCCACAGTGCTACGACGGAAAGGAAATCAACTCATCTTTTCCGAAGCTCATGTCCGTAGCGGAACTCCAATTATACTTACACATTCTAGACGAGTGTTGAGGTGGCGCAGCCAAGGCCACCGTAGCAGATATCGCATATCGGATATCAGGGCAGTGTCAACAGTTGTTTGATCGACAGCGTCGCCTGTAACAGAACAGCGTTTGCAAGGATGGCAGCGACAGGAAAAGTTTCAGGTAGATCTACCAGTCACAGGCCAAATGTCTATATAAACAGAAGCAACTGAGTGAAAGGACTGATCGACAGGCACATCATGGACAGATCGATGCTGTTCACTCTACGTAATTAAGATGATAGTTCTGAGTCTGACAGGACTACACACCATACATCAAGTTGTTTTTCGTAAGTGTCTACTTGCGATTACCTAGACGTTCAGATATCAATTAGGATTGTTTTGCTGGGAAGTTGAGGGATGCAAGTTTCCATCTAGTCAACGACGCAAGGTGCAGTTCGATAAAGCGAATCCATGGGTTAATCAACCTTCGCGTTACAATTCCCCCACAGCCTTCCGCATGTTAGTCCTCCATGTTTCGAAGTACGGCTTCATCAGGTCCTGCATCTGTTCGTTGGTGGGGTTGTTTGCCAGGATTCGAAAATACCAGTCATCTTGCGCAGCTTTCTCGGGAGGATGGCTGTGAACTCGCATTTTGTTCTGCGAGGATGTGGGATCGACAAAGAACTGAAACACCTTTCGTCTCTCATCCGAATAGACATCCAGCACTTTATCGGACCGACCTTCCCTCAGCACCATCATGAGGGCTTCGGCCAATGCATCAGCATCCAGCATTCCACTGTTTAGACCGAGGGCACCAATGGGCTGTAAGTAAGTCAGTATTGAACGTATCACCCTGAGAACGGACCCTGGCTCACATTGCATACATGGGCGGCATCACCGGCAAGTAGGCAGTTTCCCTTCCTCAAGGTTGGCGCCAGACGTTGGTGTATTCGGTACAGGACTCGTGCTTCAATTTGAGCTTGCAGTGGCCGTGGGCCTGGCAAACGGCTTTCATAAATCCCAAGGATATACTCGTCGGAGAGCAGTTCATCATCGGCCTTTGTCTCTTCCGGCGGAATAGCGATCGCATATCTCCAGAGAGTCTTCTTCCCAAGCACGGGCTCCTCAAGTGGCGTGGCCACTCCCCAATACTTCTCGGCCATGTAGTAGTACGTATGCCACACAGGGTCCTCAAGGTTGGGCACTCTCACATTGGTTGCCAACAGTCTCTCTGGCCATTGATGACCTGGGAACGGGAGACCGAGGGCTTTGCGCAAGTTCGAGTGAGACCCATCTGCTCCGATACAATATTTTCCACGGTATTGTCTTTCCACACGCGTATCGACGTCCCGGGCGAGGACGGTGACACCTTTCTCCTCGCTATTCTCCAAGATTGAGATGAATTCTTCCCCGAAGTTGACACGGACTCGACCCGTCTGGAGTGCCTGTTGAAGGAAAAGCTTGTTAAGCTGACCCTGAGTGAGGTTCAACAGCCCGGACCCGACTGGGAATGAAGTATCATCTGCGGCACAGAGAGGCTGGACCGCAACGACGTCGCCAAAGCGTTTCCCATCCTTACTGTCGTTGTCCTTTGGCAATCCTCGCCAACACAAGCCGCGGGTCATGAAGCCTTGATCCCGGATCAATTTGTACAACCCAAGCTCGTCCAAAAACCGCTGGACGGCACCGAAATATCCGCAAGCCCGAGGCGCCTCACTCGTTTCCAGCAGCCTTTCCACGATCTGAACGTCAATCCCAGCTTGGGCCAGTTTGATTGCGGTGAGGCATCCTACTACTCCTGCGCCAATAATAAGAACCGTGGCATGGTTGTCGTTAGCAGAAGTAGCATCACTTCGTAGCGTATCTTTTGTAGCCATACAGTGCTAGAGATTAGTTCTGATTGCCGGCTTGCTTTAGCAGTTCGAAGAATGCAATTTACACCCCTTATGTGCACGATCTGCTTAGAGGTCTGGCCCAAGCTTTTCTATCAGAAACTTGTGGCTCATGTCGTCCCTACTTCAAGTCGAGACCACGGCATAAAATAGGTGATTTTGTCAGGTAGGTCTTGCCCATCTCAGAATCTTTGTTTCTAGCACGAATCAAACTCTGTGTCTCTATCTGGACGGGGCGCCGAGCGGCTTCCCCCATCCCCGTACAGCACGGAGGAGGGCTTCGGCGAAGTTGTGGAGAAAGTGGGGCGAGGCCACCAGGCTCTCGGACCCCATCAGATGAAGTGCAACTTGTTGTCTTCCGGGGTAAACTGTGATCATGCTCGCAGTGCTTTGGTTCAGGCCAAATCAAGAACCTGTAGGCTAAGAATGGTGGGTATCATACAACACTTGAATTGACGATGGCTGACTGCAGTGATGTACTTGAATCCATAGCCTTCTTGCTGCACAAGACATATTGTTAAGATCTATCTGATCACAGGATTGAGATTTATCTCCTGCTACCTCATTGAACCAATAAATACCGATCACCATCAATATGTTCTATGCATTGACCTCGACGCCTCCTTATGTTTTGCCGTGGGTATCGCTGGGACTGCTTGCCGCTCTCTCCATTCTCTATACCACTATATACCGTCTTTTTTTCCACCCTTTGGCCAAATACCCAGGGCCTCTACTCGCCAGAATAACCGGCCTGTACATGGTGAACCAAGCAATACGATGTCGGGACACATACACTCGCTACGAATTACACCAACGATACGGAAAAGTTGTACGCACTGGTCCCAATGAATTATGCTTCGCCGATGCCGCATCCATCAAGGACATCTACGGGCAGAGCACCGAGCCTTGTCTCAAGGCCCCCTACTTTTATGACGGCTTTACCTTGACGGGAACCAGCTCAGTCTTCTCTTCGACGGACCGGATCGGACACGCACGCATGCGTCGCCTACTGTCGCATGGCTTCTCGGAGCGTGGCGTACTCTGCTTCCACGACGAGATCAGAATAAGGATTGAGAGATATCTTTCGATCATGTCCCAGTCAACACCGACAGACGCAAACACAGAATCAGCCATCGAACTACACGACCTCACTCATAATCTCTTCCTAGACATAACTAGTCAGCTCAGCTTCGGCAAGTCATTTGATATCCTGATCGGTAGGGACCCTGAGGGAGCACGAGACATCGAGACGTACTTCAACATCTCTCCTCTATTCGGCGTGTTCCCCGTGGCACGATACTTGCCATTTGGCCCATTCAAGGCGGCGCGAGAAGCACAGCCACGAATTATACGGTTTGTGCGGTCGTGTATCGACGATTTCAAGGTCCGATTGAGCCAAGGCACGTCACAGGCTGGCCTGCTAAGATTGATGGTCGAGGCCAAAGATGAAGAGACCAACTCTTCGTTTTCGGTCAACGAATTAATCGAAAACGCGGTCATCTTCATCATCGCCGGATCAGGGACTACCGCTGCTACACTGATTTATCTACTATACGAGGTTGGACGGCGGCTGGAAATACAAGGCAAGCTGGAGAAGGAAATCAGAGTCACATTTCCAGATTTAGATGCGTTTCCTGATTTTGAAACCGCTACGAAACTGGTAAGTTGGCCATAATGACACCCCTTTCGTCTCCTAATCCGTTAAGTATTTTCCTTTTACATTCTGATAAGCAATGCACTCCTCTTCCGCTCCTATGCTGATGCACCGAAAGCCATACCTTAACTGCGTCATGCAAGAAGTTCTTCGTCTTCGAGCCCCAATTCCTACTGTCGCGCCGCGCGTCTCGCCCGGAAAAGCCATCGGGGGCGAATATGTCCCTGCTGGCACGATCGTGAGTAACTTGGCGTACACCACTCAGCGAGACGCGTCCGTCTTTCACAATCCGGATTCATTTATACCCGAACGGTGGGAGCATCCTACGGCCGAGATGAAAGTTATGCACCGACCATTCAGTACTGGACCTCGGAATTGTGTTGGGATGCATTTGGCCAGAGTGCAGTTGCTGTTGACGGTGTGTGCGCTGTACCAGAGATTTGAGATTAGCTTGGATCCACGCATGACTGAGGACATGATGGTCCAGAGAGATCTGGGAGTCATGACTCCGATTGCCAAACAGTTGTGGGTTCGGATCCGTCCTCGAAAAGTGGACTAGAGAAATCTATATAGCAGAAGGTACATATAACTCATTCTAAGGATAGGCAGAGCGAAGAGAAACCGAATAGAGACAAACTCTACGCTAATTTCAAGTGAAAGTCCTATGGTTGGATATGAAGATTCAAGTCGGTGTTCGAGACGAAAGTAACTCTTTCATTGATGTCCGCTTGACCAAAACTGAGCAAGTAAACTCTCGTCTTCTTTTCTTAATTTAGACATACAGGTCATTCTCTCAGACATAGTTATCGTTGCATTTCTCTCTGTGCTTCGTCGGCCAGCCGGTCAATGTCGATGCTCGGCGACACTTGAATGCCCTGCCATTGAGCCAATGTATGTGCCACCTTGGTGACCGCTTCCAATGTTCTCACGGGGTATCCAAACGCAATGCATGCCTTGATGTGACTTCCTGCCTGTCGCGTGGCTCCAAGAGCTATCAGAGATGAAGTCAAGATCATTTCTACTTCGGCAAGAGAAAAGCAAACTTCAGTGGCACGACCAATGTTGTACCTGAAAGAGTGTGTAGTAGTCAGTCAGAATATACCTTATCCATGGTGTCTATGACATGATAGAGCATACTTCGAAGTTGGTATGAACAAGGAGAAAAGAGCAGCCAAACAATCAAATGTTCTTATGGACTTACCCGAAACCAATCGAGTCCAGTGCATGGGAAAAATCCCCAAAGTATGTACTCAGCATCCGAAACACCTCGCTGTTGGCAGAGGCTTTGTAGATCTCTTTTCGAGTCTGCCATCCCAAGTCCGCATCCTCGGGACGGATGCCATGTCTATGGATCCGTATACATGTCAGTGGTTTGAACGATAATAGTATCAGGCCTAGTTTTGGGCTAAAAGCTCCCCAGAAGTCACCACTTACCGGGTTAGAGTCTTTTCAGGGCTCAAAGCCATGATCCCCTTTGACTCGAAATATCCAGCAACCCCAAGGCATGCTGGGATGACCTGAGGGACACCCACAAAGGGCCAGATGATATTGATAGCCTCGCGCAGCTCCCAGAAGTGTTTTGAGATTGTATCTGCAGAGTTTGGTTCATGGACCGTTTTGGTCAAGCATAGAAACAAGCGAGGAACAAGATCTGCTCGCTTCATTGCACAACACATTGCTGCCTTGTTTCCACTCGGGTCAGCACAGATATTACTGGAAAGTTTAGCCAGCGAGAGCACATAGCTGTGAGAGAGAGCGTACATACTAGCACGCAGACTCCAATCTTCTCCATGCCTTCCGTCTTGTTGAGTTCACATAACAAGTTTCCAACCAGGAAAGGTTCGTCGAAAAGGGGAGAGCCAAGGTTGATGTTTGTGTCAACATACCTTGCCAGGAAGGCATCAAAGTTGAGTGTTGATGACATTGGTTCTGAGGTCGCGTCTGCCAGCATTCTGGCAAGTCTCGGACGATGGTCTCAGTGAGACATGACTATGTGGGCCATATCAGAGAATCGTAGTCTCTCAGCTCGGCGCCTTCACAGGGTGCAAAGAGCGACAGCCGCTTTCGTCTTACTACGCTTAGGCCATCAAAATTGACAATCGGCTTCTTTCCGCCTCCCCAAGTCTACCAACTAGATCCACATCTCGAAAGACACAGCCATATTGTCTCCCGGTCTTTAACTCTCGGACCCCCACCTCTGTCCGAGGTTCGATAGAGAGACAGGGTTTGCTAGAAGCCAACTTGCCACTCCGTGAAGATTGGATTACTAGGCAGAGAGGTTTACTTGTCAAGTGGGGAGCAGGCTGCCATAGCCAGCGGTTGAGGTCGGTCCCGGGCGATCCCGTCTTCGATGGGGTTGCCTGACTTTCTGAGAGCAGGACGGCGCTCCAGTACAGACAGACCACCATGAGACGCCGAAACGCGATCTGTCTACCTTTGGTAAAGTCTAAACCTCTCGGTGACTGGCGTTTTCAGATATGTTTGTGGGAACCGAAAAGAAGCAAAGACCCAAAGACTTTCCTCTATATTGAGTGGTAGGAGTGGCTTCAATCTCCGAGTCCCAAGTCAAAGCAACAGTACCTCAACTTGCTTGTAACGCTCTTTTTCCAACACAAAACTACCATCGGGAAACCATGACCAGACTCTTTCAGGAATCACATACCTCAGGGCGGTCACCCCAGGCTCGGCGACGTCGAGCTTGCCAAATACGATGTTGATTCTTGGGTGGAATTCGACCTAGGTAAAGACTTTATCCGTGAGCTGTGGGAAGGCTGGCAACTATTCTCTTCGAGCACAGGGTGCCCCTGTCGACAAGATGGTCGAAGCAGCTCGCTCCCTGGTCAAAGAAGCCGACCGATTTCAGGTTTCTCAGAAACTGCGTTATCCGGTCGACGCCGACGAGTGGCGGTGCTGGATGAATCCGAGTTCAGTTTCCACGGACACGGCGTCCGATTCGAAGAACACAATGAAGAAGTCTGGGTAGCGTCGCTGCGGTTGGTTCAAGCATCACCCTCGAATAGGGGGTACGAAGATGTCCTCGATGCGATGCGGACTAATGCCTTCCTCGGAGGCCTCATTGGGGTATCTTAACGGATGAACGAGCGAAGCTACAGTTTCATCCTGTTCGGAGAGCCCTCGGCTACTGGCCCCTGGGGCTGGTCGATCTGGGGTCATCATTTGACCTTCTGCACCTTTCTTCTGGGTACCAAGATGGTTGTCTCGCCCGTGTTCCGTGGCTGTGGGCCGAACCGTGGATCAAGGTCCATATCAGGGCACTGAAATGTTTACGCAGGAGATGCGATTTGCCAGTCGAGTGATGGCGGTTCTCTCCGCGGCTGAGAGGAGTCAGGTTGTCGGCTATGATCACTTAGAGCATCCTGATATGCCCAATGGATTTCCTCGTCCCGCAGATGGAAGGAATCTCGCGGGCGCATATCGAGATAATGCCATTATCCCCTACTGTGGACGAAAAGTTGTCAAATTCTCGCAGCAAGCCCAAAAAACAATCTGGGACTTGATAAAGAGATTTATCGATTTCCTCCCAGAAGGACCGTTGAATGCAAAGATGGACGATGTGAGATAGCATACGGATGACACTTGGTTCATGTGGATGGGAGGATACAGCGAGGATGATGTCTTCCATTTCTGCATCCCACAGTCCCGTCCTGCTATGTGAGTTTGATCATGAGTGCGGCATGTGGTTGACCAATGACCACTCTGGTCATTTTCATGTTCATACTGTGGTGAGGACGCCTAATGCAATGGATTATGGAAGGGAACTCCTACGACTGCGGAGGTGCATTCCACAATAAAGTCAAGTGAATGCCCAGGATTATGCAATCGACAAGTAGCTTGGACTTCTGTCTAGGTGGTACAGTACTCTCGTTCCTATACAACTGGTGATAGTGCTAAGCAGGAATTCTGACCCTCACCTCAGTGTTCCTGTGACAAGTCATTCCTTGGCCACCACTATTGTAACAAGGCAAAGTGGCTGTGCTGTGCTTTGCAGGGCTTGTAGAGTGGTAGCAGAGGGGGAGGGAAGTTGTCTAGTCACATGTCAAACCCAAATGGGCTGATAGGGGGAGTGGGAGACAGTTTACAGTGCCGGCAGAGTGCCATTCTTTCCAATTAGACAGAGTATCAGTATTCCATGCTTTTTGATGTCGTCTGCCTATTCCTGAGTGTTTCATCGGCCCTTTCCTACTTCTCAATGTCGCCGCCATGCTAGGCACTGGCTGCCCTAGCCGCTGCCTCTCTGGGGGTGGTGTTGGTGGTGGTGTTGCCCTGTCAGTGTCAACCAGAAACGCGTCCTCGATTCCCGATCTGCTGGACAGGCCTCTGCGTTGTTGCACGTGCATGCCGAACCCTGAAGTGCTCTGTTAAACTATAAAACCTAGACTCAGCCCCTTATCCTATGGAGTTGTCCCTCTGCGTTTGAACATATCCTTGGCCAAATGCACGTGTGTGTGGTTGGTCATATACTCTGTCGAGTCCTTGACATAGAATGCAGCGATCAGAGCGACAATGCCGAAGGGGATTGTGCTGTAAAACACCATGCGATACGCCTGCACGTAAGCCTCTTGGAAGGCGAGCAAAGTGGCATTCTCAATGGCGGGAGTAATACCTTGCACTTTGTCGAAGGCGAATGGAACATCCAGCCCAGCCTCGATGGCAGCTGGGATCAAAGTAGACAGATCCCCGCTATAGCCATTCTTAAGAGCCGCTGCAATGATTAGTTTCGGCAGTTCCTCGTTGGAGACGGACCGTAGGATACTGCCAAACACCGCATTGCCCACACTGCCGCCCATGCTTCGAAAGGTCCCCAGCACGCCAACGGCGATTCCAAGCTCTGACGGCCGAACATGAAGTCCTGCATTCAACACAGTGGTGACAACGATCAACCCAAAAGGGCCCGCTCCAAAGAACTGAAATACCATCCATGCAGCTTTGTGTTTGCCAATGGCGTACGCGTAAAGACTCGTGAACAGAGTCTGGAGAAAGACACCGCCGATGAGGTATAGTTTGGGGCGTCCAGTCTTGGAGATAAACATGGGTATGAGAGCCGTTCCGACAAACTGTCCCAACCCATTGGGAAGAAGTATCACACCGATATCCAGAGGCTTGCTGGTGTAGACGAACTGCGTCGCTTGAGGGAGGAAAGAAGACATGGTGTAGTATACCATGGCAGAGGCAAAGATGACGACGAGAGACACGGTGAACTCTCGAAGTTTAGTCAGTAGATGCCGTGGGAACAGTGCATGGTGGCCAGGTCCCTGGAGAAGACTGAAGTCATAAACAAAGGACGCAATGAAAACAGATCCTCCCAGCACGATTGGGGTGACCACCGAGGCAGATTTCCAAGCGTGTCCTGGATTGCCGCCCCAAGACAAGCCGAGCAGAGCTGAGGTCAGGCCACATGTATAAAGGAATATTCCCACGAAATCGAGTTCGAGGAATTGTTGCCATCGTGTTTTCCCCGCGTCAACTACGGGCCGGGATGGCGGAAAATACAAGACTGCAGTGCCAGTGAGACAGACCGTCGAGTATATGATGCAGATGTAATACACCCATCGCCAGGTCGCGTGTAAGAAAAGCAGATTTCCAATCAGAAATGCGAGGGCAACCCAAGGAATGGTCAAGAAACCCTCGATGCTGGCTATGCCGACGGCACTACTCAAAGGTCAGTCCGAGCTGGCATCTGGGAGTGAACGGAGGCGGTTTTCTCACCGCCATCTATTTGGGCAGAGCTCTGGCACGGCCGCATAGGCTACCAGAACAAACCCGCAGGAGAATCCTAGCACCGTGGACCCTCCGATCACGGCGCCAAGGCTTTGGGCAGTGGCAGCAACAATCTGTTAATCAGGATTAGCACGATCTTTTTTGAGGTTGAGCGTATACCTACAGATCCAACCAGTGAGATTGACTGTCCAGCAAGAAGCACATGCCGTCGGCCAAAGATGTCACTTAAAGAACCCGCCAGCGAGAATGACACAGAGGAGGCAATCGACCATCCAGAAACCACCCAACCCAGATTCGTGGTATCCCCAAGGTCGGTGCCAATGCCGAGCAGGATCGATGTGGCAACAATGAAACCACAACCCAACGGTGCGACGGTCGACATACCGATAAACTGGTCAAGTGTGAGCATTCGACCTTGTTGTATATGTTGCACTTCCACATCAGACTTACCACGATCGAAAGAATAGTCGTCAAATTGGGCCTCTCGGCATCTTCGGGATTGTCTACCAATGCTGCTTGATGGATATCATCGAAGTCGTATGAAGGCTTCTCATTCTGGGCAGCATGCTGGCAAGACGCTTTTTCGAACTCGTCCACGACGGCGACATTGACGTCTAGATTCGGACACATTTGAGACAAATATAGATATCTTGCCGTGACGACTCCTCGAGGATAACAGACAGTAGGGGCTATCCAATTATCACGGCAGACATAACCTGAGACCTGGTGGTCGTGGGGATCAGCAGCAGCACCTTATATTCATGGCATCGGTCGGGGCACAATGGTACATATCAATACATCGTTCTCAGGTGGGCCCCCTACCTCCTCTCTGGGTGTCCTCCTATGGTGACCTGTCCAGCCTCATGGGGTGTCCAGGGTCGAATTTGCTGAACATATTTGCTCCCCAGGTTTGTCGAACCAAGGACCTGAAGTTCGTATCCGTTCACAGACTCATTCCTACAAAATCTAGACGGCCAATGACTTCCAGGCCGTTCATCCTTCTTTGGGTTTTCACGATGGGGTTCGAGCGAACCAGAACTTCTGCTCGGGGTTGTTGGGGAGAAGGTGGTGCCACCCCCCCTCCCTCGACAAGGCCGAGGAGACCCTCGGACTTCGAGCTCCTTCAGGTCTATGGTTTGGGGCCGAGAGCCGCTAGGAATACGAATTCTGTGGTGATGACCACTAGTTAAGTCCACAGAAGGAGGATATTTTGTTTTCAGAGATCTTTCAGAGGATGGAGCATGCTATGACCTGGTTGTCAATGTAAAAAAGGCTTGACATGAGCACAAAACCGAAATGGCTGAGATTGTTGTTCTGACTTGTGCTTCTGGCAAGCAATGCACCCAGATTATCCCGTCGCTTTACGAACAGCCTCAGAAATACCGACTTCGACTTGTTGTGCATTCGCAAAAGTCGTTTGAGAAACTGGAAAAGCAGTACCCCGGCGCCGAAGTTCTCCAAGCCGACCTGAATGTGCCTGATGACTGTGCCCGCCTTGTCGACGGGGCGACCACAATATACTATGTCAGTCCGACATTTCAACCACAGGAACAACATTTTGCGTTCAACGTCATCGATGCGGCCATGGCCGAGAAAGCAAAGCCAAACTCAAAGTTCTCGCACTTCATCCTCAGTTCGGTGCTACATCCAGAAATCAGCAAGTTGCTGAACCATGACCGGAAACGATTGATCGAGGAGTACTTGTGCGAGTCTTCACTTTGCTACACCATCCTTCAGCCTAGTCATTTTGCTGACAATGCGATCAGTCGACTGATGGCCGAGAAGGACTGCCAGGCGCCCGTGTTCATGGCTGCACATGATCCAGAGGTGGCATTCTCATTCTCCTGTGTCCGAGATCACGCAGAGGCTTCGGTCAAAATCATTCAGGAACGGTCAAGGCACTTCTTTGCCACGTACCAGCTTGTGAGTACGTGGCCAATGAAGTACACTCAATATGTCCAATCGATTGGAGATGTGTTGGGAAAGACTTTCGAGATCAAACGTGTCCCGTACGAACAAGCGGTCCAGAAGTATTGTGAACTTCTCTTCGGACCTGATCAAGTGCTTGACCAGAGCCAGCGAGATGCTCCAGAGCGTCTGTTGCTTTACTACAACAGCAGAGGTATCGTTGGCAATCCAGGTGTGCTGGAATGGCTGCTTGGTAGGCCAGCAACCAGTCCGGCCCAATTGGCGAGCATGATGGTCGAGAAAGGGAAAAGCACATCGAATTGAAAGCCTTTTCTGTATTTCACTATCGAGTCGTGCGGTGCTTCATGAATAAAGAAATCTTGACTGATAGCCAGAGAACGCTTCTGATGCTGTTACGTATTGCTAGAGATCTTTCCGAGATTGTCATCATCGAGACGCCGGGCCTTAGATGCCCCGAGGCTGGAGAAAGAATGATAATTAGCCGTTACCACGTTCAGATTGTGATATAAGCCCTCGTAGAGTCTTCCTGAACACTGCCGCAACTGGTGAGGACGAGAAACCAAGAAGCTCAATGCCCAGAGAAATAGCAGTGGCTTCTTCATACAGTGATCTGGTTTCCGAGCGACTCGAATACCATAGGACCATCGAAGCATAGTATACAGCATGGCTGTAGTGTGTTGGCTCCCCTTCAACTGCTGTTGCAGCCTCTCTCAATAAATGCACACGCTTGCCAGTGTGCGATGGCAATCTCGCGCTCATGCTTTCCGCTATTTTCAGAATTCTGTGAGCATGCCAAATGGCCTTCTCCTGGTCCAGGTCTGAGGTAAAGCAGACATTTTTCGGCAAACGCGGTCGCTGTTCTTGGGGGGGAGTGAGGTTGACGGGAATAGCATTGTTTGCTGGAAGATAGGCTGATGGCTGGCGGGACGGGGCGTTGGACCGAGCAAGACTGTCCCGTGCTGAACCTTCAAGGTTTGCGAAACTTGAGAACATACTGATGTGCATCGTATGAAACAGCATCATGGTCCCTGGAGATGGTTCGGTTGTATGGAAAGAAAGCCACCTCTGAAACGCGACTTCGAGAAACTCTTGCCGCCACGCTCTTGAGGCTCCGTGGGGATTATTGTTTGAGCCTTGGAGATACTTGGACAGTGATGACGGAAGTCGACAGCTATGAGACAAGAGGAGGGACAAGGCGCAGAGGGTCTGAATACTGTCTGCCGGACAATCGATAAGTTTAGGGACACCGCTTGGAGAAGTTAGTAAACGTAGTAAAGACAACATCGAATCCGGATCCGAAGGAGCTCGGTCATCATGGGCGGAAATCATGTCGAATGTTGACAAACCAGGCAGCACTGAGAAAGGGTAGAGCATAGACGCCCGCTGAAGGAGTACGACTCGATAGCATTCCAGAACGTTGACCGCATGGAGGACCTGCCGCAATTGATTTCCATCGGCATCTGACTCGGTGCCTCTGCTGCGGCATGCCCGAACAGCTTGAATCAGGTGGGCATGATAAGTGTCTAGCAAGCTCACGCTCCTCTTGTCCCCGGAGAGAAAAGCAAAAATTTCCGTGAGGATCCAGGCCTTCAAAACGTCCACGGTTTGTGTTTGCCCCAGCAAATGGTTCCCGTAAAAGGCGGTCAGGAGTTTACGACGAGAGAAGTGGTGCATCCATTTGGCTATCATTTCAGACTTTGGCGCAGGGCAGTACAATCCTCCCGCAGCTGCCATTGCTAGAGATACTTCCTCGCGCGTGGAACTTTCAATGCGGAAACCTCGGAAGCAGGGAAAGGTGGGTGTAATATAAGTCTGGAAGAGGCCAATGAAGATGTCAATGATGAGAGAGTCGTCTGCGAGTGGCGCAAGGTTACCAAGTTCCTCCAGAAATTGGGCATGCGTAGCCGCAGACCTGGGCGATGCTGCCCTAGAGGGATATGGCCATGTAGAGTACTCGTTGAGCTTGTTGTAAGCAGTAGCTAATCGCTGCTGGTGCCTTTGCGCTTGATCCGATACATGATCTGAGAAGGTCAGTCTGGGCCACTAGGTACTATCTCAATTCACTGACCTTCGACAGGTTCAACCGTGTCAAACAAAGCATCAAAGGGATCCGGGCAAGGGTTGCTGACGAAGTCCAGAGTATTAAATCCAGGTACCTGCTTGCGTGTCAGACCCATGCACGGTGCTACCAGCCACGAAACGATGGTTTGAAGAGATTTCATACCATCACCAGATCTTCGAAGAAATTGTCCTGCGTTGGGGACATCAGGGATCGAAGAGGTATATCTTCGAAGATGCTCAAGTATGGGTCAGCAGCCATGAACATGTCTTTGAAAGCAAAATCCTGATTGTCAGTGAGTGGCAGGCAGCTATTGTCGTGAGTGGCTCCTGGTTGAGAGACGAGGAAGGCATCAACAGGCGCTTGTGTCTCATGTACTGAAGGCTGGCATTAATGTTAACCATGGAACCATTGAGGCCGTCGGAGTGAGAAGATTACCAACGATCCATGAGCACTCCCATCATACGCAACACCAATACCTTCAGAACCTGGTCCCATCGACGATATGTCTTCCTGGACTGACTGTCCGAGCGAAGGATGGAAGGCATAGTCTCGTCTTCCACGAAAAGTGCAAACTAAGCCAGCAGCTTTGCAGCGGGGACATGGTCGCTCGAACGGGTGACATTTTACTTTCCGATCACGGCATATATCACATGCCATGTGAGCATTCTGGCGCTTGGATGCAGGCTCGGCCAACTTGGGATCATGGGTACGGAGGTGTTTTTGATAGACATCGCTACGCGCATAGCTCTTGCTGCAGCGCGGGCAAGTGAACGGCTTCTCGTTGGTGTCTGCCCCAAGACCATCAGACGAGAATTCCTCTTCATGGGTATATTAGGGATACTGACGAATGAGACGGTGCCTGTCGAGATGCTCGCGCCGTGAGAATTCCCGCCCACAGGAGGAGCAAGCGAAGCGCGTCGAGCTCATCGCAAAGGGATTGGGCGAATAATCTGCCCTAGCCAAGTGATTCTGTTGGATGGGGACTGGGAAATTGATCGGCTGAGCACTTTAGAGGGAGGGTATGGAGGACGATGTCTGCAATTGTAGGCGAACAATGGTGTTGAGGAATATTCTTAGTGGTGTTAAGCTTAGACATTTGTGGCACGCTGAAGAGCATCTGCCATCAAAGCAGCCACATGACAGATAAAGTTTGGTCAGACAAAAATCATTATTTTAGGGAAATCTTTGGCCTGCATTCGCCAAAATACATCTTTCAACCCATAATTTATGATCGGTTGTTGTATTGCTTTCTCGAAACGATTCCAAAGGCTTCGTAATGAGCTCTTTTTAATTGAGAAATATCGCCATTGACACACAGGCACCTGTTTGGCTCACAAACCGGGCTGTCGACGAAGTAATGGACCAATCGCAGCTGGAAAATCCTCTGACAGGTACATGAAGGCGTCGACATCAGATGTCGTCGTGATATGCTAATAAGTGTAAAGTAGACTACCTTCCGCGCCACAGAGATTCAGCCCTGGCATTGGCGCGGCCAGAGTCTTCCTTTCTGGATTTTTTCAAACAGTCTCTCATCTATGCGAGCCCTTACTGTACCGAGCCTGGCTGCTGCACGTTCTTCGCTAAACCTGGAGGTCCAGAAGACTCGAGGGAAAGAACGGCCTTGCCCGGACAAAATCAAACCTTGCACGAGGCACAAGTTGGTGTCGAGGTGACATATCCGCTGGCGTTGTTTGAGGAATTAAAAGATTTGCCTTCACTGGAGGTTTTGCAGACTCTTCAACACGAATTCCGGACCAGGTTCCTCACTTTGGTACCGTTTCTGGCCGAGATCTCCTGTATGACTTTGGATTGCAGAGAAAGCCCGCCCTATCTTTTACTACCTCAGGCGCTCTTAGGAGCTTCTCTGTCGAGAGATCCACAACATGAGTCTATAATCGAGAAACTATGGCGTGCCAGCACAGCTTTGATGATAGGAACCGTGGAGGTTGACAACAGGCTCGGGAGGATGATCGCGTGGCATACTGCAGTAGGATTACTTGGTGTAATCATCCCGCTTTGCGATGGAGGTCTGACTTATTCAGGGATATCTTAACGTTGCATTTGGCATGATGCAATCAAAAGGCCACATCTGGTGCCATACAGAAATCGTCAATGGCGTGTCACAATCGGTGAGTAAGCATCGCCTGTTGCTCTACTATTTCTACTGTTCTACTCTGTTCATTTGACTCCTGATGATGTATGTGGTGTAGACTCTATACCGTGCTGGCTTTCTCACGAATCCCAAGTCGAAGCGAGCGGCAAACCGAGCTTTGCAGAACCCGGTCGAGCCCGACGCATCAAAGTAAGTCTTGCCAGGAGCACCTGATACTTCCCATCGCTCATGAATATGAAACGCAATAGTTTGAAGAAATTCTGCTTCATCGTCGACACGCTGAGATCAACGCATCTGCAAACGCCCTCGACAGTTGAGACCACCTGGTCGGTCTGTATTGGTTCTCAAGCTGAGTACGACTTTCGAGGACTGTGCGACTCCCTAGTCGTGGATGGACGTCTCTTGCCCCCTGAGCTTCCTAATCGAGACTACCTTCTCATCCTCCTCGACATAATTTCCGATATAAATGTCCTTTTTTGTGCGATAGGGCCCCTCACTGCTTGCTGCATGTCAATTCGTGAGGCGAGCAAACAGACGAGCCATCAGAGCCAAGCTGGGCTTGAAACTATCATACCACCGCTGCCGACCTCCCTGATTGAATCGACAGGGGCTGATTATAGCCGATATCTTCCTTTGGCCGCAGATCACGAGTTTCACCGTGTCCGAGCCAAATTAATGTGTGCCCTGGAAGTATGGCAAACTTCGTTCAGTGCCCGGGATGCTCGGCTATCGAATGATGGCTGGGTGGATGCATCGTCCCTTTTACCGCTGTTCCACTTTGCTCGACTTCTTCTCGTGGCCGGACCGGGTGTCTACACTCTTCCGTCGCTTGCCGGTTACACGCCAGAGGAGAATGACGAACTTCTTACGAGGCCTCAACAATGTCGTGTCCCGCATACGTTGGGGCTGCGATTCCCTCAATCAACACTCCATGTTGTCATGGAACTCCTGGAAAGTGTAGAGTCAGACTCTGCCAGGCGTTCAGACATTGCTCATGGAATACAACGTCCTTGTCAGCCTATGTGGTATCCTCTCGTGCTCTTCTACGGTGCCTTGGTTGCATGGAGTCATATGTGTGATGAGTCCATGGGAAAACAGGAATCATTGCGACCCAGCCATTTTCTGCTTACAACACGGAAGCTGCTACAAATGTTCGGCTTTGAACTAGCCAAGTTGGAAGACGACTGGAATTGTGCAAGAAGCATGAGTGCCGTGATTTCAAATTTGATTCAATAACCTTCCTCACTCGGGATATGTGGTTCTAAACCAGCCCTTTTGATCACCACCTTCGACGACAACAGACCTATCCGCTATCAGCCATTGGCCATTCGAACCCTTTCTAACTATGTCCCTCCATTGACCCCAGTGATCGAAACCGGAAACATCGGTGGTGGCGAAGAAGTACGAGCGAGTGTGTGCTTCGGTAGGTGAGACAAACTGAATATCGATACTGGTGACATGGTGACGTATGAACTTGGGATTATTGCCCCGGACGACTTCTAGCAGATTTCGCGGCTTCACGATGACGCCGTTTGGTAGACGAAAGACACCACCTTCTTCGAAAACAATCACCATTTTCTCGATATCTGGTTCTTCGGTTGCGAGGACAGCATAGCGATGAAACAGTGCTTCGATCTCGTTTTTGGCAACGGAGCGCTCAACAGAACCAAAGGCCATGAATGTGTCCATTTTTTCAAAACATCCGGAAATCAGTAGTTCACTGATGATGTTCTTTATCGTCAGAGCTGGGAAAGGAAACAGTGAATATAGCTTGCTGATTGTTGATAAAGCTTGCAAGGGAGAGCCTCAGTCTAAGACTATAGCTGTTTCCCTGTCTCCGAATCTCGATGTGAGACCCAAACAGCAACGTGCTCTTTAAAATGGAGAAGGAAGAGAAGCCTATGGACGCTTCTGCGTCTGTCGTGGGGCATTAGAAAACTCTACTCGTAGCTTCATGCTGGACTAGAGAGATGTGTAATATTACAGCGCTCCGATAGGAACTGCAGTGGGTCCGCAATGGGGGACCGAGCAAACATGAGGGTCTGGACCCTCTTTGGGCTATCCCAGAATGGTGTTCCGAGGTGGGGGACAAATTTCTTGTCAGACATTCAGATATTTCCCCACGTTTGTCTGGCGCTAAAATTGACGTCCGCGCCAACGACCGGAGTCGAAGTCATCCGGCGGGGACGGAAAAGAGCTAGATGAGCCAGGCGATGGACGTTTATGCCTCAATCATCCGATGGGATGGTATGAAAACTCACTTGCTGTACGAGGAAGACTTGCACGATGTAATCAAATACGGCCCCCACCGCTTCTGGAACAAAGATTATGGTTGCTCCTGAGTCGATTTGATATGAGCAATTTCAGCAAGACAGAGACCATGTATCAACAGCCACGTAGGGATCTGTTTTCCTCTCCAGCTTCATTCTGGACGGCAATCCTCACTTCTTCCGCCGCGTTGAATCCACCAAAAGCGTAGAGTCACGCGGGAAGGAAAACGTGCACCATGACCTTCGACGAGGACTTCGGCCCCCCCTCCCCAGGACCAGGTCGCAAGATCCCTGGTGCTGTCCTTCTTGCTGCGAATTGGACAGGTATGTCACATTGAATGGGTTCAAGATCATCTCGACTCAACCAGGATTAGGGAAAATTGTCTATCTCAATGCTCAAGGATTCACGTCGGTTGATGAGAGCCTCGCCAAGCCCGTCACAGCAGACACAACTTTCTGGGTGGCGTCATGTACGAAACTCGTGACTACGGTGTCCGCATTACAGTGTGCCGAAAAAGGTCTCCTTTCTCTTGACGACGAGCATCAACTCTCGGCCATTCTCCCCGAATATGCCACCCCAGTGTTCTGGCAGGGTTTGACTCTGTGTCTGGTTCGCCGCCGGTGAAAGCAGCGGCGAAACGACTTACCTTGCGTCAGCTACTTACGCACTCGAGTGGAATGGGATATGATTTCATGTCCCCAGCTTTGATCGGATGGAGAAGCTGGGACAAGGAAAACTCTCAACCCCGTGGGGAAGGAGTGGTATGGACATTCCTCCTTGACACATATTCCCACCCTCACGCCCCCGTACTTTGAAGTCGCCCTAGGTTGATTTTTGGTACTCTGCGCAGGCAGCACAATGTCTCCAGCCACTTGTATTCGAGCCCGGCGAAGGCTGGGAATACGGCGTCTCCCTCGATTGGGTTGATGATGGAGCGGATTAATGGTGGTCTGCGGCTAGGCGAATACATGAAGCAGAACATCTGGGACCTCTTGGAATGGACTCGACGACCATGTATCTCGGTAGCCGTCCAGACATTCGAGAGCGGCTTTGCGGTACATCTGTGCGCAGTGTCAGCGGCGAACTTGAGCCAACCCCGCCACATCCGTTGAGAGACAGCAAGGATGATCGAGGGGGAGGGGGGATGTGCACTAGCCCGAACGACTATATCAAAACTATAGTCGCCCTGCTCAAAAACAATGGAGCACTGCTCAAGCCAGAGACTATCCGCTCCATGTTTGAGCCTCAGCTGAGAGATAGACGATACCTCAACAGCTTTCTCGACCATCCACTTGGCGGGCCGATGTGCCGAGCAGGTGTGGAAAGCGATGCATGGAATTTTGGTTTGGGTGGAATGTTGAACTTGGAAGACGTCGACGGTGTGTGTAAGAAGGGCACCATGAGCTGGAGCGGGCTGCCCAATCTATACTGGGTAGGTTCGAGAGTGCTGTCCGACTTGAAGAACACGCTCTCAGGAGGGATGGTGTCCCTGAAGTGCACGCTGACCTTTGCTTTGGTGGATTGACCCTCAATCTGGCCTTTGCGGCCTGTGTGCCAGCCAACTTGTCCCTCCTGGGGGCCCAATATCTCTCGACCTGGCACTGGCTTTTCGGAAGGAGGTATACGCGAGGTTTGCGTCGTCACCATAAACTTCGTCGAAAACTTGGGCTGTTACACAGTATCTCTGGACAGGATACTTTCTACGAGGTTGCCTAGTTATTAATAGAAAGCTTTCGGCTCCTGATAGATTCTCTCGGGTATAGTGAGTAGCACTAAATATGTATACTCTAGGTACTCTTAGAGCTTTATGAGTATCTAGAGACACCGGTACTGTAGGTCTCCCAAGGCTTCTAGGCATCCCAAGCCCCTACAAGAACATAGAACGCACCCTATGGAAGCATACATTTTATGGCCTAAGTAGGCAGTTGCGCGAGTAGCGCATTACGTAGATACCTTATAGCACGTCTAGAATGCTAGGGCGAAGACACAGAACTCTCTGTGCAGTTGAACGTGAAAATCGCGGGTGTCGGGTGAGTGGCTGGAACAAATTCCAATCAGGGCGGACTTTCCTGCAGACTCCCAAGTTTGCATCATGCTGATTCCTGCACATCCCAGTGGCACATGCGTTTTGTGCTCTCGTCTCTCTTCCTTTTCCTCTGCTTCGACCTCCTCATCCGCCATCACGAACTGTTCCTTTCACTCCCCATCACCTAACCAAGACTGCGAGTGCACCGCAAAGCATGGTCTCTCAGCCATGATGGACATCTTTGTCCGAAGCATTCGCGATATCTCGAATATTGCCGCACTCGCGCCACGAAGTACCCGAGTCGTTCGAAGAGTGCCAGCTTTCCCAAAGCGACGCTTCAGATATCATGTTCCGAGACGGATATCAACTTCCTGCGACTCAGAGAACAATGCAACGGGACTGTAACAAATGGTTTAAGAGGGTATAGCAGATAGGCAGACTTCACGGCTGCAACCCATCTGGATTGTTCCTCTGCTCACTCGTGCGCCTTTGAGTTGGAGATGTGTCTCACGCACACCGAGCTCAGACTTCCAGCTGCTTCGGCAAGGTATCAACCCAGATCGATTGAAAACATTTTCCCAGCTATATTGCCGAAGTTTTCACGCCATGCGCCACCATAGAGAGAAAGCAGACTCAACCAGAAGCAGACTCAACCAGAAGCAGACTCGACTAGCCACAAGGGAAAGAGAACGCAGCAAGACAGCTGTTGACAGGGTCGCAAGATCGCCACTGTAGCAAACCACTCCCATTCTGTGTACAACAGAACGCGTTTGCCAATGCGAAAAATCCGCCTGATCGCCGTGGGATGTGTACAAATCATTCTGACCAGTCAAGTGAACGGAATTGCTGATAACAATCCAGCAATGAAGACGGCCGAGCGGAACTCTTTTCGCAAGCAATTGAGAGAATGATCTACCATGAAGACTTGAAGGATCTGGAGAGAGAGGGACTGAAGAAGCAGAGACCAGACCAAGTGATTGGACTTGGGTTAACTTTCCATCAAAGTGCTTTCTCATTCCGGATTTGTTTGATATTTCAACAGCGTCTCCAAAAAGAGAGTGGTGTCGACTTTCAGTGCCTGGTCTGGCTTTTCTGTTCTCGAGGTGAGGAATGGCAACTGTATACTGCAGTGCTTAGTAAAACGAAAACGGTTGATCCTGCAGTATCTCCAAATGTTTGCTTAATGGGTGCTGACGTAGAACTAGCAAGTGATCGACTTGTGGCATAGCTCCTTGATTTCGGAGGATGGAGCGCTGCAACTGAGCCTCTTCATGAATCACATCTGCACTCTGGGCTCGTGAGACTTATCGGGAAAATGTAATTTCCTGCCTAGCAATTGGAAGAGATAATCCGTACGGGATAGCGATCTCATTGTCATCCCCAAAAGATTGAGATGGTGCCAGCTGTCGCCAAAAGACCCTACCATCTTCCTCAGAATCGATCCCCATGCCGGATTCGAACAGCGATCGCCAAGCCGAGCAGATTGCAAGGCGGCTTCCTGAGGGGACAAAAGAATTCTTCATAGAGGGAGCACATCGAACTTGACAATCATACAAAGCCTGATGCATTGATACAGGAAGCCATAGATCGGCTCTAGATTACGGGTACACGAGAGTGGAAGGTTAAAGATTCAGGCAAGTTGTCTGTCCATCATTGGATTGAAGCACTTCAAAGCAGCTGACAGGAATTTCGCATCTCAGATGACCATCTCAAGTTTGCTGTCTCGCCAGTCCCCACGCAGACTGAGCTTGGTAGCTGATGCCACCACAGATTGACTGGGTGCTTGCCGAATACGTAACTGATGAACTGATCATGGGAGTGCTCTTGGAGTATAACACCGATTGAGACCTGTGTTGCACGCCAACACCAGATGATATACGCTGGTTAATTTCACTATAGAACAATGGTGGCAGCGGCGTTGAGACAAAGAAGTTTGATACAAAAAGGGGTATGTTTATTTGCTGTGCTAAGACTTGAGTCACAGAAGTAGCCGCGCACGGGATAAGGAGCTCGGTTTTGAACCATGGTTCCTAAAACTGCACCCTCGTAAGCGGCCTGAGCAGGCTAGCAAATCAAGCTGAGGCTGAACCGAAGCTGAGCTAGGCCCCCTGATGCCTGAGTAAAGCGACAAGGTCACGGCTCCAAACGGTTGCCAAGGCCAGACGCTCTGTCGCCACCGAATACCACGACATCGCTGAGTCTTTGAAGAATCTGTGATTTTCAAAGAGAGACGATAGACTTGACGGGCTCTGCTTATGTCAAGGAACATCCAATATCTCTAGAGGGAAAACGGCTGTGACGCCTTATCTGAGAGAGCGTGGAGCTCAAACGAGGAGGGGCGCGTCTTCGGCCATGTGCTATTGGTGAGGAAATTGGAAAACTTTTACGCAGATCGTCCCTTGTCCCCGCCAAAAACCAAGAAAAAAAAAACAGAATAATAATGATAAACCGCGAGATAACCTTGTTAATTGGCGGATTTTGACAAAATACTTCAGTGCAGGAAGGCGGCACATGTACGATGCCAAATTTGGACCCAAGACCGGGGATCGTGTTTGCCACTCTCCCTATTGGCAACGTGAAACAAGCTAATGCAATGCACGGACACGAAAGGGTCAAATTCTGCTTCTGCGGCCAGAGCATACGCTAAATAAGACAGTGTTTGCCTCGTGAGGCTGTCTGGGGGCATCCGCTAGCAGCGCGCGAGCTTGTGATGCTGAGGTCAGTTCTGGTCACTCTACAACACCACCAGCTGTGGGCTGGCCGGTGGAAAAGATCTTGATGAAACTGAGACCGGTTGATTCGATGTAAGCCTTCGACAACGGAAAGTCTTACCGCCGCTAAGATGGCTTTGCAACGATTGTCAATGGCCGGCGGCTTTTCGAACACCCGTTGTCCACGGCCTTAAGTCTACGTATAAATACGTGTGCCTCAAAGCCAAAGGAAAGACCAGTTCCTCCTTCATAGAGTGCTTTGATTCTTCACTGTCTTTTTGGACGCTGAGAATTCCGACCACCTTTCCTATCTATTGCACTTTTAGACTTCTCGTTCACTATGGAGGGCAGCAATAAAAGTGATGTTATGCTGGCCGCAGACCAGGACCGCAACCTTCCAGAATCCGCGCATATCAGGGCGATCTCTACAGTCACCCCAGAGAAGATAACTCGGTGGCTGCTACGTCAAATCATGAAAAGGTAAGGGAGCCCACCTTCGTCATAATAGCGTTTGATACGCGGCTCACAGTTGTAGACAAAATTCAAAAGTTATCCTTGTCATGGGGATTTTACGGCCAGGCAAATCATCTCTGGTGGAGTCGATCACTGGGGCTACGGGCCTCTCGGGACATGGAATAGAGTCAGGTACGACCCTATCTTCACAGAAGCTCAGCCAACTAGTTGGCATTTCTATCGAGACTAACGCGTGCTCATAGTGACTGGAGAATATCAGTTGACATCGGTCAATATTGAGGGCGACAACTATATCTTAGTGGACACTCCAGGGTTTGCAGATCCTCGCCATGGAAGATCCGACGAGGACGTCTACCTCAACATTATGAGATTCGTCGAATTGGTCCGAGGGGCTGTTACCTTTGTGGGTGTCCTCTTCGTCCACAAGATCGGAACCATCTACTCTGGTGATGTCACGAAAACTTTCGAAATCCTCAAGGCATTCGCAGGAGTCGAATACTTTCCCTTCATAACCTTCGTCACCACATACTGGGATACCGTCCACCCGCGCCTTATCGAGCAATATGAAAGCGAAGTTCAGCACTTGATAGACCACCAATGGTCTGAGTTTACCACCCATGGGGCAATGATTTATCATCACGGGAAGGCCTACAACGACACAGGGGTAACAAGTGACGTTCTTATCAAGGACGACCAGGACGAAATGCGACAGCAACAGGCTCAAAGGATGATCGTCCGTCACTACAAAGACAAAAATTTCTCCATACCACTGGTTGTCAAAGAGCTCAATGCAGGTTTTGGGGTTAACAACACGACCGCCGCGAAAGTAATCGGTGTCAGGAGTCGTGCGTTGCAGGTTGCAAGAATCGCACCATGTCCCAGACGAAGCAGCACAGCAAACAGCACAGCCAGCAGTACATCAGCAGAGAGCGACGAGACAGCGGCACCTAATTGGCTAGACATGCTTGTGAGCCTCCTATGGAGCAGTGGAAGGAGACTCTACAACTACGTAATGAGTCTGCTCCCAAGGTTGCCCTCGGGCACTACATGGGCCCCTCGCTACAGCTCTAAACGGGGTATCGAAATTGTCCTACATTTGCCCTTCGGGCAGAGGCTTGTGATGGGTTTGAGCGACTCTGGACTTCCAACAATATATCACGAAAGTGGCACTGGAGACAGAGACGAGGCGGACAACATTCCCGAAGGCTTCGAAGACGACTTTGACTTTGCACACGAGCAGGACGAGGAGATGAACTTTGGCACCTCCGACCGAGAGAGTTTCGACGCGGAGGAATTCATGGAGGAGTTCAAAAGCGCGAGAGAGGAATATGCAGAAGATGATGAATCAAGCGGGTGGTGGTGCGCTGTTATGTAGGGCTTTGAGTGACCAAGAGGACGAGAGATTAGGCGGGATATAGGTTGTTTCAAGGCCCCGCCGAGAGGGAACGTCTGGGAAGGAGTTGGATTCAAATGCTTCTCATTTTATTCACTTTTTACTCGAGGATAAGTTTTCCCATGCGAGAGAAGAACTCAACCTCCGAAAAACCTGAGACCTGCACCTGAAGTTTCTTCTCGCGAGCACATCGCCTCAATGTAACAAAGGGCCGACCTGGTTGCCTGTCAAGCCTGTCCAGAATTTGACTTTGTTGTACACAGAACAGTCGTGGATCTATCTGCTTAATTGTGTTCTGTCCCCTGGCTATTCAGAGAGATTCTGCCAGCACTGTAAACTGTTCCGCACTCGCCCCTTCCAGCCCATTTTGGTTTGACATGTGACTAGATAGCTCTCCCCCTGCTACCACTCTACCAGCCCAGCACCGCACGGCCACTTTTCCTTGTTACAGGAGGTAATTCACCACTCTTGGCGTTCATAGAAATGCATAGTCCGCCCCGTTTCCCAATGCTGACCGAATAAGATGCCATGAACTGATAGGCTCAACAATCCTCTCAAAATACGTTCATCAAATGAATATGTCTTGAAAGGGTCCTGGTGAACCATGTTCCGCAACTAGACTATCCTCAACGTCCTAGAATGACTAGTCAGCCGTAGCAATGGCGAAGTCTATCAGACTGGGCCAGACTGCCTCTATTTGAATCTGATCACTCAACTAGCTGCAATTGGTGTACACTACAGATCATTCATCTCCTCGAGTGCAGCTGCAGCCTTGATGAATCCTTGGGGATTTACTAGCTGCGCGGCCAACGTAGCAAGCATTCGTATTTTGACTTGTCAGCGCCATGGAATAAAAATCCGTGTTAGTCAGCTAAACAAGACCTCCACAATCAGGAGGAAGGTGTCAACAAGCATACAGCCTCGTGTCACCCCTCAGTGGTGCGAATGTCCGAGCTGTATAGCAACACCAAAGCCACAAATTACATTATGGGCTGCCTTGCAGTATTGCTGCCAGGTTTCCAGGTCTTGTCTTTTGGTTCTCTGAGCGTCGACAGAGGTGCCCTATCGTATATCGTGTCAAGGCCACATTTGCAAATAAATCCTCTCCTGCACCCGGTTTCGATGGCCAACAGAATCTGAGCTCCCGGGGGTCAGCGTCCTCGGTGCACGCCATATCATCTTGGCCGGCAAATGCACCATTCAACAGGATGTCGTGATCCGCGGAGACCTCATTCGACCTCCCCAGCCAAAGCCTCCTGCTCAACGGCAACAGTCTGGAGGGCAGAAATCCGCAAACTAAGACTAAACCTCTATCTATCTCGGTCGCTATGTCTTTATTAGCCCCCGCTGTACACTTCATCTTCCTCCCTATCTGACAACGATTCCGAACCCCAACGGCGGCGAGCCCCAGCAAGTCATAACCTATTTCATGCTCCGAACTCCCGACTACATATATTGGGCTAAATGCACGTATTCGTGCGGCAGAGACACGAAACAATGTTTAAATTGGAGCTAATTGCACAATCAGTAACATGGTCGTTATCGAACAGAACGTCGAGATTCTAGACGGTGCAGTACTCCCTGCAAACACAGTATGGGCAGGAGGCATAAATATTGCTGGACAACCTGGGATGGTCATTGGTAAGACTGGCAAAGTCTGAGCTGCTGGTGGAAGCAGTGGCTCTACTGTCGATGATGGCGTGGCAGAGAGAGATGGGTTGCTGGTGGGAACAAAAAAATGAGTAGGCTTCCAAAACTCAAGGATTTGTGCCTTAACCTATTCGACCCGGATATCGCATGATACTCGCACTAATGTTGGCCGCGCTTCTCTGATCACAGTAACACTCAGCGAATATTGACTCAACCCAAGCCGCGCCGACTTGAGCAGAGCAATGAGAGCGTCGGGAACACGAAAGAAAACAGTATGGGCCCTGGCGGAACAGACTAGCTAGCGATACTCTCCAGGGTTCAACGCCAGATGATTTTCAGTTAAGAACTTGGATTTTGAACAGCACCTTGGACAATGTCGTCCGTCGGGCAGACCGGGTGAAGACCAGTACGATAGGTGTGTGGTTCGAACACTCTTGGGATCCTGCAAAGATACAAAGTCTACCCGTTCAGCAGAAAACGGCTGTGCAGTTTGTAGATATGCCTCAAAGTCTCTGACGACGGACGAGTCGAGTCGAGGACGAATCCCCTTGCTTGAGTGTGCCTCTTGGGCTCGACGTGAGAAGGGTGCTGCAAATGCCTTCCCTGCATCAGTGAGTGAAAGTTGTGTTGATCTGTATCCGGTCCGTCAACCTCGGACCTTTATTTAATTACATGAAAGGTTTCATCGACAAGATAGGAATTCGCATGAGAGACGCATGAAAACATTGTACCCACTCATTGGCTTCTTGTCGTACGATGTGATCATTTGGAATACAGCAAGATTCTACGGTTCTGGTTCGCGTTGGGCTCCTGCTACGTTCCTTGCCAGAAATTTGAAAAGGCAAGATCCATTAAGCTGTCCATGCTGGGTTTTAAAGAATCGTGTCGTCATCCTCTCGACTTATCTGAACATACTAGCGATACTGGCCTTAGTGGCTCCTACTCAGCGCCTTGATGCGTTCAAGGACACAGCCTCTTGCACCGACGACATCGTCACGGCACTGATGATGCGTGGGGACAGTCTGCTCTCATGTAACAATACCTCTGAAAGCATGGACGAGATGAGTCCCCTTTCTCTCCCATTTGCCCCTTTCAGCCTCGTCAAGCCGCGTTTACACTTCGGTAATACCTCGGATCGGATAAATACAAACTCCGTTACCGCCTTCCATCGCTACTTAAGTGAAAACTTTGTTTCTCTGTTTCCAGCTCGCCAGTATTGTCTGCATGCACATGTTTCCTTGGCCCGCACAACAAAAAGTCGAGTCATCTCAATCACCAAAAAACGAAAGAGACGACGAGAATGATGTATATTGAGGTCCTACCCGGGTTCGAACCGGGGTTGCCGGAATGTTTTCTTGCACAGAGAGTGAATGCTCTGCACAATCAAAATCCGGAGTGATCACCACTACACTATAGAACCTGGCGGATTTGAGGATGAATTTCTCACGATTTTGTGATGCTTAAATATATATCTAAATTCTGTTGGTGGGGGCGTTGGCATGCCCGGAGAATCCCGACTTTCCCCGGGCCATCTTCGATGCAAGGACTGACTCTGATCAAGCTCGTATTCTCGTCTAGTGTGAACAATTATGTATGGATGTGGCTTTGTCCCCTGACACTCAGGAGAGATAATCTTGTTCACACTTAGCTCTAGCTTTTAAATGCAGGTACAAAGGGTAACTAGGCAGCTGTGCCAGGACTCAAGCCGACTGACAGAAAGGCTCTTTAAGCTCGTCCAACAACTCTGACTCCCCTGATGGCACAGCCTTGTTTTCTTGTCCCGTCCGCCACCATCCGTCATCTTTGTTCGTGCTGCGGTCGCATCACGCCAACTGCCAGACTACACGCCGGAACTCGGTGAGAGACATTTGGAGAGACTGAAGTAAGATATAAGCTGGTGAGCGAACGCAGTGATTCCTTCTACATTGTAGGTGTTTTCCACGGTCTAGGAGACCGAGATATTAGCGACTTAGCACGTATCGCCTTCACGAGAAGTCGGAAACTAACAGCGAATCCTTCTGGTCTCAGGCCTGAGCAGCCCTAACGTCACCTGTGCTTTGGAGGTTGGAGCTATGAGAGTTCAGGTCGTATCATGTCGATTGGTATCTGCCTACAGCAATGCTTGCTTGGAGTGGTACAGGGAATCATGTTCTCAGGTTGATGCGACTCGACAAAGGTGGAATTCTGTATTCCATCCGCCTCAAACCCTTTAACTTCATCTCCAGGGCAACTTGCATTATCCCATGGCACTAGCCACGATGGTATTGGCTTGAAGAACAACTTAAGAGCCAACGAAATCGGCAGAAAACTCCAGCCTTGATAAGCATCACAGTGCTTGAAAACTAGGGGATATTGTGATGTGTACATTTGTGTGAGTGCAGCATAACACAAAAATGATAGAATACGCTGATATAACATTGAACAATAGGCGCAGTACGGTCGAGTCTATGCATGCAGAATGTGCTTCGACGACTTCATGCTTTGTTTCAAACGTTTCAAGCGAAAGGAGTAGCTCCATATCCGCCATGATCAATGGCCATCTCATGAAAAGGAATTCACGAGCATTCCAAAGAAGACATCGCACTTCGTCACACGACAGAGCGTCTGCCTAACCCAGCTGGCAGGATAATGGGATAATGCAGATTGACCCTGTCAATTCTGACGATGAGAGCTCAACTAAATCGCCGCCGACCAGTCATTCGGAGGTATAGGCATTGCGGCACAGCATGCCTTCTAGTGAGAAATAACCATCTTTCCCCAGCTGTTATACACACCGCCTTCTGGACTTTGTGAAGCAGATATTCCTGCACCTCAAATAGAGTGATCCGCCAAGGAGTGCTCGGAGTGGTGGTTATAGATTCTGGTGGGTTCAGGTAAGGATCCGTATGAGAGTGGACAAACAGGTGCGATTGGAGTCTTCAGAGAGGAGCGCTGAGACTATCAAGGTTTGTTGTTGCTTAGTGGTAGGGTATACAGTTTCTTGGGGGCAGGATACATAATATTCTTTTGTTGATTGCGCAACTTTCTACCATCCTTCTCAGAATGGTCTCTAACGCTAATCATATTTCCTCCGGACTGCATTCGCTGGACCCGCCTGTTGGTGAACCAGCTCTGGAGCGAGTAACACAATAGAGATTGTCTTTGTAATAAAATAATAGGATAATGGAAAGGTTATGATTCTAGCCATGCTCATGATAACTGCTATGGGAAGGCATAGCAACTCACACTTAGTATCCGCCGCTCGTTTTTGGGGGGGGACTTACGACCAGGTCAGCACGTCCACGCGAGGTGCAAAGGTGTGTTCTACGTGTCCTTCATATGTACCAGTATAGACAGCAGATCTGCGAGGCTGGGAATTTATGCAATAATGCCCGTTCAAACAGAGGCATATCTACGTTGGGTGGTACGGCACGACACAGCACAGCTTCGTCGAACGATCCAATCACTTCTTGACACGATGTGACCATGGATGGGGTCTTTAATTTTCATTATACCCTTGTTATACCGGCTCTCTTGGAGGGGGATGGTCGAGCTCTTTGCGAGCAACCGTCCCGTCCTGTACGCGAAGATAACACCCCAGAGTCTCCAATAAATATCTCTGTCGGTAATGCAACTGTATTAGCCCTCTCTCGCTGACATGTATCTTTGCTATTTCCAAAACCAGCGGAAGATTCTTTTGGTCCAGGTCCAGAAAAGTCTGCTCGCAGATCGTCAAACTTCCCTCTGACGCTTCCGAAATGGCTGCAGATAGCCGCGGCTCGCGCATAACACGGATGCAGAAGCTTTCGAAAATGTCGATCGAGATCATGAACTGAACGACCGAGGCGATCGATGTGGGATCATGAAATATGATATCTTTGCGAGAATTTGATGGTGCTCCGCTCCCTAGGCATTTGCTCATGAAGTCGACGTATTCCAACTCTTTGATTAGAGACTGTTTGTCGATCTGGACAACTTTGCCGGCCATGGGTCGCTCATATCCTATTTGGTGCCGCCACATCCAATTGCAGTAGATGTTTGAGACAATGCAGGGAATCAGGATGATATAACCCCACCACATGGTGGCAGTGATGAGACCTCCTGCGCCTGCAGCGAGGCCAGTAACAGCAAGTATCAATGCGTGAGTCTGAACTTTGCGCGTACGGAGCCGCAGCAGACGTCTGGCCAGATCTGACTCCAATTCGGCAAGTCCTGCGGACCGGTGTCGATAGGCTCGTATTGAAACATAGATGGACCACCCTGCATTGACAAGACCGTAGAGTGCTCCGGCAGCATTCCCAATGTAACCTGACAGAAGGTTGCTGGCGGCGAATACGGAAGGATTCGCACCACCAATGGCCATGTAGGTTCCGACGCTCACGAGAAGGGCTCCAAAACCTAACAGCACATCGACAATGAGCCGATCCAGCAGCTCAGTGCCACTTTCTCGGAAGTTGACACCTAGGATGGCGTCCACACTCCGCAAACTAGTCTTATTGTTGCGGTATCGAGCTCTTTCTCGCTTCAGGTAGGACCTCTCCGCTCTCAAGACCTGGATATTGCGCCAGCTCAGGGTGACATCTCTGAAAGCGAAAAGGGAGGTCGCCAGGGCCAAGGTTGCTCCAAGGGCCATGAGTGCGGCGACCCATTTCTTTACTGGGACTTGGTTCCAGATATTAGCAGCGAAGTCTCCTGCGTTTCCCAGTTCAAGAAATCCAACCCCGGCGAGCAGACTGTTTCTCAACCGACCGGGCTGTAACGGGCTGTAACGGCCACGTCTTCCTAATAAGGTGACCCAATCTGATTCCGGAAGAAATTTTTCTCTTTCACAGCCACTTCGACGCTTTTCTTCCTGCGTGGTGTCCTCTGGAGTTTTCGTTTTGTTCGCTTCGGACTCGATGTTCCTCGCAGCCGCTTCAGTGGCCATTAGACTGTTGAGTGTTGCGAGCGCCAATTTTGATTGAACAAACTTTGAGGAAGCCGGAGCTCTACACTGCGGCTACCGGAGCGCAGTGTCGACATTGAAAACTGGACAGTGTTGGGGGAAATCCTCTCGTCCACGCGTTAAAAGAGGTTGTGATCGAGATCTAATAATAGTTTGGCCCATATACGTATGACCCGCCAAGAGTGGCAACGTTACACCGATCCGAGCTCGCCGCTGCCGATGATCCATCCGGGGCGAGAGCGTGTAGACTTTAGAGCACATATTTGCACAATTACTTACCTGGATTGCGGTAAACTCGGAGTCTGAGACCCAGTTGAAGGTCTAGAATCGAGCTTGGTGCTGAAGCATCTCGTTTGTTCGAAGTCTTGGCCCCTCTTGATTTTGTGAGATGTCATCCCCCTGCTTTGCCCCTGTTCGCTAGGGGCCCAGGGTTGAATGAGCCGAGGACAAGGATTTTCGATCCCGCTGGCGCTGGCGCTGGCGTTGGCGAAGCTCGCCGAATTTTGCGCATGTGCATTTGCATTTGCTTTTCCTGCGCGAACTTCGTCATTGCCGTTTGCCAAGACCAAGGCCGAGAGATAAACAAAGTCGACAGCTCAATGTAACATCAGTCAATGCATTACACGGGCAACACATGCTTACTTCACTCACGTCGACTGTCTAATATGCATAAGGCCCTGCGGCGGCAGCCATGGACCTGCCCCAGATGCCTGCGCAAGCAGAAGAGATGCAATTCTACCGCCGCCGGCATTGCCGTGGCCGACGATAACACCTACGAATCTACCTCCCTTCACGCGTCTCCTTTCTCCAAGAGCGCCAGCGACAATGCTCTCCTCCGTGAGGTTTTCAATCAAAAGACTCTCTCAAAGACATCCTCCACCCGAAGCTCGGGCCTGATAGGAAACACGTTCCTGACCCTCCCCCAAGGTTTTCAAAAGTTTGCCGAGTCGTCCGTGATACAATGCAAGAGATTGGTAGAGAGGACGCTTGCCGCTTCTACGGTCGAGCAATACAAAGTTATACCCAAGGATCTTGATAGACTCAGCGACTTGCTATGTCGAGTTATAGATCTCTCCGACTTCATCAGGAGCATCCATCCGAGCGACGATGTGGCCGCTGCGGCGTCTGCCTCGTATTCACTCATGTTCCAGTACATGAATGAGCTCAATACGACAACTGGTTTAAACAAGCAGCTTAAGAAGGCTTGGGACATGCCCGAAGTTCGGTCTCAATGGAATGAAGAGGAAAAGATGGTTGCCGTGCTCTTGATGAGGGATTTTGCGAAATCGGGTATTCACCTGCCCGATAAGCAGAGGCAGCAATTTGTCTCGTTGTCCAACGAAATCGTGCAGCTAGGAACCGATTTCATCAACCAGATGGATCATGCAAGGGACTATGTGTCATTCAGCGTGCGCCAGCTGGACGGCATCGATCCAACGCTGGTTCAAGGCTTCAAAAACCATGAAAGAGCGCAGATCCCAGTGTCGAGCAAATGGTCCAAAATGGTTCTTACCTCTGTCAAAGACGCTGCGACGAGAAAAGAAATGTACATTGCCGAGAGAAGCGCCTCCAAGAAGACCATTGCAACACTTGAACAACTGCTTCTACGTCGAGCCCAGCTTGCCAAGCTGACGGGCTTCGACAACTTCGCTCAGATGACTCTGATAGAGAAAATGGCCAAGACGCCAGAAGCTGTGAATAATTTTCTGGAATCGGTCAATGCAAACAACAAGATACATGTTCAGAAGGAGCTTGCTCCGCTATTGGAGCTCAAGCGCAAGATGCACCAAGGTGCCGAAAGATTGAATCCGTGGGATCACCACTATCTCCTGGCCAAACTAGATCAATTGGAGGGAGCATCGGGACCGCGGACATCAAGGTCGCGTCTGCAGGAAAGTGCCAAACTCTACTTTGCACTAGGCCATGTGATGCAGGGTTTGTCTAGCCTCTTTGAGTCTCTGTATGGCGTCCGATTTGTGCCAAAAGAGACCAAGCAAGGCGAAGTCTGGCATCCTGACGTTAGGCGGTTGGACGTGTACACCGAGAACCAGGAGCATATTGCCACCATGTATTGTGACTTGTTCTCGCGGCCTGGAAAACAGAGTCATCCTGCTCACTTCACGCTTCTCTGCTCGCGAGAAATCTCAGAGGAAGAGATTCGCGAATGCGAAGAACGCAATGAAGCATTGAACAACGGCATGCCGACACTTCTCAGCACCAACCCGATATCTGGCGTAACTTCTCATCACCAAATCCCCATTATCGCTCTTGTCTGCGGCTTCCCACACTCCAGCGTCCCCGGCGAACCAGCTCTCCTCTCTCAATACAATCTTGTCTCGTTGTTCCACGAAATGGGCCATGCTATCCACAGCGTTCTGGGCCGCACCTCCATGCAAGGCATATCGGGGACGCGGGTCGCAACTGATTTCTCCGAACTCCCCTCTGTCCTCATGGAGAACTTCGCAACTGACCCGGCAGTGTTGAAGCTTTTTGCGAGACATTGGAAGACCGATGCGGCAATGCCCGATGAGATGCTCAAGGTACTGGCCCAAGAAGGGTCAAAGGAAGCTTCTAGGCAGGGCGCGTGGAACAATGAGAGCCAGATTCTCATGAGTATCTTGGATCAAGTGTACCACGGAGACGGGCCAGTTCAAGCCCTCCGGAGCGGGCGGTATGATTCTACTGCTGTATATTACGACGTGTGGAACAAGCACGGCTCCGTTCCTGAGCCCTGGGGCACTTCCTGGCAAGGCTTCTTCGGCCACCTCCACGGCTATGGCGCAAGTTACTATTCATACCTCTTCGACACAGCGATCGCACGACGGGTCTGGACGAATGTATTTCGCGGCGGCGAGAACAATGGCGCGGTTGATCGTGCGAGTGGGGAGAGGTTCAAAGAGGAGGTTCTCAAATGGGGCGGAGGAAGGGATCCCTGGCTCTGTCTTGAGAGATTGCTTGGAGAGGGCAGAGGCGTGTTAGCAGAGGGCGGGGAGCAGGCCATGTTACAGGTTGGAAGATGGGGGGTTGGTGTCGGAGCTGGAGCTGTCGATTGACGAAGCAGGCTCAGTAGAAAGCGTGGATGTTCGTTGTCACAGGGAGTAGAATTATGTAGTGCCTTCGTCATCTCTGTCTTTTATATACCAATGCATCGTCACGTTGAACTCCCCCCAATTGGACGCCATTATCCAGAAGAATGCAACTGTACCTTGTTTCAATCTGACCCTGTGCGAAACCATCCGACTAGACTAGGGGATAGGAGACCCAGGACACTCCACAGGGAGAATTAGTGCATAGTGATCTCCGGATACGCCGTGCCTGTAGATGCTCTGGGCGTCGATGAGCCGGGATTCCCAGGACCTCCAGGTCCTCCAGACCCTGCTGCCGCTGCTGCTGATGGGGGTGCCGATGTCGATCCTGATCTGGCATGCAATGCGCCAGCGGCCGCGGCGCCAGCACCTGTGACATCAGTGGCGTAGCCCAGGCCCTCGATAGTCGCGAGGCCGGGATCCATGCCGAAGTCGAGGTCGGCGTTGAGGAAGGCGTCGCCATCGAAGAGCGGGTCCTGGAAGATGGTCGGCATACTGAGGTCGAAGAAGCCGTCGAACAGCTCGTCCAGGTTCGTGAATTGCGGGTCGTAAATGCCCGGGCCGAACGAAGATGGCACGTCGAGCGACGTAAACGCTCCACCACTTCCACTTGCTCCTCCTGCTGTCGTAGAGGAGGATGTCGGCGCGAGAGGATTGTGATGGCTGTAGCTGTAGCTATTAAGGGCGGATGATGTCTGAAATCGCGTGCTTTTGTTGTAGTTCTGGTACTGGAACGCAGACTCGGGTGGGATCTGGCTGAAGCCCGAGGCGTAGCTGCTGTTGTTGTTGTTGAACTGTTGTGACTGTGTTGTCTTGGGAGATGTGGCTGAGAGCGATGCGGGTGTGTTGGACACCGCCCTGGCGATCGCGGCGTTCCCGCGACACTTGCCGTTGCCGCTGCCAACGGAGGGCGAGGAAGCCAGATTCGTGGTTGTTCCAGTCGAGTGCGTAGCTGCTGCATCGGAAAGGACATGTAACCCATTTCCTCTCGACCCACCACCACCACTAGAAGACGTTGATTTTGTCATAGTCGTGGCAGCTGCGCTAAGAGTTGCGGCAGGCGTGGAGGAACTGTGAGAATGATGATGTCCTCCTCCATGATGTCCTTTCGCTTCAAACGGTCCAAACTTGCACGCAGTAACCTCCGCTTCCATCGCACTCACGATCCCGGCCACGCTGGCTTTCCTCACTCCCGTCTGCTGCAAAGACTTCAACGCCTTCCGCCCTAATCTGGCCATCGCATCTGCCGTCCACCAGTACATGCTCAATGCCTCCAAAGTCTCACATCGCGTAGCGAGATCGGCCTGTGCACGGTCGCTATCTTCGAATGCATTGTCACGGAGACCGCGGTATGTGACTGTCAGGGCAAGACCAACCGCATAGGGAACCAGGGGAATGGGCAGAAGGGATGTGTGGCGGCCGTTGGAGAGCAATTCTTGGATCCGGTCTGCCGCGGAGATGCGACGGGTGTAGGAGGTGGTAGAGGGGCCGCCGGCACGACAGGAGAGAATACAAATGACGTGATAGCAGATTTCGAGGATACCTAGAAAGAGGGTTAAGGTATGCGACGAAGGTGGAACGAGATTTAGATGACCAGCAGCGTTCACTCACTTTGTTCGGAGATGGGAAGCAAGGATAAATCGATACCCTCAGTCAGTGACCGATAAGGCGGGAACTCGGTTTCCCATCCTGTACACTCCGGGTCTGCTGTCGGTCTATAAAATTCGATGACCTCGTCGAGAAGATCCCCCAATCTCAACCACAGATTGATGACATTACTTCTGGGAACGCCGCTCTCGAGCGGCGGGCGTGTGATGTCGATGTCTCGATTTGCAATCACGATCGGCCGCCCACCGAGGCAGGCATTGATCTTGTCGAGGGTCCAAATGGTCCACCACAGCATGCTTGATTGATCTTTCGGAGATCGTCCCGGTGTGTGGATGTGTAGTCCGGCCGTCCATGCGTCGTGGATAGCTTGCGACAAATGGAGTGAGGACTCTTCGATGCCTCCTGGTCCATCGTTGTGCAAATGCATCAGAGTCAGGATCTGGATTTTGGTGACTCTATCAGGCTCCAGATCAGCCTTCATGGCGGCGTCCAACCCGGTATGCAAACTCCGGGCAAATGGGATGGGGTCGAGAAGTGGACCATCGTCGTAAAGCCGGAGATACGCTGCAGCCTCCTCGGTCTTGCAGGTGACAAGGCATATCGCTTGCATAAGGAATATCGAACACCGTCCTTCGGTGTAGTCCCGAAGTAGTTTAATGCCGTTCAGAATGGGCAAAAGCCCGTCAAAACAGGCAATGTAAGTGGTAACCAGCGCATCCTGAGTTGCTTTGGGCAGAACTCGAAAGGCGCCCACGGCTTGCAAGTAATTTCGTTGATGGCCAGTCAGGGTCCTCCGGCCACCTTCAACCTTGCCATACTTCTCAACGTTGAGTGGCGTTTTGTCTCCTGACTTCTGTGGCGGCGGTGGGCCAAGGTCTTCTGGAGGGAGTCCGTTTTGCAGATCGCGAGACTGTTCAACCCAGGTACCTACTCGGCTGATCCTCTGTGTGCCCTGTTTCCTGGATGACAAGTCCGTGAGTATGGATTCGGGATTCAGATCTCCAACGAAGCGGATGGGTTCTTTGTGTGTCAAATTGGGCAGGACTCTCTCCAGCCCGTCAGAATCTGCTTGCTGCTCTGGCGGGCGCTGAAAGGTGTGATGACAGCGCTTCTTCGCGGCGCGGCATTTCTGACACGCCCGAGCGGCTCTCTTGCGGCTTGCGAAGGCCGCCGTGTCCGCCTCCCAGACAACTTGCATCGAATCCCAAAGGCTGTCGGATATTAGATTTATTGATGAAGGGAATTGGTGGGTGGTGGGGGCACGGCCGGCGGCTGATCTGAAAGCAGATATCGCCCCGCGCAGCTGCCCACGTGATACCACGTGACCCAACGCCTTGCTTGCTCACCTGACGCGTACTGGCAATTGATACCTACTTGGGCTCGCTGGTACCTTCGCCAGCACTTGTAACAAGTAGTGCAAAGGACCCGAGCTGTCTTGGGCTGTCCCAGCTGGGTGGAAGGCTGTGGCTTTTCTCTCACACTGACTCCATTCATTCTCCTAGGACTGTCCAAGACTGTCCTTCCGTGACATCCCGAATTCTAAGCTCGACCAGAACTGCCCATTGCTGCTTCTGGTCGTCCCAAGCAACATGACTGACCCGCTCTCGTTTGCGGCAGGGGCAGCTGGCTTTATTTCGCTCGGTCTCCAGGTTGGCCAATCTCTCATATCGACTTCTATACTGCCTACAGGAATCACGACGCCGATGTGGACAGAACTACCCGGAACTTAGAGAGTCTCCGGGCCACATTTTGGCTACTTCAGACTACGCTGCAGACTCGCACCTTGTTAGAGGCAGAAAGGGTTGCGGTGACGAATATCGAATCCCGACTAGAAAAATGTCTGGAAATTATTCAAGAGCTGGAGGAAGAGAGCAAGAAGTTTAAGAAAGCCACTGATCCCGGAATCGCTGGCAAAGTCAAGGTAGCCGGTCGTCGCTTAGCTTATCCGTTCCGGAAAAGCGAACTACAGAAGCTTCACGAAGATATCGATGAAATACCTGAAAATGTCGACGTTTCTCTTGGAGTCCTGCAATTGAGGGATCAGCAAATAATACATAACAGCGTTCGCGACGTCAAGATGCTCATTGAAGTTGTGAGAGCTGGTGTGATCTCCTTGGAGATACGCAGTTGGCTCAGAGCACCGGACGCCAGCATCAATCACAATGCCATGTGCACCAAGCGATACCTCGACACTGGTGCATGGTTTGTGGAAGGGCCTCTTTTCACTAACTGGATAACGAAACCAAATTCATTCCTCTGGCTGAATGGATTTGCAGGGCGCGGGAAGTCCATTTTGTGCGCAACAGCGATCCAGCATGCTTTCCTCCACACACGATCGGACGCCCGTAAAGGTATCGCTTTTTTCTATTTCACTTTTGACGATGAGCCCATACAAGACGAGTCTCCAATGTTGCGGGCAGTGTTTCTACAGCTCTCTGGTCAAGTTCCAGAGGGTAATACCGACATTACGGAGTTGCATACTTTGCACCCTGATACCATGCCTCCATCCTGAATCCTTCTGGAGTATCTCCACCATTTGATACGGAGGTTCACAGATGTATATCTCTTTATTGATGCGCTAGATGAGATTCCTCCGTCTGAAAAACGCCCTCATGTTTTGAGATCGTTGAGGGCCATTCGGGGTTGGAATCTGCCTGGGCTGCATTTGTTAGTGACAAGTCGCGATGCGTTGGACATTCGCCGGGCATAATTTGGTTCCCAGACTCCAACAGCCTCGGAAGACACAGTTGAAGTTGCTATGAATAATGAAGACATCGATCGGGATATTGCGAACTATATTTCTGGCCAATTACGAGATGATCCTGACATGCAAGATTGGTTGCAACACACGACAAGATTCGTCAAGCTTTGACTGAGAAGTCAGGCGAAGTGGAAGGAGTATGGATCTGTGAGTTTTGTGCGCGTTGCGCTGACAATGACACAGGTTCCGCTGGGTTGAATGCCAATTTCAGATCTTGCCCAAGAAGTGAATACCGCTTTGAGGAATGCCTGGCCTCCCTACCACGAACCCTCGACGAGACCTACGAGCGAATGCTTTCCACCATCGATTCGGATTATGTGTAAGACGCTAAACTAAACGAATTCTGACCTCGGTCTGTTTGTCTGTTCGCCCCTTAGCTGTACCTGAGCTCATGGACGGAATTGCTGTTGATCTCAGCGGCTCGGGATGGCTGGATCGACGACGACGATTGCATAGTGCAGATGACCTGCGAAGAATATGTCCTGGATTGTTGGCTTTCAATACTGCAGAAAGTGACTTCACAGGCTCACCAGACGCTGACGACGAAGATGACTGCCTTACATTGTTGACGGTACACATCGCTCTTTTTTCAGTCCAAGAATACATCGAATCAGACCGCATAAAACAGCAAAAAGCAAGAATTTACGCGTTACAACGAAGCTCAGCGAACCTGGATATTCTTCGCATCTGCCTAGTATGCTTGCTCGAACCAGGATTAAGCAGCAGAGGGCTAGACAGAAGCATTCTAGAGGAACATCCACTAGCCCGTTTTGCTGCCTCCTCCTGGTATGCATACTATCCTTACATCGCAAAGCACAGTAGATAATGTCCAGGGATTGGTCTTGAAACTATTCGATCATCAAAATGGCTCTTTTTCCAATTGGGTAAGGTTGCGCGATCTGGAGAGCCCTAGGTGAATGAAGTGAAGTTCCATCTTGACTTGGAACACATTGCATCTCCGCTCTACTATCCATCTCTGCTGGGGTTCGACTGGATTGTGAGAAAGCTTCTCGCTGCTGAGTATGATGACATTGAACGCCAAGTTCTCATCCATATTCTTGCCGGAGAAAATGGCAATGCGCTGCATGGGCACACTAAGGTGGTTCAAACTTTACCCGAAGCAAGGGCGGATGCTAATCTTCGTGGTGGGCTTCATGACAGTGCACTACAGGCAGCTTCTGCAGGAGTTCACGATGCCGTGATAGAATTATTGTTGGACAAGAACGCTGATGTGAATGTCCATGGCGGCAAATACAATAACTCATTATACGCTGCGTCGTTGAATGGCCATAAGAACGCTGTTCTCATGCTGCTTGGCCATGGAGCCGATCCAAATGTCCGAAGCGGTTTGTTTGACTATTCGTTGCAAGCAGCATCAACAAGAGGCCATGAAACCATTGTGCAGATTCTCTTGGAAAATAATGCTGACGTGAACACAGGAGGTGGTGGATTTGGCAATGCGTTGCAGTCCGCAGCATCCGCTGGTCATGAGAATGTAATGAAGATCTTGTTGAGCAAGGGGGCTGATGTCAATGCGTACGGAGGGTAATTATGGGAGTCCACTGCAAGCCGCATCTGCACGAGGCCGCACAGACATCGTCCAGATGCTGCTGAAGGAGAATGCTGAAGTGAACGCGGTCGCTGGATTCTATCATACTGTTCTGCAAGCAGCATCGGCGGAGTGTCATCATGAGACAGTCAAAATACTGCTAGATAGCGGTGCGGACGTGGACATCTTGGGAGGAGAATTCGGCAATGCGCTGCGTGCAGAACTACAACGCGGACACAAGAGGGTTGCAGAGTTATTGCAGGGAGCGAGCGCCGGTGAGGAACTGCTGCCAAACCACGCCGATGGAGTCGCTCTTCTTCAGTCCTTCAGAACAGATCCACGCTATGAACCTCGCCATTTCCGACCTTCCAGCTCCACAGCCTCGTCGTTGGCCCCAGCAAAAGATTCCCTCCACAACTTAACCGCGAAAGATATAGACCAGATAATTCTCAAAGCAGAAAGTGGGTTTGCAACATTAGTTGATTCTCTTGGGGTAACACACAGCTGTCTTTATGATCTAGGGTCAAGACGTCATATACGTCCACAAGACGTGAACTTTTACTGGGATCTTTATTGACAGTAGCTCCCGATCTTCCTGATTGACGACGCGAAATCGATGGAAAAGTATTGGCAACATGTCAAATCAGTCCCCACGCCATGGCATATATCATTAAGCAGCCAAGAAAGCCACCTATGGAGCTGTGTTTTATGCGAAGCGACCGAAAATGCTCATCCAAAACTTCGACGGGCCTTGTGAAGGTCCTAGATGGAGCACATTTAGAAGGGCAAAGCGACATCCATATTCGACTTCAACAAATCTTCAAAGTTGGCCATAATCAACCGCAACATACCCTCTCCGAACAGGTGGGATGGGAACCGCTCAATGTCTACATTTTAACGGATGGAGCATGGACATCCAATATTCGTGCCGACAACTCAATATGGCCCATTGCAAATGCCCCCGACAAACAAAATTCAAGCCGTGGTGAAGTCGGACTGCAATTTGTCCTCTTTGGCGATGATCTAAAAGCCTGGAGTGAGCTGAGTCGCCTTGAGTCGGGACTTGTGCTGGTCAGGTAGCTAATAGCCCTTGCGGAACATCTCCGATTCTGATCCGATATTATTACCCTCCGCTGACATCGATGCGCAGGGACATCGTCGATAATGAACCAGCAAGCAGCAGCATTTTCAAAATGCTCATGAGCGCAATGACGACTGACCATTTTAACTCGGTCCCCCTCCTAGGATTAGTCGGGCACCAGACTTGGAAAATGCATTGTCGCCTTTCGGAAAGGCAAGCAAACACTCTCCTGACTCCGTTTGTGGTATGTATTGCTCTAATCAATGCTCTAAAATGGTCTCTAACACGCGCACAGAATAGTAGATGTTGAGAAAAATTCCATCCAGTTGAAAGGGAGGACTCAAGACAGATGGGCAATGAATGTGCTATGTTTATTCTGACAACTGAAAAATGGTGGGGTCGATTCGTGCTGCGTGGCTTGACGATCTCGCCTTGCAGATTGATAGCTACGCTTGCTTCTTGACCAACAGCAATACGCCATACACGGCTGCCTTCACTTTCTCCTTTCCTTTCTCAACGCCTGCCTCCTGCAACAGTTGCTCAATCTTCTTGCGAAGTATCTTAAGCACATCTCGCTCCGTGCCGACGTCGTCGGGGTGCGCCTGGCGCCAACGTGTCTCTGCACTCCCCGTCGCCATCATCTTCTCAAACACGTCCAGGTCCGCTTCGGGCATACCCACAAAGAATTGTTCGGTCGGGTCCCACTCCTTTCGAACGAATGTTGTCCTGTCAAATTCGGAAACGGGCTGCGCCAGGGTCCACGGAAGGGGGAGATCGGCATAGCGACCTCGCACAAGCAGGCTGCCTGGCTCAAGGTAGGGCTTCATGTCACGCTCCTGGTGCTCATCAAATGCCTCCTGAATGGCGGCAGCGTTGGGCATTGACGGGTGAGCACGAATCTCGCCGCTAGTCCACAACGCGACGGTGCCTCCGGGCTTGAGGACGCGGGCAGCGCTGGGCCAGAAGCCTGACATGTCAAACCAGTGCGCAGCGTTGGCGGCGGTAATGAGGTCGACGCTAGAATCCGGAATTGGCGGTGACAGGTTTGCTCCGAGTTCCTCGGCCGTGGATCTCTCGAAACGGGCGGGTTCGGCAGTGGACGAAACAATTTCTATTGAACGAGCCGTACTGATCATACCCTCGGAAGGGTCGAGGCCAATGACATGAGCAAAGTGAGACGCGAGCCCGCGGGCGGCAGTGCCGGGACCACAGCCAACATCAAGAATTGTGTCATGACCGCCGCCGGTGGATGTATGGTGGTCAATGATGGCTTGATACACCTTTGGGTGGTAATCACGGCGGACCTGGGCATAAAATTTGCCTTGTTCCTTGTTGTAGGAGCTGAACGTCTTTTCCTTTGGAAAGGGTGCAGAAGCGGACTCTGGCTTGGACATGGCGTTGTCCAGGCAGCAGAAAACGGGTATTCGGGATCGGCCGCCTTCGGACTTAAGCTTGAAGAGGAGAAAATTTGGAGTCAGAGCTGAAGAAAACGAGCAATTGCTTCACCCTGGCTTTGAAAAATATAATTGAGGCTTGCTTGAGGACAGATGGATGGAGGCTGACCCGAATTCGACGGAGATGTACAGGGTAGAGATATTTATCTCGGGTTATTACGAGCAAGGCTGCCGAAGAGGAAAGCAGCCAATAGTAATGGTTTTTTCCTGCGAGCGGGCCGCCCACTAGCCCGATACAGGGTACCATTGCGAGGCCCCAGTTCGCGCACCTTTAGCCGAGAGAAGGGCGAAAGATTTCAGATATATCGATATCGGCGGTGAATGAACTTTCGACTCGCTAAGGATCACTTGAAGCTTTTCGAAGCGGTATCGGCCATGAAGCCTGCCTGTCGAATCCCCATTGTGGAATTGATGCGTCGGAGTTGCTCCACAGCGAAAGAGCGCGCAGAGCAATCATTCCGCTCTTCCAGGGCGACCACAAACAGTGGCTGCAAGAGCGACAAGATGCCTGTGGTGGTAGTTAGCTCATGAGCCTCCTCTTGAGCGGGATTGGGGGCTAGTTACGTGGAGTGTCTTTGAAACTATATGTAGAGATGCAGATGTCATTGCACAACTGCTGAATGATGGAACAAGCGAGCGCCATCCCTGCATCATCGGGCTCAGTCAAGCGGACCTCATTTTGCAGCATGATTTGGTTGACTAGCACCCGAAGTGCGCGCCAATAGTTCCATGCCTCTGCGATCCAAAGATTGGGATAGATGTGCTTCTTCCCCTCGAAGCAGACGTCATTGGGAGCACCAGGAACACGGACTATCGTGTATCCCCAAGCTGGCGACAAGCCTGCTTTCCAAGTCTCGAGGTCTCCATCGAGCTCCAGCGCTATTGCACGGACGGCCTGTGGATCTGTAGTCTCTTGACTTCTCAAGCCTGCCCAGAGGTTGACCACTCGGATACAAATCTCGGTGATAGACCCTGGGCTGGCAATATTGGCGTGTTGCCAATCCCGTCTCAGAGTGCCTGTCTGGAAACTAAAGGTTGCCTTCACCATGGCGTTGGGCACGGCAACGTGCTCGTGCATGCAGACCAGAAGCTATAATCGTGATGAGACGGTGGCCCAAAACAAGGAGTGATGGACAGCATTACTCACTATGGAGGAGCGAAATTGGACGTAGAGCAGGCCGCCACGTTCACTGAGAAATTGCTCTCGACCCCGAAGCTCTAAGATGGCCGTGCCAGCCCTGACATGGGCCGCCCAATGGTGATATCGATCTCGATTTCCAAAACTGACGGTCTATAAGCATGTGAGTAACGGCTCTGTCAGAGTCTGATCCCGCTAGCCTTGACGCACCTCAAAAAATGCCAGTAAGATGAGTGCCATAAACGTCGTGTCCGAAATCGCTTGCACTGGACTGTTCAAAGCTTTTTGCATGGAGATCAAGGCCGTACAATACTGTGCGTGGCATTGAGACTTAACACGAGGTGCATAGAATACGTTTGACAATCCTGCCATGCCAACAGCTTCGATAACCGCACGTAAAACGTTGTTGGGCCCTTGGTCAAAGTAGGACTTGACCAGCCAAGCATGATAGTTGCTGAAGAAAGGACCATCGTCGGGGGAATACTTGGTGAAGAAAAAATTGGCCCCGAGATCATGAACAGATTGGGAAAGCGGATATGTTATGGTCATAGAAGATTGAGAAAACGGAAACAATCTCTCTGCAGGAGCTAGTGTGTAGCTTTGCTGGGATTGAGCGAGAGGTTCCTGTATCGCGAACGAACCTGACATTTCATCCTGACGATATCTGCGGACCACCCGGTCGGACTCGTCTCGAAACCTGACGTCGCTAAGATTGCGGTAGCCCGGGCATTTTTGTTTCAATCTTGTGCACTTCAAACATTCAGGTCTGCGTTCATCGCACTGGCAAAAACGGCCAGGTGGTAAGTCGGATGTGCTCAAAGGTTCGGGAAGGGTTGGAGAAATACTACAACTTACCTTTACTTTGCGTTTGCGACATCGCTCACAGCCTTGGCTGGGAGCACCACAGTATACCATGAGACGGAAAGATCCTATCTGTCGATGAATTCCTCGAGTATGCTTGTACAAGCTTCCTGTGGGATTTCTTTGTAGCCTGAAGATGTAAGGGATGAAGGACTCGGACCCCACTGACAATTGAGTTTTTGAATTGCTTTTATACTCTCTGCTTCGTCAATAGGCATTGCCTGCTGTTTCCCAATAGATTCAGGTTGTGGGCTTCTGAACAGGGGAGTCTCTGTGTACATACCCGACATGCAGAAGCTCACTGCTGCGTTGGCGAGATACCCCAACCGACGCTGGAGAAAGAGTGCCCGTGGCGCAGAAAGATTAATGACTCGGTACCTAGTGGTACGGGAATTAACACAGGGCCATTGATGAAACCGAGAATAAAACAACGTTGCCAACAGCCGAAGCAACCTCTCTTTTACCCCTGTAATAAAGTTGTCAGGATATCCGCTATGAGGCCCTTTAGCGCCTTGGCAATTCAGTGTCTACTTTCTTGCTCCTTAGCTGTCATCACTGTCAATTCTAGATAGATACTTATGTACACACAATACCTTACTCCCCCGCTACCACAGCTATCCATGTCATTAATGTCTTCTTCTTCCTTCCCTGATGCTATACCGCCTGCAGTTGAGGCTAGTGAGGTGGTCCTTCCGTTTCGGGTATGGTTGCGGGCTACGTTTGTATGAACCTCGTCTCACATCCTCTTCCCCTCTCTCCCTCTCTCCCTCTCTTCTATTATCTTAGCAGCGCACTCAATGAACATATGCCATGGCCACATCAGTAAATGAAGCGCCTCTAAATGCACGTTTCTCCCCCTAACGGCTCGGAAAAGACCGGCAGCAAGCATGCGGAATCGATTGAAACATATAGAGAGCCTTGTCAAAGTGGCGATGGCAAGTCAGCCATCAATTGGTTTTGATACGTCTGCGAGTAAAAGTTACTTCAACGAAGTCGAGGGAGGAACGTCGCAGCCTGACGACAGCATGGGGCCTGATCTGCCTTTGGTCTTTAAACACGATTCACCCGCTTCTAAAGAAGGCCTCTTAGCCGCGCTACCCGATAACGCCGTCGTGAATCGATTGATCCATCCATACTTTAACTCCAATAGCTCTGCTCTCCGTGAGTGATTTCGAGTTTCCTAGGAAATTTGCTAATTCCTCCCAGATATAATTCATAAACCAGCATTTCAAAGACACGTAGGTAGCAAATGCTCCTGAGAGGCTTCTGTGCCTTTTACATATCGCAACACTAATGTCACCCGCAGTACAGCAAATCCTAAGCTAACCCCCATGGCTCGCCGATCAGTTGGCTCGCTTTGATATACTCGATTATGCTAGGGCTGCGCTGGCATCTAGCGTGGCGTGACAATTACTTGTCCAGGAGCGTTTGATCTACCAGAATTTTGGATAACCAAAGTGGTCAAGTGGCTTCAGGAGTGACTTTGGAGAGAAAGGCGGTTTCAGTATTCGGACTAGCCGGGTCAGAAGAGGCGGAAACGGAAGATCTATTAATCCGTGATAGATCTCTCAAAACACCAAGGAATGCTATACAAACAGGAGACAGCGTCTAGAACGGCAGGAATGGAATAGCAGGAATAACAGGGTTAGAATTCGCAGACAATAATGCAGAGAAACTGACGTCCCCTAATTTTGGTGGCGTTAGATTCTAACAGTTCACATTGAGCGAAGTTGCTGTTGTACGAAATCGCTTTCGAAGTCGCTACCTGGAGTCATTTCGGAGTCTGTGGAGCCGCCTCCAAAAAAAAAAAAAAAAAAAAAAAAAAAAATTCGACTTCCGGCATTGCCAACTTCCACAACGATGCGCGCTCATATGGAAACGGAACATTTGGAGTGAAGTCAAGGAACGCGGAAGACCACAAGCTCAAAGTAGGCCCCGTGATTTGCCTTGTTTTTCTCTTGCCAGTTGGGGCTTTTGGCAAATGTGTTCGTGATTGATGTATTGCGGGCAGACCCGATCAACAACTCCTCTCTTCCCGAAGATATGATCTCCACATGACCGTATCTTCGTTTTAGGTTGATGTTGGTCAATTTGATGCCGCAATTTACCTTGATGTGGTCTTCGACGGCCATCATGGCGGAATCTGATGTTTAAATGTACTGAAAGGTACATGCCGCGTGACGGACGGTGTTAACGGGGTGGAAGATATCAGCGGAACTAACGAGTCCATTGTTAGGTCGCAGAGCTCCGGTCTAGTATTAAAATTATTCTGTGTTGAAAGTGCTGGAGGGTTCTCAGTTGAAACGGTCTACATCCTTCTAAGCGTCGTCCGGATGAACGACGTCTGGTAAACAACTGGCTTCGCAGGAGACATATTGGGATGTATTTTCGAAAATAAAACGTGTGAGCTTAAGATGAAGTTGGTGCTGAGAGAAACCTCTATAACTTTACACCCCGGCTGTCGGCGTGCGCAACCGTCGCTCATCCTCGCCATTTCTTGGTCCGGGATGGCCGTGTCATGTAGTCCGCATTTACTCGTCAAAGCCCGTGGTATCCAAATCTCAAACGATAGATTCATCTCGGACAGATTCACGGACACTCCGGATCCTGTAGCGGTAAGCAGGATTGAGTAAAGAAATCTGCGGGCAAGTAGCTCGGTCGAGAATATATTGACTTCAACCCCCCCCAGAGATCGTAATGTGCCGGAACGCTCTTGTATGTCACCACCCGATAATGGAACTTTCTCCGGAACCAGCTTGAAATCCAACAAGTACGGCGGTGAACGTGTTATATCTATCCTGAACATCTGGTTATGAGGAGCTACCTTGAGTCCATCAATTTCCGTATTTCAGGCCGTCTCATTGACAGGGCTGATATTAATAAGGGCTGGATTACCACCATCCACGCCACAAAATCTACCGTACCACGTGGGGTGATGCGGTCTGCACAGAATACTCGGCGGTTAATCACGTCCGTTCCGTGAACCGAACCGAGAGAATCCGTTGGCTCGAAAATATACACGCCGATTATGATTGGCGCACTCCGACGCCTGAGCTCAACGTCAAGAAAGCCGTCGCAGAAAAAGGATGGATTTAAAGCTTACATTAATTTGTCGCAGCCCACCCATCAAACTTCCTAAGATCTGTTCTCTCCCATCAGCGAAATCTCGACGCTTAAGGCTGGGCCGAGGCTTTGATGCACAGCTGGAGACAGAGAAAGGATTGAGTTGAATCCTTATCATCATTGTTCCGGTCGCGATCCGATGAACCATGCCAACCACATTCAAATCTCAAAATGAATCTCACATAAGTGTTCAGTTTCCAGCGTGTTCGGGAGGCACTGAATTCTGGATGGATGTGCGTCGACAATCGCTAATGTCTGGCGGAATATTCCGCCGAGGCTGTAACCGATGTGGCCATTACCACCTATGAAGCAACAGTAGTCGATGCCTGGCCAGCCACAATATGCCACTCTCTATGACTCAACCAAGTGAGTCACACATTCAACTAAGAAACTTCAAAGATCACCGAAATCGAGCCAGCTACCGTCTGACACGTCAAATTTTCTTCTGCATTAAAGCAGAGGGATGCATATGCCGTCGGGTATCTCGATGTGCATATGTGGAGGTCTTCTTAAAAATATGTTGCCCAATTTCACCTGGACCTTCCTTTCCAACGATGAATCACCTGCCCTCAATACGAAGAGCACTGCAATAAAACACCATATGATGGTTGGGGAGATGAAATGGCGTTGTAGGCGGCAGGCTTTGGCTTGCTAGGGTGGCCCGCATGCCTGCATATTCGCCGCAAATGTGCAGCTGCATGTTCTCTTCTTGGTAAGAGGCATCAAATTGGCCGCGCCTTGAATGATAAAGAGTCTGCAATAATCCATTTGGGCAGATGCGACAGATGTCATCCTGAAGCTTCTCTGCCATACGTCTGACCAGTGCCACTTCCCCGCACAAACTTGTTGGGCTGCTTGCCGCTTCGACGTCCGAGCGCTCTTTGAAGGCTGTGATGTTGACAGGGTCGCGAGAGCACCATTGGGGCAAACCACCTGAGACGCTAGATGCTTCACCAACTGCGCAAACTGCCTCAACCTCGTTGTTCCTGCAGTTCTGTGACAGGATGGCGACGGAGTAGGAGGTTTCAGGAATGCTCTTGTGGTTACAGGCCAATGTATATATAAACAGGCAGAGTGTCTCTGAATAGCCAGGGGGACAGGACACAATCAACCAGACAGGTCCACAACTCAACCTTTCGTTCAACATGTGACCTTCTAGTCGACAGCTTTGCCAGTCTTCAGGTGCAAGAGCAAACCTTCGGGCGTTTGTTGTTCGAGGTGCTCTTGACAACATCATCTCCACCCTGGAGCAAGCGAAGTGAGGCATCCAAGGAGAAGCCGCACAGTTGATGTCCTGGTTAGCATGATCCCTCCGCCCCATTCGTGAGAGTGTGGAGACGTAAAGAATTCTTCAGGCTCAACGAATGGCCCGTCCCGTCAGTCGCCTCACGGAATCCGTGGCTCTTCATTTGCTATGCTGGTATCTATCCCGGTCTCCAAGGAAGAAGGGATTCAACGGTCAAAATTACCATGTATAAAAGTAGGGAGAAGCTGTTTGTTTGAGAATCATCCTTTGCCTTTTCTTGACACCTTGGACTTTTACATTTACGACCCCAAAGATGGGAGCAAAACACAAAGCTGGTCTAATAACCACAGGCTCAGCCAGCCGGTGGACCAAGGCTGACCTGAAGCTCCTCATTACAAAGCTTAAAGAGGGCCTCTCGCTAGAACAGATCGTCAAAGATCATTTGCCAGGCAAGAGCGTTAGATCTTGCCGGGATCGAGCTCGGCCCTTCCTGTGGACCGGTCAGTTACCGGAATCATGCCTACAAACATCTACCCCAGGAAAGCGCAGAGGACGGCCAAGGACCCGGCATTTACCCAGTCCAGAACCAAAAGCCTCATCCTCCAAACATCAGCTGAGGGACAAGCGGGGACGTTATGCATGTCAATCTGGTAGTCCTCCTGACAATCATGCACGCATGGTCGGTAAGAGTTCTCCGCTTGCGCAATCAATTTATTCGAATGATGACCTTTCTTTAGGAGACCGAGAGAACGATGTCCGGGAAACGGACACTGACTCTCTCCCAGACGATGATAGCAACTACATCGTGAGCGAGACAGAGGACGAAGAATCCGCGACTGAGGTTGGTCCCGCTCGTGATGCAGCCATTCAATCCGATGCGAGCCCGTCAGACACAGGCCCTCGCGCACCTGATTCAAGCATCTCAATCAATGATGGACGACAGATCAACCAAGTTTCTTCGATTGAGACTGGCGTACCTGACCTTCAAGGCGTCAAGGATCTCTGCAAAGAGACCAAAAATTTCAACCGTGAAATTTCCACTGCGAATGGGGATGACGTAGCGAATATGGGAGAGTGGCTGATGAAGTTTGGGGGCCTGGAGAGTCGACACATTGAGTAAGGTCATTGGGTAGCTCCTCCAAACAGAGTTGAACTGATCACTCCACAGATGGGCATTTCGATACCGAACCCTGATGCAGGAGCACACTGACCACGCTTCTCCGGGGCTCTCGCAGGGCCGGATCCTTCATCTGTGGTCATGGATCTCACTCTGTGCTCCTGTAGCTTATCACAAACGGCTCTGGGCCTTCAGCTGCATGCAAAAACGATCTGACTTCTTCGCGATGGAATGCGTGAATGCCGCAAAGGAGATTGTGCTAATTGTCGAACGATATCTTGCGAAGCCTTCAGTGGGGATCACAAGAGACTTGTCCCATGCCTTATGCTTTGCTCGAAAAGTCCTTTCAGGTAATGTCTTGATTTTCATCGACCTACATTGATTGACCATGATTTCAGACCACGCACTGTATCGCGAATCACCTAAGGCAACAATCTTTGAGAAGATATCACAGCTACTTGCAGCTATTGAGCAACGGTCGAACTCCGCCATTCCGGCAAATTCAATGACATTGGAAAAAGAACACGGTGAAGATCAGCAGGCTGCGGCCGCGCTGCGAGCGCCCTATCCCAGCAGTGTTCATTTGCCTAGTGTCGTCACGTCCGACTCACGTGCACCAAACGAAGAGAGTCCATACAACGGCAGTAGAATTGACCAGTCTGATAAGTCCCCGGACAACCACATTATTCGTCCGTCTCCCGTACAACACGCAGCAAACCTACCCACAGTCGACAATACAAGCGGGGATCTCCAGCAGAAAAGCGATGCTCCATTCCCGGATATAGCGTCGTACGACCCGTACGACGCTTCTTTCGAGGTGAGAGTTCACGTTCTTTTGAGTAGCGAAATTCCATTTGATTGCATCCCCTAAAGGGCCAAAGTGGTGTAGCTAACTGGGTGAGAATCGTGGACAGGCCCTCGGCAACGATGCCTTTGACTACCAGAGCTTTTGCGACGCTTACCAGGACTTGACCGGGCCCTTGGTTTGAACAAGCTACTTGCTTTCTACTTCGCAGCTTCTGATAGATAGCCTTAGCCTAAGATCGAGCCCTCATACAATGGGGAAGGAGGTCTGCAGCGCGGAAGCTCAAGACATTTCAGCTCACGAGTGAAGGGGTTTGTTTCATGGAGGATATTGAAAACGTGGTATTGTGGCCCTGCGGACTCATGAGGATCACTTGGAAGGAATCTGCCTAATTGGGCCAAAGACAGTGGTCATGGTTTCATACTGGCTTGAAGCGGGCATTCTAAGGGTTAATCCTAGTCCATTCATAGCTTACTATGTGGATTTTGCATCACTGTGGTTTGATCCGCGGCCGCACTCGGTTCATAATCGCGTGTTTATTGTATCCTTGAAAGGTGTGGCGGGATTCGGGTAAGGGATGGCGACACGCTGGGAGGGCCTAAAAATAGGGAACCTGTTCGTCTAGGTACTAGCGTGCGATGCTGGTCTGGCGTAGGGGCAGAAGCTAGTATCGAGTAAGAAAAGAGGGTCGCGAGTGACTTGAAGGTAAGTAGAGGGCGGGTGGGTGGTGAGGTACTATTTAAAAGCGGCGCAGGTCGGGTGAGTGTCGAGGGGGCGCTTGGTGTCGATTTACTTTCTCTTTTTGTCGCCAAGCACCTTTGGTTCGCAGTTGCGCCTGTGGCTCGACCACCAACCCTCACAATGCTGACGGTGCAACGTGCAGGAGCTCGTTTGTAAGAAAATTGTCGTATCAACAGCCGTAGCTCGTAGGAGCCTTCCCCGGCAGAGACAGCACGAGGGAACGAGTGGAGAGTGAATGCAAAATCCTCAAGGATCTCCGCCATCCTCATCGTCCAACATGCACACCATATCCTTGAAGACATGCTGGATCCTCCCTGCTGCAACCTCTACATGAAACTCTGTGAGCACTGCGATTTGGGCAATTCCATTACAACCGAGTTCCGACAGACGTGGGTCTGATCGAGCGCAGCCACACTAGAAGCCCCATGCAATTGGCACATCGAGAGTGATCTACCCCCGGCGCCTCGCAGCCGGTGTTCGAACAGTCTGAGCAGTTTGATCGTGTCCTGCCTCAGGGTTTCGCCAGAAAGTCGCCCAAAAGCCTCCAAACTTCTGCAAGACGCCAGCCCAATAATTGGCGCCAGGGCGGAGATAATGGAGAGAAAGAGGCGCCTCCATTGACATTCATGTCTTTTCCCTGGAAGAAGACCTTCCTTGGGCCCATTTTTCCTTTGATCCCTTTCGATTCTTTCACCTCAGCGGCTCCTAGACGCAGGCCGGTTTCGTCAGAGACTACTCCGACAGGGAAGGTAGAGGAGGAAGAAAAAAAGGCAAGGAGCGTGCACGACCTTCTTGTCCATGGGCTTGGTTCGTGAATCAGCACTTGCCTGGTCAATTGGCCAGGCCACAGTTCTTCTCGTAACTGTGGTCCTCATCTCGCTCGTCGGCACGATATTGCTACGTGAGGGCCTCAACGCTTGATCTTACATCGCTGCTAGGATCGCCCCTGGCGGCGATACAACAATCGCACTCCAAGCTGGATCGCTTTAAGGATTTTATCATCGGCACCATCATCTTCTCGGCCAATGTTATTTTCATTGTAGTAATAGATGTATAAATATATCAAAAGCCTTTGCCAAGTTCCTAAATAACGCTAGAGTTTCACTAGCGTTGCGAAAAGGGGTCATCTTTTGATGGATGTAGCAATGGCAAAAGGGTGAGAACATGTGTCCCTTGGCTTTTACTGTATGTATAGCCAGCGAGCCAGCGAGCGAATTAGTATAGAAGCCAGCGCTACGAACGGGCAAGAGAGAGCATCTCTCTCTCTCTCTCTGTGTGTGTGTGTATACGTCGGTGCTTTTTGTCGCTGGATAAACGGAGAAAGAAGACTCGTATTGAGAACTTGAGACCGTCTACGGCAGAATGAACGGAGCTCCTCGGAATTTCTTCAATTGGTTTCAATCAACACTTTCATTCTTTTGGCCTAAGTCGCATTCTACCTCGCCGCATATCATATGGCTCATTGACCACCGACCGAATCCACTTTGCGTGATTGATCTTCTATGTTCGTGACATAGTTTCGTCCATGAAAGGACCAAGATCTGATTTCATCTTCACGTTCGGATCCTCAAAGATCAGCCAAGTAAGTCATTCCCCTCCATTCTTCGTAGGATACCAATCACTTTGTATTTCGTTTCTCGTGTTGGTCAGGGCGAGGACATGTCGGCTGATCTTATCCTTTGCATCCACCTTGGACGCCGACACACACGTTCGCCTCTCGGTCTCTAGAAGCTCCATTAGACCAGTTGATTGTCGTGCATCTCTCCGACCCAGCCTTGCCCGAAGCGCAGAGTCATCATCGGGATAACCCACGGAAAATAACAAAAGTCGAAAGCTTCAAAGAACTCCATTCTCTCCCAGTCGCGGGCAATCACGAAAAATCATGGCATAGAAATGCTATCGCGTAGAGTGGTTTATAGTTCGTCATGCTCTTGGACGCCACCATCATCGGTATCAGCGAGGATTGTCTGTGCCGCCTCTGCCGCCTCACTGACTACACTCTTGATAGCATCAGCAGCTCCCGAAGAAGCCTCTTCAGTCGCCGCAGGAGCAGCCTTCGCAACGGTGTCACTGGTCGTAGTTGAGACATCTTCCATTTCGACGTCCTCATCCTTCTTGGAGAGGGCGATGCCGTCAACACCGTGCTTGCCATTGTCGCGTATGAAGGCAGCCAGGTCTTCCATAGTACGGGAGCCAGAATATTCGACAGGAGAGTCCTTGGCGCCAGCGGGGTACAACTTGATGGTGGGAAAGCCGGCGATCTCATCAGGGACGTCGTTCATCGTGGCATCAATCTTGGCCACCGTCACCTTGGAGGAGACATCACCGGTGTAGAGTTCTGCAAGCTTCTCATATGTTGGAGCCAGACTGTAGCTCGTTAGCGAAGGACCTGCTAAGTGAATGGAAACTTACGCTTTGCAATGTCCGCACCAAGGAGCGTAGAACTCAATCAGCACATCCTTGGAATCATCGAGGACAATGTCCTTGTACGAATGAGCGACAACCACAGTGACAGGACCTTCCTGCTTCTCTGGAACAGGCTCGGATTTGATGCTAGGCTCAAGTTTGCCTGCCACGAAGTCCTTGACAAAAGCACCGATCTTCTTCTCAGTCAGGTCATTGCCGGCGAATGGGTACTTCTCATTCTTCACTGTCTCTTGAATTGCGAAGGACGGGAATTTGTCTGTAGGTAGGTTCAGGTTGCCGGCGTGGGCACCAAAGGCCTTGGCGTCGATGGTTGCGAAATTGATGACGCCCTTGTATTTCTCTGCGACTGGTCTCAGAGTCTCGGCCAAGGAGGATCGTTCTTCTGGGGTTTCGGCGAAGATGTAGGCGAGAGGAATTCCAGCCTGTCGAGGACGTTAGTATCGAAGCTTTGCGACTAGCTGAGGGAACACTTACACCCATGTATCCAGCATAGGTTTCCGGACCAACTTCACCGACCAAAGGAGTTGAGGCGGTTTTGATAAATTTCGAAATAGCCTCTTCGTCGAATGACTCGGTGAAGGTGTTCTTACCCTCGTCGAAATCCTTGTAGAGAACAATGGCAGGCTGTTTAACGCCTTCTGCTTTAGCGAGGGCGGCATCATTCGAGGCTCCGAATATGTATTCGTCTCTTAATGATTCGGCCAGGGAAGTGAAGGTCTGGTTGGATGATTTGTCGTCGGCTGAAATATACGCTACTATGACGACTTTGTCTGTGGTTTTGAATTCCTCCAGACTCTCGGGGGCGAGGAGAGACACAGCAGGTAATTGCTGCTTGGTCATGTATGAGACAATACTGCCCAGCATTAGCCGCGTGGATCTTCTGAGGCCTGAAGGCAAGACTTACGCTGGGGCTTTTCGGGCGCCAGGGTAGGGCTTGATGTTGTCGAGGCCACGGAAGACCTTGACGGTAGGATAGCCCTCAACGCCATAGTCCTTGCACAAATCCCCTTCAGCTGTACAGTCAACTTTCACGAGGGGAATATTCTTCTCCTTCAATGTGGTTGCGGCCTCTTCATACTCGGGTGCTAGAGCTTTACAATGCCCACACCATGGGGCAAAGAACTCTGCTAGGACCAGGTCATGCTCGGAGATGAATTCTTTGAAGTTGTCTGTTTTGAGGTCATGGACGTCGCTCGCAGAGGAGAGGCCGGCGAGGGCTAGGCTGATCGCAGCCAAAGATGCGAATGATCGCATGGTAGGACGACTATTGGAGCTGTGTATGGTGGGGAAAAGAGCGCTCGCAGACGCTATAAGATGAAGGAATGGAAAGATCGGACCGGTGATCAAGATGTCAAGTCCGAAAGAAATCAGGAGATGATGAAGCCTTTATTCTTGAGGCTCAGTCTGGAACGTGAATACCAGCAAGCATTAACTAACAGTGGGTTCACTGAGGAGAGGTGTCAACTACTTTTTTTGGGGCATCACAGCAACTCCACATGCGGGCGACAAGCAACTTGTCCCCTTCAAGTTCAGCTCACTTAGCCGCAGCCCCTTTCCGCCGACTCAAGGACCCTGAAACGCGGAACAGAAGATCAGGGGGCCTGCTCCCACAGGGAAACAGGTCTGTGAGGCCCTCGAGTAATCGCCCCTAAAGACCCTCAATTCCTCCGAGGTCCAGATAATATGTCGGTGCATTCTAATTTCCAGATCAGCATTTATCTCAAATGGACTACCTTGAAGGCGGCGGTGCATTCGCGAGAATGGATAAGCTGGCCTCTTGTAACAGCTAAGCAGCTTGGTATGCAAAAACGGTACCAAGGACTTTACCGCTTGGTATTTCTAAGCAATGATGACTATCTCGATCAATAACCCCTTTTCCCAGCCACAGATCGCCGCCGCCTCGAGCCACTCTATTCCAAGAGGTAAGCTCAATCCTCCGCGTCCGAGAGTACTATTGTAGGTATTGTCCTATATCTTGTATCCTCGTCTCCTGCTTTGCGTTGTCCTTCGAGCTCCAATGCCATTTTGTACGCTTCAGCCTTGCCTCGATCGACATCGACCAATAGCATCAACGGCAATGGAAGAAAGATGAGCACTGCCAAAAACACAAACGCAGGTCGTATCTCCCCATATCGATCTGTGATGGCGCCCACGATGGCTGGTCCAAAGATGCTTGATCCTTTGTCTGTAATGGCGTATAGGGCGTAAAATGCCGCCTCGAACCCCGGGGGGATCAATTCGCCGAAGAACGCTCGACAGTACGACGATAACCCTCCAAGAACGAACCCATAGATTGCCCCCAGAGGGTACATCTCCCATGGCTGTTGCAAACCAAAAACACCATATCGTTTGATGGCAGGGATAAAACCCAAGAGTCCGTACAGAGGAATAATCTCAAACAAGCAGATGCACGCAATGATTGTCCTGGAAGCGCGAAGATTGAAAATCCGAGAAATGTAGCTCCAGTAAAAGGCGCCAATGACGCCCGCTATTGTTGCAATGACGTTGATCAGACCAAGGGCTGGGGTGTTCATTCCCAGGCTCGTTTTGGCGAAGAGCACTGCCGTCCTGCTTGTCATCAGCAAGGTGCTCTCGATCACTTAGTCAGGATTTCATAACTTACCCGCTCACTGTGGCAATGCTGTCGCTGAGTAAAAACCACGCACAAAGAAAGATCACGATATCCTTAAGCTTTTTGGCGTGTCCTATTGTTGTGAACAGTGCTTTCCACGCATACGTAACATATGCCATCCAGGCGTAGTGTCCCGTCAACTCGCTCGGCAAGGGCGGTCCTGGTCGGGGTCGCAACCAGAGAGCGGCCGGGATGCTGAACACAAACCACCATAGTCCCACAAGCAGAAGAACCAGTCTCAAGGATAGGAGTGTGGATTTTGTTGAGGCTACTATGCCGATACCAATAATTTGGACAAATAATCCGGCAATGTATCCAATTCCGATTCCATTTGACGATATCCTGGTGGATAGTTTCAGCGCCGGCGAGATCGCGGCAGGAGATTCTTGGGTGGGAGAGGCGGTGTCGGCGCGATCACGAGGTAAGAGACCTGAAGTCGAGCTCGTCAAGACGTGGTCCTCGTGCTCGACGTATTCCTCATCGTCGCCTGCAGCCGGATCTTCTGCATGGTTTCTATCAATAGAAGGGTGATGTCGCACCAGCAAGGGCAAGAAAGAATTCAGCAACACAAATGATGCTCCAAAGCATGTGTTCGCAACTATGGCGAAGAGAGCCCCCAGCAAGTAAACCTTGGGTATAACGCTGATGAATAGGGCGGTAGCAGTTGCGCCAGTAAAAGCGAAGGCAAGAAGGAATGTCTTCCGAAACCTGCCGTGATCGGCCGCTGCAGACATGGAGATGATGAGGAGAGCCTGAATCAGGACACTGATCGAGAAGGTGTACATGGCGAAACTCGCAGTATTGATCTCGGCGCCGAGGATGTATACGACACAGGCAGGAAGCTCGTTGTGTGGATGCTTAGGAGAATCGAAGTCCGTGGTATTGGGCGAAGTGCCATCATCGCTTTTCCAACCTGCGCTGCACGGTGTTGTTTTATCTTTCAATAGCACTCCTCGCTCCCTGGCCAGTTGTTCAAGGGTAATGGGAAGAAAAGATCCTGTGGCAAGAGGTCAACGGGAATGCGCAACGCAAATTGTAACCCAGCGTCATCCTCACCCATTGCGCAGATGGCAAAGACCTCTGCGGCCCAGCCATAGGAATACCATCCCCATAGCTCTTTCTGGCTTGTTGGCCTAGTATCTTCATCTGCGTACCTCATCCCTGCTTCAGGCTCTGCAAAGTCACCCATGTCGGACTCCGAATAACCCCACGATGATTCGCGCTCGTCATCTGCTTCTACGGAAGGTGTCGGGGAGATCAAGCTGATTTGTGACTGTTGGGACGACTGGCGGGACAGAGGTGGTCGCGGACGGGATGCAGAAGAGGTGCGATCATGGCGAGGGACCTGTTGTAACAATGAGAAGAGGTGTTCGTTGGAAATAAAAAAAGGTGAGAACAGAGGGATGGGGGACCCGTTCAAGACAGCTGATGGCCGTAATGATGATGGTTGAGGCAGTTGTGAGTACCTAGGCCTGCGCTGGTGTGCAGAGGGGCCTTCGAGGTTTGGCGATTGGCGGAAGGAGACTTACCATGTTTCCTGAAGGGATCCCCCCAATGCTCCACCATCAGGCTACACACACCTCTCTACGCTATCAGATCCTCCTGAACTTCCAATCCTTCCTCCATCTTACAAGCTGGAACGGAAGAAGGAATCATCAGTCATTGCGGAGGGTCGTTGGGTCTTTATCTTTGGCACGCGAGAGAAATTTGCGGGTCGAAATAGACCAGAAGGCGCCAAAATTGCGGTGTCAATGGCAGATGCAGCGTTGATCAATGCTTCAAGAAAAGATCCACGCCCAGTGGGATTTGCCGGTCTTCTTATTCGACTAGGATCTACCTTAGTTCCCTTGAGTGCCAGGCGATATCTAAGTCCATATCTCTTGTTTCGTGCGACTAGCACCTTGAACTTCTCCCAAAGCATATCAAAAGACTGCGACCATGGGGTGGTGAGGACACAAGGGGGACTTATCTCATGACCACTGAGAGTCCGTTGACTACAACTAGGTAGGCTAGACAGCGGTGATCTTGTATTGTCCATGGGCTGTGCAGCCTACCAAAGCCCATCCTAGACCACACCCTCTCCAATGACTTGCTTCCCGCCAAGGGATGGCGCCCATGGGATGGCGTGCAGAGGCGTGCAGCTGGTGAGTAGTTCAGCTACCACCATATCCACGTCCGCAGAGTCGAATCCACTAACCAATCAAGCGTGTCTCCTTGGGAGTTGTTCGGCGACACAACTTGGAAAGGGTGTGCACTTGACACAATCGCAGCTGCATGTGTTTCGCAGTCTCGTCACAGATCTGATCTCCCGATCCAGGCACAATCAATCGTATAGGACAGAAAATAGGACTTGGGTAGACAATGGAGGACGATGGCGGAGTCTTTCTCCGGACACCAATCCCTTGAGCACAAATTAATAGGAAGTGACTTTCGTGGATGGAGTACTGTAAGATCTACCGAAAGGTGGTGCATATAACTCCTGGTGGGTGTTCGGTGGGTTGGCTATGAGGTAGTATGTTTAGTGCTCGGTATGTGCAAGGTATGCCCTCGCAACCTCCGCGACCCTTGCTGAGTCGAATGGTTTGCAAATACAGGCTAAACTATTCCCAGAGACCATTCTTGCCGCTTTTTCAAGCCTTGTAGACGCCTTGACGCCTTAGCCGCTGCCCAATCGGCGTTTGTGTCACAAGCCATGCCGCTTGGCGCCAGCCTAGTCCGGCTGAGTGCAGAGTAACAGGTTGCTATGCCTAATCCTTTGACAGCCGACTTCCGCGCGGGTCTCATTCATTCATTCATTCATTCATTCAACCATCATCCCATCCCAACTGCACGCAATCATCCCTTCACAACTCAGTTACTCTCCAAACTTGACATAGGCTCCAAATTCACCACCACTCCTGTGCAAGAGCGTCGGCTTAAGCGCCTTGTTTGATATCTCCGGCTGGCCTCGCGCGTAGTGTCTACCTTTCACGAAATTGCTCCTCTGCAAACGGGCAACCGGCCCTCTCGATCTTGTCTTTCTCGCCGCATCCGTCCTCTCACTCCTGACCTTCGACCGCTGTCATTATCAATCCCTCTTTCGATATCGCTGTCGGACGAGACCTGCGCATACGGTTCCCACGAACCCGGATCGTTTGATTGGGCTCGAATCGACTTCCTCCAGCGCGCTTGAGGATTCGGGGTGTGGCAAAAAAAACGGTGACTTCCTGCTTCGGGTTTCCAGTGGGCGTTGGGGGCGCACGTTTAGGTGTGCCGGCCATGCATTGCTTGATGGTTGATTCCGTTTCAATATGAACGGGGAAAGGCCCGCGGCCAACGGGGAGCAAGTCGCAAATGGCTTCCAGCAGCCTGTCGCAGATTCCGCGCCCGATGCTGGACATTTAAAACAAGGATCGCTGCCTCAGAATGCTCTGCCGCCTTCCATCGACCACACCCCGTCCCATGCAAATGGAGATGGGTCGAGTCAGCAGCGTTCTGACATCGGAGGCCGCAATGACGCTAACCTTCCCGCAGAAGCGCCGTCCGAGATCCTGCAGCTCATCTCTCAAGACAGTTATCTGCCGATGGCCGCTCTCATAAACCGGGCTTCGCAGTCATGCTGGAATGGTCTGTCGGATCTAGTGACGCAGTTGGCGTCGATGCCCGTCCTCGAGCTGCCACCAGAACAAGCGAAACTCTTGCCCAATGGGTTGCCTAACAATCAGTCCAAGACAAATTTGGACAAAAAGGACCGGCTACTGAAATTTTCAAATGATCAAAAGGCGGATTTTATAAAACTTTTGGTACTGCTGCAATGGAGCAAGAACGTGGAGGAAGTGAGCAAGACCATCTCGATCAATTATTGGCTTATGCAACGGCGGGAAGCCTATTGGAATGCTATCGGATCAATGGCCCTTCTCAAGCAGGAATCTTCAGGTTTTCAAATCCCCAACCCCGATCTCAAAACAGCAGCAGAAGTACTATCGAGAGGCAGGGTACTTAATTTCCCCCGCCTGGGCTATAATCCGCAAAAAGACCTGTCCAGCAGACAGATACTTCGAATCCTCCAGTCACTCAACCGGGCATTGAGCGTTAAGCTAGCGCTTTCGGAAGACTTACCCCTCCACCTGCGAAGATTCCGAATTCATGACGGTCGTGCGACTTTCACTGTGCCCACCGAGTTCGAGCTGGATGTCTCCGTCCTAGATGAGAGCCTAGACTCTCCCTTTCGCGTGGTTGATTTTCGTTTTTCCTTCCAACCATCTCCCCACATCCCTGATCAGCTACACTCCGAGATCGAGCTGTACGCAAATTCCAATATCGATCGAGAGGGACTGAGGGGATGCTATGACTTCCTCCATGAACTGGCTTTATCCTACAAGCTGGCTGAACTCCACAAGCAAGCTATCGACTTAGCTCGAAAACAATGGTCCGGCAACTTGCGCGTTGAACTCATTCGTCGCAACCTCATCGTGCAGTATTGGCCTGAGAGACAGTTTGTGAAAGGCTGGATTGAGATTGGCATTACTAGCGGTCGAGGGAAGCAGGCTAGTACAAAGGTTGAGTCGACACCGTTTCTCGAGATCAAATGGATGCGGCAAGGCAAAAGAGTGGATTCTTTGCAACTACACCTGGATGATGCAGTGCTCTGTTTTGAAGACATCCTCCGGCAAGTGATCGCACAAAATTCAACGCAGATTTTGGACAATATCTATGACAAGCTAGTTCTCACGCCTCTGTTTGCCAACGCCGACCTCTTTCTGGAACAGTCGCTTTCCTACGAAGACCCAGAAGAGTGCTCCCTTACGATTCAGATCACTCGCTCCTCCGAACTCCAGCTGAAAGTTGATCCTGTGACAGGACTGCTTGTTCTTCGCCCCGTTACCGAAAGAACGGAACGACTTCAGTATGAGATCAATCGGATCCAAGGTGTCGCAGATGATATTGTCTCGAAGCTCCTCAATTACAGGTGCAGTATCATGGAAAGTATGGTCCTTGTCGGCATTTTGGGCACCCGTTGGGAAGTCCTGCGTTCCTTCAAGCTTAGCCAAGCAGAAGTGAAAGCATTGTTCGGAGGGCCAGTTCCAAGGATAAACATGTTGCGCCAGAACCAGTGGACACTGGACTATACTCTAGCAATTACACACACCGCAGACGGAGATCATTGGTGGCTATTACAACAAGTTTCCGCTGGCGCTTTGGACTCCCCGGCACGCTATAGGGTTCTTCACAAGCAGAGGATAGAGATCAAAGAAGAACTGTGTTCAGCGTACTTCGATCGACTTGCAGAATACTCAATGGGCTTGATTTTTCTGCAACGCAATGTCGACTTCTTCAGGGATAGGAAGGAGAAGTTTGATCTACGACCCTTGCCAGCCTTCGGGCGGCATTACGAATTGCCCGAAATATCTTTTGACTTGGACATGGCTAGGCCAGCCTTTTCGAAACAATTTTTGCCTCCTGCCGCTTCCGCCGGCGCCTCTCCCTTACAAATGGCCAACAGTCCACCTAAGTCCGCAACTGCACAAAAAGGCATCCAAGTTCGTTTTGGTGGAGTTGATCGATCCACGAACAAAGTTAGGGCAATCGCTCAGTATCAACATCAGGCCAGTTCTGCGGTGCTTAGATATCTAGAGGAGTCTATCCTTGATGCTAGCGTCACTCTCAATCCCGAGGACAGGATCGTCATGATTCGAGTGGCGACCCCAATTGCGGAAGCTGCCATTCCAGAGATTGTCGACAAAGCCATGGACCTGGAAAAGATAGTGTCGACAGTCGAGCAGATTCATCGCCTTCCAGGACTAAAGTTGAAGACGATATCACATTCCAGTTTTACGATAGCGTACCACGAAGGATCGCCCACCAAGCTCGAACTGAGGATCGGATTTCCGAGCGGCAATCAAGCCCCGCAGCTTGATTTCTTCCCGGCTCAGGAAAATCCACATCAGTTCCTTGCGGCACAATACACTAAACTGATTGCCGCCAGCCATGGCCCGTTTGCCACAAGAATACGTGACTTCCTCACCTCGTTGACTTTGACACTTCCTTTATTGACCTACCTCCGAAACCTTCAGCAGAAACATGGACTCGAACCCGAGAGACTACAGCAAACGGCTCCGCCCGAACAAGAAGACCATTTGCGGGTGCATATCCTCGTCAGGAACGCCACTGCTTTTGCGATCCAATACTTCACCCCGGCAGGACATGCCCCTAAGGATGTCAAGGCTGATTCCCAACCACACATGCTGGCACGCCTCGAGATCCTGCACCATATTAATGTGGCGAGGAAACCGATGTGGCTGGTGCGCGCCGCTCTTGAGGAGTTCCAGTCATACTCTAGGCCGTCCTATTCAACGCCAGAATTAGGTTTAAAGTTGAAGCAGGAAATCTTCACTCGGTCAGACGGACAGTCCAAATGGCTTGCGCTGGATAAAGCGGCGGCCTGCATGGCTGACCAGCCAGAGCCTTTGCTGCAAGCTATGCATGATCTTTTGTGGGATTGGGCTAAGCTGGCGAAATCATCTGAAGGCAAGGTGCTCAATAACCAGGCATCCAATAAGGCCAAAGCTGCCCCAGCCCACGCGCACGCGACTAACGTCAACCTGCCGAATGGTACCAATAGCAGGATATCTGCTCCTATGAAAGCTCCTCCTGGCAAAATGCAACCACCTAGTAGTGCGATTCCCAATGGTGCGAATGTCAAGACCCAAAGACCCCCAGCCAATTTCCCTGGAGGAAGAACGATGCCGCCAAATCATAAAGCGAACGCCAACACCGCGCAAAAACAAGAGGTCATCACGCTGGACTAGCCTGCATCCGGCCTGTGGCTCGTGTATCATTGTTTCTTTGACGATTTCAAATTCTTCACTTGCTCAACTTTGTTCATAATTGTCTCGAAGGAGCTTGACCAGGGGGTGACGATATACCCAAAATGGGATGGATAACTCATTTATGCAAGGCCGACAGGTGGCTGGAGCCCCTTTATGAGAGTCAGTACCTATGGATGGAGTTTCTCTGCTGGCATCATGAGTAATTGCCAGCAGACTGCACTTTTGAATGATGGATAGAAATTCTTTGCATCATAGGGACCACTTTAATGACAGTGCTGATCAACCCCTTCACCCCTTGTCCCAGACAAACAAATCGGTATGACGTTTTGCCCTTTTCGACTTAGCCGGTGAGCCTGACCTGGGGGCGACGAGGCTGAAGAGGGCCCTGCAATTTACGCGTCAGCCAGGCGCGACGTGACCGCGTCTTCCCTTCCCACCAACCTCTCAACTGATTGACTTATAATGTAATAGCTGGATAAACTAATTGTGCATGCTGAGCTCTCGCGTGTCTTTCCGTCTTGCGGCACTGATTTTTCCCTCCTCCCGCAGAATCGTTTCTAAACAGTGTTGCCACTTGTCCGCCATGTCTTTCTACAAACGAAAGGATCCACCGACCTCTTCGCCCGATGACGCGAAGAAACCCAAGAAGAATGGCAGTTTGACTTCCTTCTTTGGCCCTCCAAAAGCCACTCCAACAAGTGGAGGGAGACCAGGATCACTCACGAACGGAGTTCCCACAGCGTCGAACGAACCTCCGCCCCCGAAGTTCGACAAGGACAAATGGGTAGCAGGTCTCACTGATGAGCAGAGGAAGCTTCTCAAGTTGGAGATTGATACACTGGATCCGAGTTGGCTGTCTGTGTTGAAAGAAGAGATCGTGACACCGAACTTTCTGGACTTGAAACGGTTCTTGCAAAAGGAGATCGATGCGAAGCAGAAGATCTATCCACCGTTGGAAGATGTCTACAGCTGGTAGGTTCAACTCTCCCGTCCAAAGCCGACAGACTGACACGACGCTCGCCAGGTCTCGGCACTGTCCCCTCCATCAAGTCCGCGTCGTGATCATAGGCCAGGATCCCTACCACGGCCATAACCAAGCGCACGGCCTCTGCTTTTCCGTGCGTCCACCAACACCTGCTCCTCCTTCCCTAAGGAACATATACATCGCGATCAAGAAGGACTATCCGGGTTTCAACCCGCCACCCAAGAACGGAGGGCTTCTTACTCCTTGGGCGAACCAAGGTGTCCTCCTCCTCAACACCTGCCTGACCGTACGCGCGGGCCAAGCAAATTCCCACTCCAACCACGGCTGGGAGAAGTTCACTCAGAAGGTCATCGACACAGTTGTCAAGTTACGAACCCGCGGTGTGGTGTTCTTGGGATGGGGTACCCCGGCGCAGAAGCGTTGTGAAAAGATCACAGGAGCGCGTCATCTGGTGTTGAAAAGTGTACATCCTTCCCCACTTAGTGCTAGTAGGGGTTTCTTCGATTGTGGACATTTCAAAAAGACGAATGATTGGCTGGAAGAACGCTACGGCAAAGAAGGGACCATAAACTGGGATTTGAATGTGCCGCAGCAGCCCATCAAGGCGCCAGACATGCAGGAGCCGCCAAAGGTTACCGAGCCGCAGAAGGGAGAACCCCAAAATGCCGGGCCGGCTACTGAATTGCCCGAGAAGAACAATGACAAGAAAATAGTGCAGCAAGAGGAGTTTGAAGGGGAAGATGATGAGGATGCTATCGCAGCACTAGAAGAGATTGCCGCGATGGAGGCAGACGCAGCAGCGGAAGGCAAGGCCAAGGCTGATGCTGAGACCGAGAAGACGAGCACGTGAAAGAGAGACGAAAGCTTGAAAATTGGTCTTCAAACGGGCCTTTTTTTGGTTTGAATGTCTGCGTGAGCGTTGATAATACAGCTGAAGGAGCTCCTCGCCATTCATTTCAGCGGGCTATGTTTGGAAAGGAGTAAAGGATCATTGCACAAAAGCCCCCCCTGCCGAAAGAGAAAATGTTGAGCATGGTGTTCTGGCGTTCACGGTTGATATGGTCAAGTCTGTACCGGAATGAGAGTCATATGATATCAAGTTCGTTGCCCTGATGCAGGAGATACAGAGAGACCGAGACAAAGAGGACTTTTCTTTCCACCTTTGGATTTTTCGATGATCAGATCCAGCGCACGTCTAGCCGGTATCATTCTGGTCATGCCAGAGTAAAAGTAAACATGACTGCAATATCGAGTGCCTCGTTGTACACACGCCCGCCTACCCATCTCTCGTCCATCTTATGCAACCATTCTCCTAGCTACCTACCCAGGTAGGCGACTAACTGTCCGCAGAGAGCACCGTGGTAAACAAGTACACTGTTATCATAGCACTGAGCGAGAGGGGACGTAAAGAATAAGCGACACAGTCTATCGGCCATGCGATAGACGTATGCCGTATCTAATTCAGCCGAAGAGTACTTATATACTTAGTCCCGACGAAGTGGCCGGCCTTTCAAATATAGGTGGCTAATACTATGGATAAAGGACATAGAAGTCAGCATCATCTCTTAAGATCATCGAGTCACGAAGTACCTGTGGATGTAGGGCGTCTTCGATCTAACCGTGAAGGAGGCTGTTTACTCCTGGTATGCTACGACGACTTTCTCGTCTGATGCTAACCACTTAACCGTGCTGTTTGGTTTTCATTTGGGCACGCGAGGCACTATGTCGCAGGCACCAAGCCGACCTAAAAGGGAAGTAGCACGCTCGAAGTCCATCGCTATTAGAGCGGAGGTGGTCTTCGTTGGCAATGAACATTCCGTTACGTTTACACAGCAGAAATAAAGGGAGACCCGAGTGCCCTTTACATATCCTGGTAGCTATGTTCGAGATAATAGCGACCCCTTCGTCGTTGTTGAGTAACTGTATATATGTACTCTTCGGCTACACTACATTGAATACAGCGTGTAACTTTGTTTTTCAATTTTGCCTGCCACTGAGACACGAGAGACGTGCAACAGGCAGGGCTGAGTGGGGTTGGTTCGCGGCGATGGTTTGCACTGCGAACGTTGCACTGCAGAGGACATGGTGTATAGAGCTTTTGAGAAGGGACGCTGTGTTTTAATGGCGGGTAGACATACGCCGGATGCACCTTTGGACAAAGCGCTGTTGGCTTGGGGGTCGGGAGTTCGAGGGATTAGCGGCGGGATCATTTAGCCTTGTGGTTCAGGCTTGTGGTTCAGCCTCGTCATCATCCGTCCACCAACTCAACCCCCTACTCCGTCATCCTGCTACTTTAATACTTCGCAATCCCCTCCTCCAACGCCTGGATTTGCAACGCCAGCAACTTGGAATAGTACCGACACAGCGCCAGGTTGCCGCCGTGGAACCAGAACCCCGGATGTCCCGACCGCCGCCAGATAGTCCGCATCTCGCCCTCGGCGTCAAACCCCCAGACATCGCCAACACGGTCCGCGACCTCGTCGCCAAAGATGTCCCTCGCCGTCGTCCGCATGTTCTTGTATCCCGTGGCGAACACTATCTCGTCTGCCTCTAACTCGCTGCCATCCGCGAAGCGCAGTCCGTTGGGCAGGATTTCGTCGATTTCTTGCCCTTGTTTGATCTTGATCTTGCCGTCGATGATCGATTGAGAAGCAGAAACATCGATGTAATATCCGCCCCCACGTTGGAAGTATTTCATGAAGAGTCCTGCACCGTCAGGTCCTTGGTCGATCTTGAAACCAACTTTCTGTAGACCTTCAAGGATTTTCGCGTCGTGCCGGTTTTGCAATTCGGTAACTTTGACCTGCAGGGCTTTCAGGACTTCACTGGGTAGACTGTGGAGAAATAGATCTGCGTCGTCCACAGGTGGACCGTTTTCGTCGTACAGCCCAGCCAAAGCGATCTCGGTAATCGCTTCGCTGGAGATGACACAGGTGGTCGACCTCTGCACCATCGTAACGTCATATCCATTCTCGTAGAAGTCCTGCGAGATATCGTGGCCTGAATTGCAGGATCCAACTACGACGGCCTTCCTGCCTTTGCCATTGGGGCGTGCTCCCTTAAATTCAGAAGAATGACAGAGTACGTCACCCTTGAAACCGTCCATTCCTTTCAGGGTGGGGTAGTTCTTCTTGCCAGAATGACCGGTGCATTGGATGACGTGCTTGGGATGCAGTGTACGGGTCTCCGTGCCATCCTCTTTGGTGCGCTTGATAGTAACGGTCCATTGCCTCTTGGCCTCGTCCCACGAGCTTGACTCTATGCTCGTCTTGACCCAAACATTGAGCTCCATCAGCTTAGCGTAAGATTCAAAGAACTCAGCAAGCTTATCCTTTGGCGTGAAGATCGGCCAATTTGGCGGAAATGATAGGTAGGGCATGTGATCGTACCAAACCGGATCATGAAGGACGAGCTGATGATATCGTCTCCGCCAATTGTCACCGATGGTGTTTTCGGTGTCAATGATCAGCGTGTCAATTCCGAGCATCTTGAGACGGGCGGCCGCTGTCAATCCAGCTTGGCCGGCACCTGGAGCCAACAATCAGTGTCTGATCAATGATCTGAAGTAGTTGGTTTGTACTCGCCAACAATCATAACGACGGGGTCCCGGTCTTTGAATTCAATCTCTTCACGTCTCCTCTCCTGCCAGTTCTTTCGATTTATCTTTTCGCCATGCTCGACTCCTTTCGGTCTTCTAGGGCCTGTATTTTCTTCATGGCCCGCAATTTCACGTAAAGTGGTAAAGAAAGTGAAAATCTTCCATTGTCCGTCTCTCTCGGCCAAGCGAGCGACGCCTTGTCCGGCTCCAACTTTGGAGGTGAAATTGAAGAAGAACTGAATGCCCTTCACATCCCCTGTGCCGTCGAAAGATCCCAGTTGGGGTGAACGGTAAGCTGTAGCCTTGTCGATTTCAAGCTTCGTCAAAGGACATCCGTTGTCGGCAAGGAACCTTGTGAGTTTGTCCTTTCCTTTGATTGTGCGCAGGTCCCAGGAGAGACCGAGGTGGTCCCGCCAATAGCCATCCTCAAGAAACAGCTCAGCAATGGATTTTGTGTCGTCGTTCTCGAGAGCAGCGTTGACTGACTCGATAATCTTTGCAGCAACGGCATCAGGATCGATAGACGTAGATTCCGCCGTCTTTGGCCATTTGCATAGCGGAATGTTGACAGAGCCAGGTTCACAACGGTCCTTGGACAGTGTGAGACCTGGGTCAGTTGCAGACTGCACCTGAACGCTCATGGTGGTGGATGATTGTTTTTGGCGTCTATTGGGACAATGAATGTAATTGGAGACATGAACTAAGTATTTGAGCCGGGTAGACGAAGAAGATCCTTTGCTCTACAGCTACGAGGAGAGTAGGGTTTTGTATTCGTCATGACGTTGCACAGCATGGCAGGTGTTTTGGTGGAGGCCTCCCACCACAGTCCGGCTGGTCCAATTGGTGACAGTGTTCCAAAAGGCCCAACTAGGTATTCCGGATGAACCCCGCGCTAAGTCGACAAATCTGGGCAATAGCCTCGTAAAAATGAGGAGACAGCTTCCTCTGCCCCGAAGTCAAACCCACAGGCGTACAGGTGATGGGGTCTTGGTGGTCTGCTTTATCTCCACATAATTCAATACTAGACCATCAATTGGTAGGAGTTCGCCATCAACACGCCACTTCTCATCCATCGGGGACGTGATATAATGACGAGAGCAATTCGAAATCCTTTGCAATTGTCGGACTTGAATCGACAAAATCATAAATGAATCTTAGCATCCTGGTGCACCAGGCTTCGAATCCAGAGGGAAGCGTGTCTCTGAGCCGACGATCAGGTGAGTTTTTGAAGGCATGGAAGATGAGCAGCTGCCCAAAGAACTGTCCGCATGCAAAATATTTCAAAGGCTCAAAGTTCTGCATTCTTGCACAGACGTCCAATGTCATGTGCCAGTCCATGGCATACTCCAGCGCTTGTGCACATAATTTCAGCTCGGTCTCATTGACCGACGCGGGATTCTGAATGGCTTTATATAGGAAAGGTCGCCCGAGATGGAAAATTGACACTCGATAACGCATTTGAAGTAAGGCGATAACAACGGCGTCGGCGGGGCAGTCAAAATTTTGCTGTTCCTGGTCACTTGCGTAACGAAGCGCCTGGGGAAGGTTAGCACGCCATTGCTCAAGCTGGTGGCGCAGCTCTTCTGCAACTTTGGTTGAAGGGTTGCTGAAGAAGAGCTCATCCTTTATCCGATTGAGGATGATTCTGTGAGCAATCTGTGCCAGGAAGTGGTAGTGATAGAGCGAATCGTCCGAATGTTGCGGGCGCGAACTGCTGGCATAAGGATACGTGGTAAATTTTGGAAGAGGCACCTCATCTTCCCATACCTTCAGCCCGCTGGGCGGCAGCTCCAACTCTTGAACAACAAGACTCTCAAGAACGAGCGAGCACCAGAATAGCCTTGCGTGCATGTCCGCCAACCACTCATCGACAGGTTCGGGTGGGCATTTCCAGAAAGCGGTGCAAATAACCGCCGCCCGACCGGTCTCCAACCACTTATCAACCGGCCGCATGACTTGCGCAAAGAACACGGCCGATGTCAGATAATATTGGCAAGCCTGAATGTCCCGTTCGCAAAGACAGAGGCCCGCTCGTCTCCGGGCTTCATTGAAAAAACTCAAGCCGGCGATCTCTTCTTCCATAATGTGTCGAATGATTGGAGTGATCGAGGCTTGACTGGCTATTTCGAAACCACCTTCCTCATATGCTTTGAAACCCATGCACCCCAGAGCCATGACATTCAGGACGAGACATGACTCTATGTCGTGGCCGAAACCTTCTCGGACTACAACGGCAAGAGTGCTGAGAAAGTAAAAGTCGCGGTCGATGCACGGATATACGCGATTGAAGGTGTCGAAATAAGCATTCGACAGGTCTTTCACGGAAGAGAGGCTGAGGGAGGCGAGCCAGTCAAGCGTTGGCATTGCACCCTGCGCTGAGATAACAGGTTCAAGTGATGGTCGTCCGGATTCCAGATGAGTAGGATAGCTTTTCTCCAGATTACGAACCGCTGAATTTAGGCTGCTTGGAAGTAAAGCCTCCACGCCCGGCCAATGAATCGTTCGACGGGCACTAAATGATAGAATACCAGATTGGGTGGTCGAGTGTCGAAGCAACTGTCTGGTACTTGACAAAGGTGATGAAAAGGATTGGTGGGAGATGACAGAATCCATGTGATAGGGGCTCTCTGCGTGTGATACATTGGAGTCGGTCCTGTTGGTCTCATGCTCGTGAGCGGACTTCGCGGACACTGGGACGGACAAGTGATCGATCTTTGATTCCATCCGCCTCAGCGTGTTGAATATCATGCCCATTGAGATCTCGTTCCTGTTGTTTCCGGTCAGCCTCTAGTCAACGGATGTCCATCTCGACGCACTTTGTTGGCTTTCGCTCTGCATAGATACACTCAATACCTAGGCTTTTGCAGAGGCTGCAAGGCATATCTTCATCACATCTGGTCTTCTTGGAGCGACACGCCTCGCATGCTTGTCGAGCAATAAAGTTGCGCTGTCTCTTTACTGGTCTCGAATCTTCATTATGCGCCTCGTCGCCCGGCGGAAGGGCGCTGCGATTATCGTCACCCATTGGCAGAATTGGTTATTCTTCCTAAGCGTCTTCGCTCGAAATGCAAAAACCAGCTCATTGCTATCGACTGACAGCCCTCACCCTCCAAACGGCAACAAAATGGCCGACTTTACTCCATTCTCGTGCAACACCAAGGTTGACAGTCATGTTTGTTATGACTTGCGGTCCAAGTCAGATCTGTCGCCGCCAAGACGCTAAGCTAAAAGCGGACTAGGCCATGGCGACGCTCCCACGAGCAACACGAGTTAAGAGGTAATACGAAGTATCAACAACAATGTCGGCTCCTCTACAGACCTCATCACCCTGTATCAGGTTTAGAAGTCAATGGTCCCCAGTCGTTTCGACGCGGTCCCGTGCATCTGCCCATGTTCAAAGTTCCCACTGCCAATTGTTGGAGTTGGCAGCAAAGGTCGAGCGTGGCCTTCAGAGCCTTATCAGACCCGCGGTCAACGTCGGTGTAGGTACGCTATTCAGTGCCAGTCGGCGTTGTCAGTTCCAGTGGATGTTCTTCCTCTCGCTCAGGGTTTGAGACTTCGCTCAGCAGGCGGCCTGGGGCAGAGTTGCGTCCCACAGTAAATTCTACACCTTATTTCACAAGAATGATTGTTTCAGATCTCTGGTTGGTAGCCTCGCAGCCTTGTCAGCACTCGAAAGAAATATCTGGCTCCACATTTTTCAACTTGTATTCGATAATCGTCACCACCGGTGTCGATTTTTAACAGTCTCTAAGAGCTTAGTCGCTCAGTCTTGTATCTCATAAACCAGCACCAGAGAGCCAGCACTGGCGCGCATGAACTCTCGACTCGCGATGCGTGAGACTCGGAGCGCCAAAGCGGAGGCTGAGAGAGCCGCGGCAATCAAGAAATCTCACAATGCAAAAGCAACGCTAAGGGAGGATCCATCCAGTGCTACGAGGGCTAAAAACAGTCGGTCCGCGCAAAACAAAACTCCTTTAAGAATTCCACACCGACGGATCTATTGCCTAGACTCATGCATGGAATAAACTTGCCGAGCCTCCTTTCACCCACGGAGACGATAGCGAAACTAGTCACGGCCGTGAATGAATGGAAGACCAAGGCTTGGGACGAAAGAATTCATGAAATGGAACCACCTCTCCTAAAGGGCAACAATACACTAGTGCCTACGGACTTCGAACACTTTCCTATCTTCGTATATCCAACAGATCCCATCTTCTAGAAGATCAGTCTAGAAGAGGTTCTCAAGAAGACTCCTAGAAATATTCTGTTGGATGACTGTACTCCCTACGCAATAATCCGGACTTCGAAGAAGGCCCAAAGGGCCATTATTTGGCCGGGAGATTTTCGACAAGGAAGGTAATGTACGTCCATCACGGGCGCATTCCCGACCAGCTCCTCGGATAGTTTTTCGGAGAGGCTATTTTATCCTATATATCGTGGAAATTACCTAATCTGCCAAAGAAGATCGCCGCCCACAAGGAGATCGGTTTCAGTGAAAACTCTCATGACCTCAATCCAAATCGGAGAGGGTCAGAGCGAGCACGGCAGTGCACAGGCTCCCAACTCACTCTTACAATATCAACAGTCTCAGCAGACACCGAAAATTACGGTGCTAACCTCCCTAGGTTCAATATTGAGCAGACGAAATACCACAAGATCTACGAGCTACCTAGCAGACCTTCTCCGCAACCGAGGAAGAAATGAGCCCCGCTGCCCATAGAGGAAGCGTATGGTTGGATGATGACGATTTTATGGTAGTTTCTGAGCAGGGGACCTAGTTCTGGTCGATCCAGCTAGGCGTAAGTACGTCAGTGCCATTGGTTCTAACGACGCACAGGAAATCTGGGGATGAGTCGATCCTCAGGAATTTGTCGATGAGTATTACAACCCCTGGCAGGACTGCTACAAGAAGACACTAATTGAGGCTAAGCCACAAGGACAGAATCTAGGCAGGCACTTCTGAGCCTTGAAAAAAGGGCGAGGGATTGACATTGAAGACTTCAAGAACCAGGCAAAGCAGCGTCGTTTGTTTAATGCTAATTGGGAGATCTACACTGAGTCTAATACTGCGAAGAAGCTTCAGCCGGTCGATGAATGGTCAGGGCCCTATGTGTTAGTCACGGGAAATGAAGAAGGTGGCGACACCGACGACATGGAGGCTGCAACCAAGAAGCAGTTCTACAACGAATATAGTCGTGAATATAAGCCGCCAAAATTCCCGTTTGAAATTCCGGTACCGGCAATCCAGGACAGGTTCGTTAAATTAATGGTGGACGAGAACGGTGAGCACAATTGCGCGGAATTTCGAGACAGTATCAGCAACGGTGATTTCTGTGATGAGTACGGAACTAGGATCGCGGTTCCCGAACGAAGCCCTCTACTCTTGAGCGGTGCGGGTACATTTCCCTCTCTCACGACCCGAACTTAAATCAAGACCTGGTACCAGAACGGAAGAGAGTTACTCCCAAACAGCTCTTTCGTCGCCTGTAACGCACGGATCAGCACGTCCTTTGGCAAGTGCCTCTACTCTTCACTCAAATCACCCGTTATTGCCCTCGACCATGGCCAGCATGAGGTATACTCCAACCACCGCCGGATTCGCGCTAGATGAGATGTTTCCGTCCTCGACCACCATTGG